GAATTAAATAAACCACAGACTTCAGGTCCAGGTCTCTCTGACGGAACCGGGTGAAGATCCAAGAACCTGGACCAGGACCGAGACCAAAGAAGCACAACGAGTGAGCTGTTTGCATGTTCTCCCTGTGTCTGTTTCAGAATGAGAGACATGTCTATTTACAGACCGGGTCCAGAGGTGAGTCCAGATCTCTGGTCTCTCTCTGGTCTCTCTCTGGTCTCTCTCTGGTCTCTCTCTGGTCTCTCTCTCTGGTCTCTCTCTCTGGTCTCTCTCTCTGGTCTCTCTCTCTGGTTTCTCTCTCTGGTTTCTCTCTCTGGTCTCTCTCTCTGGTCTCTCTCTCTGGTTTCTCTCTCTGGTTTCTCTCTCTGGTTTCTCTCTGGTCTCTCTCTCTGGTCTCTCTCTCTGGTCTCTCTCTGGTTTCTCTCTCTGGTCTCTCTCTCTGGTCTCTCTCTCTGGTCTCTCTCTCTGGTTTCTCTCTCTGGTTTCTCTCTGGTCTCTCTCTCTGGTCTCTCTCTCTGGTCTCTCTCTGGTCTCTCTCTGGTCTCTCTCTCTGGTTTCTCTCTCTGGTCTCTCTCTCTGGTCTCTCTCTCTGGTCTCTCTCTCTGGTTTCTCTCTCTGCATTCTCTCTGGTCTCTCTCTCTGGTTTCTCTCTCTGGTCTCTCTCTCTGGTCTCTCTCTCTGGTCTCTCTCTGGTCTCTCTCTCTGGTCTCTCTCTCTGGTCTCTCTCTGGTCCCCTTCTGGTCTCTCTCTGGTCTCTCTCTGGTCTCTCTCTGGTCTCTCTCTCTGGTCTCTCTCTGGTCTCTCTCTGGTCTCTCTCTGGTCTCTCTCTCTGGTCTCTCTCTGGTCTCTCTCTCTGGTCTCTCTCTGGTCTCTCTCTGGTCTCTCTCTGGTCTCTCTCTGGTCTCTCTCTGGTCTCTCTCTGGTCTCTCTCTGGTCTCTCTCTGGTCTCTCTCTGGTCTCTCTCTCTGGTCTCTCTCTGGTCTCTCTCACCTGTTTGCATGTTCTGTAGGCGCCCGTGCTGGGGTCCTCTGATGATGGTGTAGATCAGATTCTGGTCTTCGGAGTCCGGGTCTGAGGCCTGAAGGTGAGACCGGTCCAGGACGATCCCCACAAGTCCAGACCTCAGAACTGAGACTGTGGACGGAGCACGTCTGCGGAGGAGCGAGGGTAGAGAGCGGTCCAGCCGGCGGATCTGAGAAAGGGACCTGGTTCAGTCTACCTGGTTCAGACCTGGTTCAGTCCTGGTTCAGACCTGGTTCAGACCTGGTTCAGTCCTGGTTCAGACCTGGTTCAGACCTGGTTCAGTCCTGGTTCAGACCTGGTTTAGACCTGGTTCAGTCTTGGTTCAGACCTGGTTCAGTCCTGGTTCAGACCTGGTTCAGTACCCGGTTCAGCCCTGTTTCGTACCGTGATGTTGAAAACCACAGGCTCCGTGCTGATTTGTCCGTACAGGAGGAAGCCAGCGTTTGATTGGTCCGTGGGCAGGAAGTGGAAGCAGTCGGTGGAGCCCTGAGCTCTGGAGTCGTGACGATAAGAGACCGAGTTCTGGTCCACGTCCCTCTGACTGAAGACCCTGCACACATGAGGACTGTGAGGACTCAACCATGAGGCGAGGACTGTGAGGACTGTGAGGACTCAATGTTTGCATCTCAAGTCTGTATGAGATTGTTTTGCTAACAACTCACATAATTAAAAATAAAATAAAAATAATACTGATAATAATAAGAAATAAATAAATAAAAATAAATGCATTAAACAAATAAAATAAATAATGATAATAATTAAAAAATAAATAAAAAATAAATCAATAACTAAATCGTTCCAAACCTATTTCCTCCTGAGCTCTTTTTGAAGTGAATCTCGAATGGAAAACATTTAAATCTGAGACGTTAATATAAAGCATGACCGTAGAGCCGCTCACCCCTGAAGCAGCTCCCGTCCGTGCAGCAGCAGCGCTCCTCCCCGGGGCATCTGGGTGATCCTGAAGCTCAGGTTTGCTGCAGCCGTGTCCGGGTCGCTCAGACGCAGATCTGATCCGGTTATGATCCCAGTGGACCCTTCCTCCACAGAGAGACCGGCGTTCTGCTCCAGAGAGGGAGGGATCCGGTCCCAGTGACGGATCTGGACCATCAGGGAACCAGGGACTGAGACCAGGCCGTTAGAGAGGACCAGGCTGAGGGACCAGAGAGACCAGGGGTTAGACTCAGACCAGGACCAGAGAGAGAGAGACCAGAGAGAGACTAGAGAAAGAGACCAGAGAGAGAGACCAGAGAGAGAGAAGCTAGAGAGAGAGAGACCAGAGAGAGACCAGGGGTTAGACTCAGACCAGGACCAGAGAGAGAGAGACCAGAGAGAGACTAGAGAGAGAGACCAGAGAGAGAGAAGCTAGAGAGAGAGAGACCAGAGAGAGACCAGGGGTTAGACTCAGACCAGGACCAGAGAGAGAGAGACCAGAGAGAGACTAGAGAGAGAGACCAGAGAGAGAGACCAGAGAGAGAGAAGCTAGAGAGAGAGAGACCAGAGAGAGACCAGGGGTTAGACTCAGACCAGGACCAGAGAGAAAGAGACCAGAGAGACACCAGAGAGAGATGCAGAGAGAGACCAGACCTGATGGAGTCCGTCGCCCCCTTGTGGCTGTTGTCGTGCGTGTAACACACAGCTTGTGCGCTCAGCTGCAGCTGTGTGAAGGTGGTGAGTGGGACTCCGGGGGACTTCAGCAGACTCAGGACCCCCAGACTGGGACCCTCCAGGACCCTGTAGACTAGGTCCTGTACCGGTCCAGAGTCCAGACCCAGGAGATGGTCCGAGTTCAGGACCAGTCTGTGTCCCGCGACAACGTAAGCAGGACGAGTGCGGAGCTGAAGGGGTCCTGAGGAGAGAGGGGCGTGAGGCGGCTCTAAGCGGCTCTAACCAGCTCTAACCAGCTCTGACCAGCTCTAACCGGCTCTAACCGGCTCTAACCGGCTCTAACCAGCTCTGACCAGCTCTGACCAGCTCTAACCGGCTCTAACCGGCTCTAACCAGTTCTAACCAGGTCTAACCAGGTCTGACCGGCTCTAACCGGCTCTGACCGGCTCTGACCAGCTCTGACCAGCTCTGACCAGCTCTAACCGGCTCTAACCGGCTCTGACCAGCTCTAACCGGCTCTAACCGGCTCTAACCGGCTCTGACCAGCTCTAACCGGCTCTAACCGGCTCTAACCGGCTCTAACCAGCTCTAACCGGCTCTAACCGGCTCTAACCGGCTCTAACCAGGTCTAACCAGGTCTAACCAGCTCTAACCAGCTCTAACCGGCTCTAACCGGCTCTAACCGGCTCTAACCAGCTCTAACCAGCTCTAACCGGCTCTAACCAGCTCTAACCAGCTCTAACCGGCTCTAACCAGCTTCTTTCTAAAGCTCTTTGAAGATCACACACACGGATCATCTGAAGCTCATGCTGCAGCCCTCCTCCTCTTCATAATTTTGAATTCCCCCCTGAAGATCTGAGTTATCTGCAACATGTGTACTCTCTGGTGTGTACTCTCTGGTGTGTACTCTCTGGTGTGTACTCTCTGGTGTGTACTCTGTGGTGTTTACTCTCTGGTGTGTAATCTGGTGTGTACTCTCTGGTGTGTACCTCTGGTGTGTACCTCTGGTGTGTACTCTCTGGTGTGTACTCTCTGGTGTTTACTCTCTGGTGTTTACTCTCTGGTGTGTAATCTGGTGTGTACCTCTGGTGTGTACTCTCTGGTGTGTACTCTCTGGTGTTTACTCTCTGGTGTGTACCTCTGGTGTGTACTCTCTGGTGTGTACTCTCTGGTGTGTACTCTCTGGTGTGTACTCTCTGGTGTGTACTCTCTGGTGTGTACTCTCTGGTGTGTACCTCTGGTGTGTACTCTCTGGTGTGTAATCTGGTGTGTACTCTCTGGTGTGTACCTCTGGTGTGTACTCTCTGGTGTGTACTCTCTGGTGTGTACCTCTGGTGTGTACTCTCTGGTGTGTACTCTCTGGTGTGTACTCTCTGGTGTGTACCTCTGGTGTGTACTCTCTGGTGTGTACTCTCTGGTGTGTACTCTGGTGTGTACTCTGGTGTGTACTCTCTGGTGTGTACCTCTGGTGTGTACTCTCTGGTGTGTACCTCTGGTGTGTACCTCTGGTGTGTACCTCTGGTGTGTAATCTGGTGTGTACTCTCTGGTGTGTACCTCTGGTGTGTACCTCTGGTGTGTACCTCTGGTGTGTACTCTCTGGTGTGTACTCTCTGGTGTGTACCTCTGGTGTGTACTCTCTGGTGTGTACCTCTGGTGTGTACCTCTGGTGTGTACCTCTGGTGTGTACTCTCTGGTGTGTACTCTCTGGTGTGTAATCTGGTGTGTACTCTCTGGTGTGTACCTCTGGTGTGTACTCTCTGGTGTGTACCTCTGGTGTGTACTCTCTGGTGTGTAATCTGGTGTGTACTCTCTGGTGTGTACCTCTGGTGTGTACTCTCTGGTGTGTACTCTCTGGTGTGTACCTCTGGTGTGTACTCTCTGGTGTGTACTCTCTGGTGTGTACTCTCTGGTGTATACTCTCTGGTGTGTACCTCTGGTGTGTACTCTCTGGTGTGTACTCTCTGGTGTGTACTCTGGTGTGTACTCTGGTGTGTACCTCTGGTGTGTACTCTCTGGTGTGTACCTCTGGTGTGTACCTCTAGTGTGTAATCTGGTGTGTACTCTCTGGTGTGTACCTCTGGTATGTACCTCTGGTGTGTACTCTCTGGTGTGTACTCTCTGGTGTGTACTCTCTGGTGTGTACCTCTGGTGTGTACCTCTGGTGTGTACCTCTGGTGTGTACTCTCTGGTGTGTACCTCTGGTGTGTACCTCTGGTGTGTACTCTCTGGTGTGTACTCTCTGGTGTGTACCTCTGGTGTGTACTCTCTGGTGTGTAATCTGGTGTGTACTCTCTGGTGTGTACCTCTGGTGTGTACTCTCTGGTGTGTACCTCTGGTGTGTACTCTCTGGTGTGTAATCTGGTGTGTACTCTCTGGTGTGTACCTCTGGTGTTTACTCTCTGGTGTGTACCTCTGGTGTGTACTCTCTGGTGTGTAATCTGGTGTGTACTCTCTGGTGTGTACTCTCTGGTGTGTACCTCTGGTGTGTACCTCTGGTGTGTACTCTCTGGTGTGTACCTCTGGTGTGTACTCTCTGGTGTGTACTCTCTGGTGTGTAATCTGGTGTGTACTCTCTGGTGTGTACCTCTGGTGTGTACTCTCTGGTGTGTATAGTACTCTCTGGTGTGTACCTCTGGTGTGTACCTCTAGTGTGTAATCTGGTGTGTACTCTCTGGTGTGTACCTCTGGTGTGTACCTCTGGTGTGTACTCTCTGGTGTGTACTCTCTGGTGTGTACCTCTGGTGTGTACTCTCTGGTGTGTAATCTGGTGTGTACTCTCTGGTGTGTACCTCTGGTGTGTACTCTCTGGTGTGTACAGTACCTCTGGTGTGTACTCTCTGGTGTGTAATCTGGTGTGTACTCTCTGGTGTGTACTCTCTGGTGTGTACCTCTGGTGTGTACTCTCTGGTGTGTAATCTGGTGTGTACTCTCTGGTGTGTACCTCTGGTGTGTACTCTCTGGTGTGTACAGTACCTCTGGTGTGTACTCTCTGGTGTGTAATCTGGTGTGTACTCTCTGGTGTGTACCTCTGGTGTGTACTCTCTGGTGCGTACTCTCTGGTGTGTACCTCTGGTGTGTACCTCTGGTGTGTACTCTCTGGTGTGTACCTCTGGTGTGTACCTCTGGTGTGTACCTCTGGTGTGTACTCTCTGGTGTGTACCTCTGGTGTGTACTCTCTGGTGTGTACCTCTGGTGTGTACTCTCTGGTGTGTACCTCTGGTGTGTACCTCTGGTGTGTACTCTCTGGTGTGTACTCTCTGGTGTGTACCTCTGGTGTGTACTCTCTGGTGTGTACCTCTGGTGTGTACTCTCTGGTGTGTACTCTCTGGTGTGTACTCTCTGGTGTGTACCTCTGGTGTGTACTTTCTGGTGTGTACCTCTGGTGTGTACCTCTGGTGTGTACTCTCTGGTGTGTACCTCTGGTGTGTACCTCTGGTGTGTACCTCTGGTGTGTACTCTCTGGTGTGTACTCTCTGGTGTGTACCTCTGGTGTGTACCTCTGGTGTGTACCTCTGGTGTGTACTCTCTGGTGTGTACTCTCTGGTGTGTAATCTGGTGTGTAATCTGGTGTGTAATCTGGTGTGTACTCTCTGGTGTGTACTCTCTGGTGTGTACCTCTGGTGTGTACTCGTATCTGGATGTAGAAACTCTGGGTGGGAGTCTCGTTTTCGCCGTCGCTGAGTTTGAACCTGAAGCTGTCGTGACCTCTGACCTCCGCAGAGTGGGCGTGGCCTCCTCCCTCCGCAGAGTGGGCGTGGCCTCCTCCCTCTGCAGAGTGGGTGTGGCCTCTGACCCTGTGGGCGTATCGGACTCGGTTCATGTCGACGTCGAGCTGCGTGAAGTTCTGCCCCGGCGACAGCTCCGACCAATCAGAGCCGTTCTAGAGACCAGTGGAGGACCAATCAGACTCACTGCTCTACACAAAATGGCCGCCATAAAAGGCCGGCACGATTCTGTCCAAATCTATGAAGAGACCAGAGAGAGAGACCAGAGAGAGACCAGAGAGAGAGACCAGAGAGAGATACCAGAGAGAGCGACCAGAGAGAGAGACCAGAGAGAGAGACCAGAGAGAGAGAGACCAGAGAGAGACCAGAGAGAGACCAGAGAGAGACCAGAGAGAGAGACCAGAGAGAGATACCAGAGAGAGCGACCAGAGAGAGAGACCAGAGAGAGAGACCAGAGAGAGACCAGAGAGAGACCAGAGAGAGAGACCAGAGAGCGATACCAGAGAGAGAGACCAGAGAGAGAGACCAGAGAGAGAGACCGGAGAGAGAGACCAGAGAGAGAGACCGGAGAGAGAGACCAGAGAGAGAGACCAGAAAGAGAGACCAGAGAGAGACACCACAGAGAGACACTTTTTCCACTGACAGAAACTCAAATCAAGAGACATTTTCCCGAATTGTTTGTTTTCAGAATTTAAAACATTTGCTCAATGTGACCAAAACATTGATTAGAGGAATCTAGTCTCGTACCTGAATCTGCAGCGCGCCCTGGCTGGGCACGGTGATCAGGATGTAGTAAACCTGATCTGAACCTGAGTCCTGGTCTTTGGCCTCCAGGACCCGGCTGGACAGGACTCTGGTCTGACCCCAGTCCAGCTCTAGACCTAGGGACCTGAAAGACAACAGAAAACAGTCCTGTTGATAGTCCGTAGGGAAAGTGGGCGGGGCTTACCTGGTCAGAGTGGGCGGGGCTTACTTGGTCAGAGTGGGCGGGGCTTACTTGGTCAGAGTGGGCGTGGATTACCTGGTTAGAGTGGGCGGGGCTTACCTGGTTAGAGTGGGCGGGGCTTACCTGGTTAGAGTGGGCGTCTGGTCGTTGACAGGCCGGACGGTGATGAAGGCCGTGCCCAGGATCCAGTGCTTCCCGTCGGACAAACTGAGCTCCACAGAGTCCTGGAGGGTCTCGGATCCGTCATGGAGGTACACCACACCTGAGGGGGAGGGAGGAGAGACCTGAGGGGGAGTGAGGAGAGGCCTGAGGGGGAGGGAGGAGAGACCTGAGGGGAGGGAGGAGAGACCTGAGGGGGAGGGAGGAGTGACCTAAGGGGGAGGGAGGAGAGACCTGAGGGGGAGGGAGGAGTGACCTAAGGGGGAGTGAGGAGAGGCCTGAGGGGGAGAGAGGAGAGACCTGAGGGGAGGGAGGAGAGACCTGAGGGGGAGGGGGGAGAGACCTGAGGGGGAGGGAGGAGAGACCTGAGGGGAGGGAGGAGAGACCTGAGGGGGAGGGAGGAGAGACCTGAGGGGGAGGGAGGAGAGACCTGAGGGGGAGGGAGGAGAGACCTGAGGGGGAGGGAGGAGAGACCTGAGGGGAGGGAGGAGAGACCTGAGGGGAAGGGGGGAGAGACCTGAGGGGAGGGAGGAGAGACCTGAGGGGGAGGGAGGAGAGACCTGAGGGGGAGGGAGGAGTGACCTAAGGGGGAGGGAGGAGAGACCTGAGGGGGAGGGAGGAGTGACCTAAGGGGGAGTGAGGAGAGGCCTGAGGGGGAGAGAGGAGAGACCTGAGGGGAGGGAGGAGAGACCTGAGGGGGAGGGGGGAGAGACCTGAGGGGGAGGGAGGAGAGACCTGAGGGGGAGGGGGGAGAGACCTGAGGGGGAGGGAGGAGAGACCTGAGGGGAGGGAGGAGAGACCTGAGGGGGAGGGGGGAGAGACCTGAGGGGGAGGGAGGAGAGACCTGAGGGGAGGGAGGAGAGACCTGAGGGGGAGGGAGGAGAGACCTGAGGGGGAGGGAGGAGAGGCCTGAGGGGGAGAGAGGAGAGACCTGAGGGGAGGGAGGAGAGACCTGAGGGGGAGGGGGGAGAGACCTGAGGGGGAGGGAGGAGAGACCTGAGGGGGAGGGGGGAGAGACCTGAGGGGGAGGGAGGAGAGACCTGAGGGGAGGGAGGAGAGACCTGAGGGGGAGGGAGGAGAGACCTGAGGGGGAGGGAGGAGAGACCTGAGGGGGAGGGAGGAGTGACCTGAGGGGGAGGGAGGAGTGACCTGAGGGGGAGGGAGGAGAGACCTGAGGGGAGGGAGGAGAGACCTGAGGGGGAGGGGGGAGAGACCTGAGGGGGAGGGAGGAGAGACCTGAGGGGAGGGAGGAGAGACCTGAGGGGGAGGGAGGAGAGACCTGAGGGGGAGGGAGGAGAGGCCTGAGGGGGAGAGAGGAGAGACCTGAGGGGAGGGAGGAGAGACCTGAGGGGGAGGGGGGAGAGACCTGAGGGGGAGGGAGGAGAGACCTGAGGGGGAGGGGGGAGAGACCTGAGGGGGAGGGAGGAGAGACCTGAGGGGAGGGAGGAGAGACCTGAGGGGGAGGGAGGAGAGACCTGAGGGGGAGGGAGGAGAGACCTGAGGGGGAGGGAGGAGTGACCTGAGGGGGAGGGAGGAGTGACCTGAGGGAGAGGGAGGAGAGACCTGAGGGGGAGGGGGGAGAGACCCGATGGGGACATACTTGAGGGGGAGTTACCACAGATGTCTATATACTGTCTGAAACAAGAATCTGGGGCTCAGTGGACCTGGGACTCGGGGGACCTGGGACCTGGGACTCGGTAGACCTGGGACTCGGGGGACCTGGGACTCGGTGGACCTGGGACTCGGGGGACCTGGGACTCGGTGGACCTGGGACTCGGGGGACCTGGGACTCGGTGGACCTGGGACTCGGTGGACCTGGGATTCGGTGGACCTGGGACTCGGTGGACCTGGGACTCGGTGGACCTGGGACTCGGTGGACCTGGGACTCGGTGGACCTGGGACTCGGTGGACCTGGGACTCGGTGGACCTGGGACTCGGTGGACCTGGGACTCAAAACGATACCTTGGCGTAGCTCTTGGAGGGTGAAGCGGTCGGTGCTCAGTGCTGCCCCCTGCTGTGTGTGGTCAGTGATGAGAAGGCGGCCATGTTGTGGAGGGCGGGACACAGTGAAGGTCAACACGTCCAGAGGCACATCCAGATCTGAGGCGTCCACGAGAAGAGACCCCGGGCCCCCCTCCTCCACCTTACACACAGGAAATGAGATGAAACAAGAATTGACACACAGGAAGTGAGATACACACAGGAAGTGAGACCAAACAGGAAGTGAGACACACACAGGAAGTGACACCACACAGGAAGTGAGACCAAACAGGAAGTGAGACACACACAGGAAGTGACACCAAACAGGAAGTGAGACACACACAGGAAGTGACACCAAACAGGAAGTGAGACACACACAGGAAGTGAGACACACACAGACCATAGACTGTATACTGTGTAACCCTCTAGCTCAGTGTTTTTCAACCACTGTGCCGCGGCACACTAGTGTGCCGTATGATATTGTCTGGTGTGCCGTGAGAAATTCGTCTACTTTGTCTAAAAATAGCTGCATTCGCTGTTGACGAGCGGTGACTTGTTTTGAACTGTGAGTAACCATGTAATACTTTTTCAAATCAGTAGATGGCAGCAGATAGCTAAGTACTTTGAAACTGAAAAATTGGATGCGACCACTGGCTGTAACAGGTCAGCATTGTGGCGAGAAAGGTAACATTGGATGCGACCAACAAATGTGGGAGGGAGCGAGACAAGAGCTTTGTGGCGAGTGAGAAGTGAAAGTGATAGAGACGTTTTTGAAAATGAATTATGCCGTTTCTGAACAGGATTAACATCCTCCGCTCTGCCCCGGGGCAGCTGTGGCCGCGTTGTAGTGGTTTAACTATGAAATGTACAATTTTTGTACAACAGCTCTCGCGAACGCACTTCTGAACTGGGTACCGAGCGCAGACCATAGTCGAGTGGACAGAACCACAGACATGCGGACCGGACAGAACCATGGACTCGCGTTCAGGACCTCCCGTGTCCCTCATCCAAAACTCCTGAATTTAAAGCTCGGATACCTACATTTTTCCCATGCACTAACAATGCATGTTCTTTGTGTGAGTTATTATTTGACTATTTGGGCAGAGAGTGGATTTTCTTAGTTTTTTTCCACACAGTTAGTGCCACTTTATTCCCAAACTCTTGTTAATTGTATCGAGAAATATTAAATAAAGCTTAATGTCAAGGCCTGGACTTAAGCATTTTGATGAGAATAACTGTATATTGTGAATATAGGCTACAGAGTATACTGTATACATTATAAGATAAGATATACTTTATATATCACACAGAGTATGTACAGTATATATTTTTTTACATTAGTACTGTATACATTTTTACATTTTCTCCTGGAGGTGTGCCGCAAGATTTTTTCAGTGAAAAAAGTGTGCCTTGGCTCAAAAAAGGTTGAAAAACACTGCTCTAGCTAGTGTGATGTGTTGATGAAGCTTCATGAAGTGTTGAACCTTTTCATTCATTGGTTCGAGAAAAGGTTCATTTCTTGATGCTTCATATGCTCACAAACCTCCTGTTGGTCAAAATCTCTATTGACATTAGAACTGTTTGAGGCTCTTGGTGCATAGGAATTAATACTGGTAACAGAAATAAAAATGTAATTTGATTGTGTATGACCCATTAATTCATCTGTTTCATTATGATCAATATCAGTAGTGAAAATGAATATATTTTAAATGACAATAAAATGATAATGTACTGGTAACTGGTACAGTTGTCTGCTCTAATACACACACACACACACACACACACACATACATATGTAGATATATATTTATATACATATTTAATGATGAATGATTATAGCTTTTCAAGTCAAAATCAATGTTATAAATCCAATAGGACAAAAGACATGTTGAAAGTGTAACTAAGTGCTTTTCAAAGGACGTGACACAAATGGGGATATCATTTGGGATTGTGACCCCATCAGTTGTTTAAAACCAAAACATTTCTGACAAAATTCTTTCACATGTATTTACATCGACGCACTCCCGGTGAGATTCGGACCCCGGTCCCCCAGGTCCCAGCCCTGCTTCCCTATCAATTGAGCCAACCATCTGATACCACAACCCTCTCCATCACTGACTACATTAATCACTGACTACATTAATCACTGACTACATTAATCACTGACTACATTAATCACTGACTACATTAATCACTGACTACATTAATCACTGACTACATTAATCACTGACTACATTAATCACTGACTACATTAATCACTGACTACATTAATCACTGACTACATTAATCACTGACTGCATTAATCACTGACTACATTAATCACTGACTGCATTAATCACTGACTACATTAATCACTGACTACATTAATCACTGACTGCATTAATCACTGACTACATTAATCACTGACTGCATTAATCACTGACTGCATTAATCACTGACTACATTAATCACTGACTACATTAATCACTGACTGCATTAATCACTGACTACATTAATCACTGACTACATTAATCACTGACTACATTAATCACTGACTACATTAATCACTGACTACATTAATCACTGACTGCATTAATCACTGACTACATTAATCACTGACTACATTAATCACTGACTACATTAATCACTGACTACATTAATCACTGACTACATTAATCACTGACTGCATTAATCACTGACTACATTAATCACTGACTACATTAATCACTGACTACATTAATCACTGACTGCATTAATCACTGACTACATTAATCACTGACTGCATTAATCACTGACTGCATTAATCACTGACTGCATTAATCACTGACTACATTAATCACTGACTGCATTAATCACTGACTACATTAATCACTGACTGCATTAATCACTGACTACATTAATCACTGACTACATTAATCACTGACTACATTAATCACTGACTGCATTAATCACTGACTACATTAATCACTGACTACATTAATCACTGACTACATTAATCACTGACTGCATTAATCACTGACTACATTAATCACTGACTACATTAATCACTGACTGCATTAATCACTGACTACATTAATCACTGACTACATTAATCACTGACTACATTAATCACTGACTGCATTAATCACTGACTGCATTAATCACTGACTACATTAATCACTGACTGCATTAATCACTGACTACATTAATCACTGACTGCATTAATCACTGACTACATTAATCACTGACTACATTAATCACTGACTACATTAATCACTGACTACATTAATCACTGACTGCATTAATCACTGACTACATTAATCACTGACTACATTAATCACTGACTACATTAATCACTGACTGCATTAATCACTGACTACATTAATCACTGACTACATTAATCACTGACTGCATTAATCACTGACTACATTAATCACTGACTACATTAATCACTGACTACATTAATCACTGACTGCATTAATCACTGACTGCATTAATCACTGACTGCATTAATCACTGACTACATTAATCACTGACTACATTAATCACTGACTGCATTAATCACTGACTGCATTAATCACTAAGACAAACTCACAGTTTGAGCGGATCTTCTGCAGTACTTCATGAATCGCTCCATATCCTGTGCTCCCGAGGCTTCAAACGTCATTAGTGACGTCACTCATCTAAAACAACTCAGGCTTCGGCCCGCGCTCCGATAAAAACTTCAGGGATTTCTCGGCTCACGGCCCGAAGCGCCGACGCGGCACGACCCATCACTACCTCTAGCTCAATAGGGAAGTGCTCATGGTGAAGTTTTGCTCTAAACAGAGAACGTTTGAGCCCAAAATGCTGAGTGTGACAGAAACAGTTAATGCTCAAGAGGAGTTTACTTTTCGATGGCACGTGGCGCAGTGGTTTGCCTTTGTGCTTCAAAGCAAGAAAGTCTTGGGTTTGATTCCTCTTTCTGTGTGGAGTTTGCATGTTCTCCCCGTGTCTGTTTAGTTTTAATATACTGTAAGTCAGAACGAGTTGGAGCAAAACCTCACCATTGAGCTGACGGGTTAGCATTGAGCTAGTGGGTTAGCATTGAGCTAGTGGGTTAGCATTGCCCCTCTGTATACAGTCTATGCCTCAGAGAAAAGTCAAACTGAAACTGTTCCTCACGGTGATGTTTCGGAGCCGCAGGTCCGGAGCCTCGTCATTTGTTGGGTTGATGACCACGTGCAGCGGCGAGGGGGCGGAGTCACGTGTTCCGTCACTCACAGAGAAGGTCATGTGATCGGCGAGGGGCTCAACGCCACGGTGACGAGACTGAACGTAGTTTATGAAACCGTCGTTCAGCGCCGACAGAGTGAAGGATTCTGGGAACACAGCGGGCGTGGAGAGGATGGATGTGTGTGTCTGTGTGCGTGTGTCTCTGTGTGTGTGTGTGTGTGTGTCTGCCTGTGTGTGTGTGCATCTGCATGTATGTGTGTCTGTGCTTCTGTCAGTGTGTGTGAGTGTATCTGTGTGTGTGTGTCTGTATCTGTGTGTGTGTGTGTGTGTGTGTGTGTGTGTGTGTGTGTATCTGCAAGTTTGTGTGTCTGTGCTTCTATCAGTGTGTGTGAGTGTGTGTTCCTGTGCGTGTGTCTGTATCTATCTGTGTGTGTGTTTGTCTGTGTGTGTGTGTGTATCTGCAAGTATGTGTGTCTGTGCTTCTATCAGTGTGTGTGAGTGTGTGTTTCTGTGCATGTGTCTGTATCTATCTGTGTGTGTGTGTGTGTCTGTATCTATCTGTGTGTGTGTGTGTTTCTTCGTCTGTGTATCTGTGTATGTCTGTGTGTGTGTGTGTGTGTGTGTGAGAGAGTGTGTGTGACTGACCCACTGGTACACCTGCGTTGCTCTTCTCCGACCCTGCAGGGGGCAGTGTGTTCTCAATGAAGCCGTGAGTGGGCGGAGTCAGCACATGGAAGATGACGTCATCAGGGGGTGTGTCCAGGTCTGTGGCCCCCAGCACCCCCCTCCCCAGGCCCCTAAAGGACCCCTCATCCACAGAGAGCAGAACCGGGCCTGGACACAAAACACAGGACCTGCAGGCTCCGCTCAGACCACACATAGGTTCAGGCTCATGTTGTAGACTCAGTCCTGGGTCTACAGCCTCAGTCCTGGGTCTACAGCCTCAGTCCTGGGTCTACAGCCTCAGCCCTGGGTCTACAGCCTCAGCCCTAGGTCTACAGCCTCAGTCCTGGGTCTACAGCCTCAGTCCTGGGTCTACAGCCTCAGTCCTGGGTCTACAGCCTCAGTCCTGGGTCTACAGCCTCAGTCCTGGGTCTACAGCCCCAGTCCTGGATCTACAGCCTCAGTCCTGGGTCTACAGCCTCAGTCCTGGGTCTACAGCCTCAGTCCTGGGTCTACAGCCCCAGTCCTGGATCTACAGCCTCAGTCCTGGGTCTACAGCCTCAGTCCTGGGTCTACAGCCTCAGTCCTGGGTCTACAGCCCCAGTCCTGGATCTACAGACTCAGTCCTGGGTCTACAGCCTCAGTCCTGGGTCTACAGCCTCAGTCCTGGGTCTACAGCCTCAGTCCTGGATCTACAGCCTCAGTCCTGGATCTACAGCCTCAGTCCTGGGTCTACAGCCTCAGTCCTGGGTCTACAGCCTCAGTCCTGGGTCTACAGCCCCAGTCCTGGATCTACAGCCTCAGTCCTGGGTCTACAGCCCCAGTCCTGGATCTACAGCCTCAGTCCTGGGTCTACAGCCTCAGTCCTGGGTCTATAAGGACTTGTTACCGACGGTGAGGATGGGCGGCTGGTTGTCGACAGGAAGTATGGTGACGTTCAAGTCGTAAACAGGAAGTGACCCATGCAGCGGGATGGGAGGGGGTGGGACATCTCCACAGCAGCTGTCAATCAAACCAGCTTCAGCGTCAGAGATGATCAACGTGATGGTGTCCAGGACCGAAGACAGACCCAGCTCAGCTCCTGCACAGACACCAGAGGATCCACCACCAGTCCTCAGACCAGTCCTCAGACCAGTCTTCAGACCAGTCCTCAGACCAGTGCTCAGACCAGTCCTCAGACCAGTACCCCCAGACCAGTCCTCAGACCAGTCCTCAGACCAGTCCTCAGACCAGTGCTCAGACCAGTCCTCAGACCAGTCCTCAGACCAGTGCTCAGACCAGTCCTCAGACCAGTCCTCAGACCAGTCCTCAGACCAGTCTTCAGACCAGTCCTCAGACCAGTCCTCAGACCAGTCCTCAGACCAGTCCTCAGACCAGTGCTCAGACCAGTCCTCAGACCAGTCTTCAGACCAGTCCTCAGACCAGTGCTCAGACCAGTGCTCAGACCACTGCTCAGACCAGTTCTCAGACCAGTGCTCAGACCAGTCCTCAGACCAGTACCCCCAGACCAGTCCTCAGACCAGTCATAAAACTAGTCCTCAGACCAGTCTTCAGCCCAGTCCTCAGACCAGTCCTCAGACCAGTCCTCAAACCAGTCCTCAAACCAGTCCTCAGACCAGTCATAAAACTAGTCCTCAGACCAGTTCTCAGACCAGTCCTTAGACCAGTCCTTAGACCGAACGACTACAACACTTGAACTTGTAAAAAGTTGGTTTCTCTCTGGTCTCTCTCTCTGCTCTCTTTCTGGTCGCTTTCCGGACTCTCTCCGGTCTCTTTCTGGTCTCTCTCTCTCGTCTCTCTGTCTGGTCTCTCTCTCTCTCTGGTCTCTTTCTCTGGTCTCTCTCTGGTCTCTCTCTGGTCTCTCTCTCTGGTCTCTCTCTCTCTGGTCTCTCTCTCTGGTCTCTCTCTCTCTGGTCTCTCTCTGGTCTCTCTCTCTGGTATCTCTCTCTCTCTGGTCTCTCTCTCTCTGGTCTCTCTCTGGTCTCTCTCTCTCTGGTCTCTCTCTGGTCTCTCTCTCTGGTCTCTTTCTGGTCTCTCTCTGGTCTCTTTCTCTGGTCTCTCTCTGGTCTCTCTCTGGTCTCTCTCTGGTCTCTCTCTCTGGTCTCTCTCTCTGGTCTCTCTCTCTGGTCTCTCTCTGGTCTCTCTCTCTGGTCTCTTTCTGGTCTCTCTCTGGTCTCTCTCTGGTCTCTTTCTGGTCGGTCTCTGGTCTCTCCCTGGTCTCTCTCTCTCTGGTCTCTCTCTGGTCTCTTTCTGGTCTCTCTCTGGTCTCTCTCTGGTCTCTTTCTGGTCTCTTTCTGGTCTCTCTCTCTGGTCTCTCTCTGTAGGTTTTTACTCCAAACAAAATTACTTTTCAAACATACAGAATATCAACAATCACACCGCAATCTAGAATAAGGTCTGAACCAGGTCTGAACCCGGTCTGAACAGTCCTGGCTCTGGTACCTGAGTGGCTGTAGGAGACCCGGCCCTGGACCAGGTCTTCTTGGGTGAAGCGGTCCACATTGACCCCAGATCTCTGGAGGTTCCCATACTGCGGTGTGCGGGCTAGCATGTAGAGCAGCCTGAGGTCCTCCGAGTCCCGGTCCGAGGCCCGCAGATGGTCCAGCGAGATCCGGACCGAACCGGACTCATTACACAGTAGAGAGCCCAGCAGGAAGCCGCCCAGCACCGGGGCCTCATCGTTCACCGGTGAGATCTGTGAAACGGCGAGCAGAGGTTCAGACGGAGAATCTTCAGAGAAACCATTGGCCTCTACTCTGCATCCCTGATCGGTGTTGTCCTTGTTCGAGCTGTGAGTTTGGGCAGACGGCCGTGTCTTGATAAATTTGCAGTGGTTTCTTGTACTCTCCATTCACAGAAGGAACAGTCCTGAGATGATCAAGGCCAAAGCTAAACCTGCTTTAAAAGTCTCCGTAACTTCCTCCCTACCTCTGGTCTCAGTCCTGGTCTTTCTGGTCTCTGTTCTGTTCTGGTCCTGGTCTCAATCCTGGTGTCAGTGCTGGTCTCTCTGGTCTCAGTCCTGGTCTCAGAGCTGGTCTCTCTGATCTGAGTCTGGTCTGAGTCCTGGTCCCAATCCTGGTGTAAGTGCTGGTCTCTCTGGTCTCAGTCCTGGTCTCAGTCCTGGTCTCAGTGCTGGTCTCAGTGCTGGTCTCAGTCCTGGTCTCATACCTGGTCTCTCTGATCTCAGTGCTGGTCTCAGTGCTGGTCTCAGTCCTGGTCTCAGTCCTGGTCTCAGTCCTGGTCTCAGTCCTGGTCTCTGATCTCAGTCCTGGTCTCTCTGAGGACCTGATCCTCAGTCCCCTCAGGTCTTCGGGGCTGAACTTCATTGGTTGTTCACCTCTGAGCTCTCTGGTTCCTTGGTCCTCTATGGTCCTCTCTTGTCCTTTGTGGTCCTCTATGGTCCTCTATGGTCGTCTCTGGTCGTCTCTGGTCGTCTCTGGTCCTCTCTGGTTGTCTCTGGTCCTCTCTGGTCCTCTATGGTCATCTCTGGTCCTCTATGGTCGTCTCTGGTCCTCTGTCCTGGTACCTGTACGTGGAGGGTGATGTCCACATGGTTGGTACCATCAGAGATCCTCAGAGACACTTCATCTGCCGTCGTCTCTGAGTCGTCGTGAACGTATCTGAAACACACCACGTCTGCTTCAGCCCAAAACCTTCACCTGGTCTCTCAGGTCTAAGTACTGTATAGTCTCAGTGCTGGTCTCAGTCCTGGTCTCTCTGGTCTAAGTATAGTCGCAGTGCTGGTCTCAGTACTGGTCTCTCTGGCTTCAGTCTCGGTGGTAGTTCTGGTCTCTCTGCTCTCTCTGTTCTCACCTGCTCCTCAGTCCCCTCAGGTCCTCCAGGCTGAAGCGGTCTCCTGGTCTCTCCCTGGTCTCTCCCTAGTTTCTCTCTGGTCTCTCTCTGGTCTCTCTCTGGTCTCTCTCTGGTCTCTCTCTGGTCTCTCTCTGGTCTCTCTCTGGTCTCTCTCTCTGATCTCCCTGGTCTCCCTGGTCTCACCTGATCCTCAGTCCCCTCAGGTCCTCCAGGCTGAAGCGGTCTCCTGGTCTCTCCCTGGTCTCTCCCTAGTTTCTCTCTGGTCTCTCCCTGGTCTCTCCCTAGTTTCTCTCTGGTCTCTCTCTGGTCTCTCTCTGGTCTCTCTTTCTGATCTCCCTGGTCTCCCTGGTCTCACCTGATCCTCAGTCCCCTCAGGTCCTCCAGGCTGAAGCGGTCTCTCTGGTCTCACCTTGGTCTCTCTCTGGTTTCTATCCCTGGTCTCTCCCTGGTCTCCCCGGTCTCACCTGATCCTCAGTCCCCTCAGATCCTCCAGGCTGAAGCGGTCTCCTGGTCTCAGCCTGTGTCCCTGCCTGTGCAGAGTGCCGTGCAGCGCCGCCTTCAGGAGCAGAGCGTGCAGTGCGTCCTCAGAGCTGTCTGTGTCTCTGAGCGTCAGGTGTTCTTCTGTGACGAACACGGAGCCGCCCTCGTCCACACGCAGCAGGTTGGAGAAGGCCTGGACACATCAGACATATTTATTTATACAGCACATTGTACAGACCAAGGTACAGACCCACACGGTGACCATCAAACACACACTGGACCATCAAAGCCTCCGACCAAACACCATCCATTCACTCATTACATTCAGATCTATTCTACATGTTTTTAGGGGTACAGGGAACCTACACAGACACAGGGAGAACATGCAAACTCCACTCACAAAAGGCCCTGTTCCGACCGGGATTCGAACCCAGTGCTAACCACTCAGCCACCGTGCGCCTTTATTTTATTTTTTATTTTTCCGCGGCACCAAAAACATTTTGCCGAGTAACAGTGGATCAACAGTGAGTCTAAGTCTGAGATTAAACGTGAGATTTGTCGATCAAGAAGATGAAATAAATGAATTTACTAAAATCTGTTTGTAAATATCTCATAATAAACCGTTTTTTGGTTCTTTTTATAGACATCAAAGTGAGAAAACAGTGAGTGTTGCTCGTTTCTGCTTCACTGAACAATAAAAACAGTCACGTTTCACTTTTATCGCTCACAGTAAAAAGAACATGATGAAAGTTTTTCAGCTGCATTTTTCAGTATCAAAAACAGGTGCGTCTTATAGTCCTGTGCGTCTTATAGTCCTGTGCGTCTTATAGTCCTGTGCGTCTTATAGTCCGGTGCGGCTTATAGTCCGGTGCGTTATAGTCCTGTGCGTCTTATAGTCCTGTGTGGCTTATAGTCCTGTGCGGCTTATAGTCCGGTGCGTTATAGTCCTGTGCGTCTTATAGTCCTGTGTGGCTTATAGTCCTGTGTGGCTTATAGTCCAGTGCGGCTTATAGTCCGGTGCGGCTTATAGTCAGGTGCGGTTTATAGTCCTGTCTGGTTTATAGTCTGGTGCGGCTTATAGTCCGGTGCGTCTTATAGTCAGGTGCGGCTTATAGTCCGGTGCGGTTTATAGTCCGGTGCGGTTTAGAGTCAGGTGCGGTTTATAGTCCTGTCTGGTTTATAGTCTGGTGCGGCTTATAGTCCGGTGTGTCTTATAGTCAGGTGCGGCTTATACTCCGGTGCGGCTTATAGTCCGGTGCGGTTTATAGTCCGGTGCGGTTTATAGTCTGGTGCGGTTTATAGTCCGGTGCGGCTTATAGTCTGGTGTGGCTTATAGTCTGGTGCGGCTTATAGTCCGGTGCGGCTTATAGTCCGGTGCGGCTTATAGTCCGGTGCGTCTTATAGTCATGTGCGGCTTATAGTCCGGTGCGGTTTATAGTCCGGTGCGGTTTATAGTCAGGTGCGGCTTATAGTCCGGTGCGGTTTAGAGTCAGGTGCGGTTTATAGTCCTGTCTGGTTTATAGTCTGGTGCGGCTTATAGTCCGGTGCGGCTTATAGTCCGGTGCGGTTTAGAGTCAGGTGCGGTTTATAGTCCTGTCTGGTTTATAGTCTTGTGCGGCTTATAGTCCGGTGCGTCTTATAGTCAGGTGCGGCTTATAGTCCGGTGCGGTTTATAGTCCTGTGCGGCTTATAGTCCGGTGCGGCTTATAGTCCGGTGCGGCTTATAGTCCGGCGCGGTTTATAGTCCGGTGCGGTTTATAATCAGGTGCGGTTTATAGTCCTGTCTGGTTTATAGTCTGGTGTGGCTTATAGTCCGGTGTGGCTTATAGTCCGGTGCGGTTTATAGTCAGGTGCGGTTTATAGTCCGGTGCGGTTTATAGTCCGGTGCGGTTTATAGTCCGGTGCGGTTTATAGTCAGGTGTGGTTTATAGTCCGGTGCGGTTTATAGTCCGGTGCGGTTTATAGTCCTGTGCGGCTTATAGTCCTGTGCGGCTTATAGTCCGGTGCGGCTTATAGTCCGGTGCGGCTTATTGTCCGGTGCGTCTTGTAGTCAGGTGAGGTTTATAGTCAGGTGCGGTCTATAGTCCGGTGCGGTTTAGAGTCAGGTTCGGTTTATAGTCCGGTGCGGTTTATAGTCCTGTCTGGTTTATAGTCTGGTGCGTCTTATAGTCAGATGCAGTTTATAGTCCGGTGCGGCTTATAGTCTGGTGCAGCTTATAGTCCGGTGCGGTTTATAGTCCGGAAAATACAGAATTTTCCCAAAACTTCTTCATGATAAAAAGTCACTTTCCATAAACGCTGGATTTGTGTTTTTCCTGTCTGTCTGTTTTTTGAGCCCAAACCTGTACTTTCTCTGCACACACACAAACACATGAAAACATCACCCTCAGTGAGGCCCAGTCCCAGACCCTCCTGCGGCCCCTGGTCCTCACACACAGGACTACAACAGACCAGCACAGAGCGTTCTGAGGGGGTTGATGGTACTTGTGGTTTCTGGTGCTGGTACCTGTGGTTTCTGGTCGTCCACCGGCAGGACCGTGATGTTGAAGTCCAGACCAGAGACGGATCCTCCCTGATGGTTCTGCACCGAGAACTCAAACCGAACCAGCAGCGGGTCTGGTCCAATGTCCTCCACCGGCGGCATGAAACCCACCTTCATATGACTGACTGCAGACTGAGACCAGAGGGAGACCAGAGAGGGACCAGCGAGCGACCAGAGAGGGACCAGAGAGGGATCAGAGAGGGACCAGAGAGGGACCAAAGAGACCAGAGAGATACAAGAGAGGGACCAGAGAGGGACCAGAGAGAGACCAGAGAGAGACCAGAGAGAGACCAGAGAGTAAAACAATTGAAAACCTGCACAATGAACAAACTTCTCATAAAAAGCTAAAAACAGTTGGTTTCATTCCTTCAGATAAATAATAATATTAAAACGACTGCAACAACAGTATCCATGGAAACGGAGCCATGAGAGACAGACCTGAGAGAAGGACTTCAGCACCGGGACCATGTGGTCTCTCTTCATGGTGCTCACGTTGTCGGTGAAGAAGAGTCGTCCAGCGTCCATCAAACTGAAGAAGAACCATTAAAGCATTAAAGCTCGGTGACTGCAGTTATTATTCAGGCACATGGTAAAAAGAATCAGTCGCAAGGCGGGTTAGAGGCACCAGGCCATGTTGCTCAGTGCATGAGGAAGAGGAGATCGGTTTGAGAGACCAGAGAGAGACCAGAAGGAGACCAGAGAGAGAGACCAGAGTGAGACCAGAGAGAGACCAGAGAGAGAGAGACTAGAGAGAGACCAGAGAGACCAGAGAGAGACCAGAGAGAGAGACCAGAGGGAGAGACGAGAAAGAGAGAGACCATAAAGAGACCATAGAGAGACCAGAGAGAGACCAGACCACAATGTGGGATGAATAAAGGGTCTTACTCATTCTGGTCTCCGGTCTGGTGTGGACCTGGACTTATCCTGGTCCTTGGTGTCGGTCTAGAACAGGTCTTTTTCTGGAAATGGTCTGGACTTACCCTGGTCGGTCTGGACTGTAGCAGCTCCGTGTGACGGTATAAACCAGGTCTTGGTCCGGATCTTCTGGGTCTCTGAAGTGGATCTGCTTTGAGGTGATGTGAACCACCTGGTCCTCTCTCAGCGTCAGAGTCCGGACCGAACCCGAGACCTGGACTGGGACCTGGTCTTTCACCGGGAACACATGCACCACCACCGTCTGCAAAGAGGGTCTGGATCAGTCCAAGGTCTGAGGGTGAGAGACTGATGGTGAGAGACTGAGGGTGAGAGACTGAGGGCGAGAGACAAAGGGTGAGAGACTGAGGGCGAGAGACAAAGGGTGAGAGACTGAGGGCGAGAGACAAAGGGTGAGAGACTGAGGGTGAGAGACTGATGGTGAGAGACTGAGGGCGAGGGACAGAGGGTGAGGACTGGGGGTGAGAGGTGTGGGTCTCACATAGACTTGGGACTCGTTGGGAGGTTCGCTGGAGTCCGAGAGACTGAACTCAAAACTGTCCTCATGAGTCTCGTCTCCAGAGTGACGGTAAAAGATCTGACCCTGGACCAGCTCCTTCTGCTGGAAAGACCGGACCTCCAGACCTGAAACAGACCCGGGACTGAACCAGAGACCAGAGACGATAAACCAGAGACGATACCCAGACACCAGAGACCATAGAACAGAGGCTCTGAACCAGAGACCAGGGACGGTAAACCAGAGAAAGACCAGAGAGCCCAAATAGAGACCAAAGAGAGACAGACTAGAAAGAGTCTCACCTGTAGGGGGCGTGTCTCACCTGTAAGGGCCGTGTCTCACCTGTGTCCCGGTTGTGGCTCCTCCTCATCAGCCTCCCACAGCTCGGCGCCGTGGTCACGGTGAAGGTGATGTGGAGGTCGCTGGAGTCTGCGTCGGCCGCCAGCAGGTGGTGCTGTAGCTCCGCCTCCCCGCCCTCCTCCACCTGCAGAGCCACATTGTGGAGGAGCACGGGGGCGCAGTCGTCCCGGGGCAGAATGCTGATGGGGAAGCGGTGCCTCAGGCTGTGGCGCCCGTCGCTGATGCGGAAAACCACGTGGTCAAGTGACGTGTCGCTATCGTCATGGTGATACGCCACGTCACCGCGGCTGAGGTCGGCCACGCGGAACATGAACGACTTCACTCCTGACGACGGTACAGTTTATTTGTGTAGCACAAACACACAAACGATTCACACACGTTTAGAAGGACACAAATACAGTACACACGCCATACTACAGCCGCAGCTGCCCCGGGGCAGACTGACAATCTGGGCCGTAAATTTAGTTTAGTTTTTTTAGTAATAGAAGAAGTAATGAAGTAGTAGTATTTGTAGTAGTAGAAGTCGTAGTAGTAGTAGTAGTGGTAGTAGTAGTAGTAGTAGTAGTAGTAGTAGTCGTAGTATGTAGTTTTAGTACCTCTCACGGTGAGGTACCCGTGCTGCGGCCCGTCCACTGCCACCAGCGCCACCTGCTGGATGTTGTCTCTGTCCACGATCTGCAGCTGCTCCCAGGTGATTGGCCTGGACTGTCCCTCCAGGAGAACCAGACCTGTTTAAGAAAGAGACAATCAGGACTGTCCCTGGCATGGTATGGTATGGCATGGCATGGCATGGCATGGCATGGCATGGTATGGCATGGCATGGCATGGCATGGCATGGCATGGCATGGCATGGCATGGCATGGCATGGTATGGTATGGCATGGCATGGCATGGCATGGTATGGCATGGTATGGCATGGCATGGTATGGTATGGTATGGCATGGTATGGTATAGTATGGTATGGCATGGCATGGCATGGTATGGTATGGCATGGTATGGTATGGTATGGCATGGCATGGCATGGTATGGCATGGTATGGTATGGTATGGCATGGTATGGTATGGTATGGTATGGTATGGCATGGTATGGCATGGTATGGTATGGTATGGTATGGCATGGCATGGTATGGTATGGTATGGTAGGAAAATGTAAAGTCTGTTTTGGAGTCAAAGGCTCTCCTCCTGTGCGGTGTACGGTTGTTGGAACAGTCTCACTCGACACTCAATTCTAAGGGAGTACTAACAAATATTTCTCAAAAAAGTCTTTTTGGGCACTTTTGCATTTCATTTGTTCATTTTGTTGCCACATCATTTTTGTTTTTGCCTTGAGCAAACAACACTGTGTCAGCAGCATACATGGTGACATTAGCGGTGCAGACAGACGGGAGGTCATTTGTATAAATGCTAAAAAGCAGAGGCCCCAAGATGGAGCCCTGCGGCACTCCCACGGTCTCTGAGTGGAGAGAGGGTGTTCACTCTCTCACTGCTGTCTGCCACTGAGCTATGACTTCAGTTTATTGTAAAAGCTTTTCGGAGGTCGAGGAACACCGCCCCCACCCCTTCTCCTTGATCAAGGCTAGATCTAATCTCTTCAGTGAAGTAACAGCAGCGGCTTCTGTGGAGTATTTGATTCTAAACCCGAATTATAGAAGCAATGGCTGCCAAAGTGTTCAATAAGCTGCTCTGCTACAACCTATTCAAAGATTTTGGAGATAGTGGGTAGGATGCTAATGCTAATGGGTAGGATGCTAATGCTAATGGGTAGGATGCTAATGCTAATGGATAGGATGCTACTGGTTTTAATTTAAAAAGGGTTTCCTCATCGACTTGGGGTTGATTATAAAAACATGGTGCTACGGGCGACAGTAGCTCAGTTGGTAGAGCATTGGCCTTTGGGCCTGAAGGTCGTGGGTTCAAGCCCACCATAAGACCTACTTCACGACTCCCACTGATGACTGCTGTCGTTGTGTCCTTGGGCAAGACACTTAACCCCACTTTGCCTGAAGCTCCAACTGAAAGATCTCAGCTCCTGTGGACTCACCACCTGCAGGAGGATCAGTGAGGGGCTGGTGCTAAGTGTACTGGGTGCAGCTCTGACTGCCACCCCCGACCCAGAAATGGATTAAGGGGAAGAAAATGGATGGATGGATGGTGCTACGAATGATTACACCAGTTTTTGAAATGAATCAATAAAATAATCATTAAAATGCATTGTCATAAAAGCACTATCATTTTGAATTCCACCTTTTACTTTTAGTTGCATATCACAATAAGTCCGGCATTTCCTCAGACGCTTATCCTTGAAGAAGTTAAGGAAGAATATGGCCTTGGCTTTTCTAATTAGTGCTGTTGCTTTATTTCGAAGTCTTCGAAGAATGAATGAGCTGAGTCCGAGAAGTCCAACAGTCCCATGAAAGTCTGATCTAAGTGAGTGTGCAACTGAAAAAGTCCTAAAACGAATTTATTGGCCATATTGTGTGTGTGGTTTACATATCGTCGGCCATCTTGTGTATGTATACCAGGCCGCACACACCCATGTTCCAGGAGACTCGTGGCGCGTTGGTCTCGGACGTTCTGATGGAGATGTGCACCCCGATGGGAGCCGAGGTCTGGAAGGAGCTGTCAATCACCTGGAACTCCATCTGTCAATCAAATCCATCACTTATTCTATATTATCCATAAACAACGTTTTCTTTGGTGTTTAATGATTTACAACGTGAAATAATGAGTAGAAATGTTATGGCGCCATCTACTGGTGTTTGTAAATCACAACGTAAGAGATTGAAACATGCTGGGACATGTCCGTGTGTGGAGAACCCGCCCACCTGGTCCACGGTGGGCTGTGATTGGCCGGTGTGGGGGGGCTGGTAGGCGATCTTCAGGTGGTTCAGGTCGTCCCACGAGAAAGAGCGAATCTCCCTGAAAACACAACAGCTGTAGTTAGTCTGGTCCTCTGAAGCTTAGCAGGGCAGAACCTGGTTAGCACTGTGATGGGAGACCTCCAGGAACACCAGATGCCACAGTGGGGCGGCTGCGGCAGGACACTTCCCCCACATTAGAATGGGAGGGGCTGTCAGTGTGTCCCAGGGCAGCTGTGGCTACAGAACGGTCTTTTAGAGTTAAAAAAACGGAATAATTATTATACTTATTATATCGTGTCACGCTCTAACACGTCCCTGTGTCACACTCTAACACGTCCCTGTGTCACACTCCAACACGTCCCTGTGTCACGCTCTAACACGTCCCTGTGTCACGCTCTAACACGTCCCTGTGTCACGCTCTAACACGTCCCTGTGTCACGCTCTTACTTGTCCCCTGTGTCACGCTCTTACTTGTCCCCTGTGTCACGCTCTTACTTGTCCCCTGTGTCACGCTCTTACTTGTCCCCTGTGCTCACCATGGGTCTATTATAATAACTGGATAGGGTATTACTAGCTTGTAGCTGAATAACCCATGTGCTCAGGGGATTCTCGCGGTACTGCAGACTGAACCAGACTAAATTCACGTGGGCTACCCAGAAATTTTCCCCATAGAACTCAATGCATATTAAAACAGCTCGACCTCAGCTGACAGAGAACCTACAGCTTTAATAAAGATCGGATTTTGTGGGGATTTTAGTGTCCCTTGTCATCCTGAACTTTTTTTCTTCTTAAATCCTTCAGTTTTCTTTAAATCCACACTTTAGTGCCACAAACTCTGCTCGTCTGGCTCTCGCTCTAACTCCCGCTCTGATGAACTGCTCTGATTGGTCAGAGCGCGGCCGAGCCCCTCTGTGCACGTGCGTGAGACCCGGTGTGAGACCCGCACACGGGTATTTGACGCAACGCATTATGGGAGATCATCCACTGCACAGAACCGGGAGGACCAGACGATGCCCAAATACAGGTGAGTTTCCCAAAGATCTTTGAGAGTTTCCCAAAGATCTTTGCGAGTTTCCCATAGATCTTTGAGAGTTTCCCATAGATCTTTGAGAGTTCCAGGCGACTTCCGCTAATCTTTCAGCCCCCATGCCGTCACAAAGCGCCACTGAGCACAAACCGTTCATTTGAATAGGGCGCCATCTTGGATCGCCGGGGCTTGGTGCTCACCTGCTGTGGTCCTCCAGGTGCGTCAGGTAACCTCCACTGGGGGGCACCGTCACGTTGAACACCAGTCGTTCCCGCGGCGTCTCTGCGTCCTCTGCGTCCAGCGTTGCCACGGTGACCGGCGTCAACACGAACTGGTCGACCTCCAAGATGGCCGACATCATGAAGGAGGCGCGAGGGGGCGTGTCCGGGAGGGCGGGGCCTATCCGCACTGGAACCCAGAACAGCTGCGACTGCGGAGACATGTGACATCACAGGTTAGAGACAGCAGTGTGTCTCTCACTCACCTCCAGAAGGGCCCTCCCTCACCCACTCACTTCCAGAAGGCCCCTCCCTCTCTCATTCACCTCCAGAAGGCCCCTCCCTCACTCACTCACCTCCAGAAGGCCCCTCCCTCTCTCACTCACCTCCAGAAGGTCCCGTGTCTCCCTCTCTCTGGTCTCGATCCTCAGTTGAATGAAGTCGGTCTGGGGGGAGGGGGGGCTGAGGTGCTGGTATCTGAGTCCAGACCGGAGGAAGTCCTCACAGCTGGACTTCAGCAGGACCACGGGCCGTGTGTGGTCCAGACAGGGGCTGTTCCCAGAGCACTCTGAGACCCGGTCTGAGTCAGGAACTGGACCAGGGTCTGAGCCAGGGACTGGACCAGGGACTGGACCAGGGGGGAGGAGAGACAAAGGCATGAGAGGCCCCAGTGATCAATCCAAGAATTAGCTTCATGAACAATGCATTTAATTTTTTTATTTTCAGTAAAACAAAAGACCAGAGAGAGACCAGCGATAGAGATCAGAGAGAGACCAGAGAGAGAGAACTCACGTCTCTGAGTGCTGTGGTTGTGTCTCTCTGGTGCCACCAGCTGTCCCACCTGCAGACCCCCGTACAGCCTCACGGAGCAGGCCTGGTCCAGCCCGGTCCGGATCCGCAGGACTGAGGAGTCTATGGGGTTGGACAGTCCCAGGAAGAGAGGCACCAGGAGGGGGACTGGACCCAGAGAGACCCAGGGCTCTGGAGGGTCTGAGATCCGGACCGAGAGAAGAAGAGTCTGGAGCTGGGTTTGGGAGGGGCTGAAGCTGAGGGGACAGGGTAGAACCAGGGACACAGTTACCATGACGACAGAGTTGGACCGGGGACACAGTTACCATGACCACAGAGGAACTTGGTCTCACCGGTAAACCCTGAACATGACCGAGTCCTCCTGCAGCCGCGGGTTCCCACTGTGCTCGTACTTCACCTCGTCGTCCTGGAAACTGCAGTCAAACACCTGAAACATCAACCAGAGCTCTGACTGCAGACGCTGCTCCCAGCTCTGAACCACAACAATCCTTTACAGCGACTGCATCATCTGTCAGTTTTAAACTCCTGAGATAAGAGGACCAAGACCAAGACCAGGATCATGACAGGACCAGGACCAGGACCAGGACCTGGACAGGAACAGGCCGGTTCTCCAGCCAAGGTCCGACTTTATTGAAGCCAATAGGATTCAATAAATACAAACATACTACAACAAAATACTTCAAAAAATGGCGAAACAAAACAGAAAAAGAGGACATCTTGGGGAGGCTCCGCTCTGAGAGAGAGACCAGAGAGACACCAGAGAGAGACCAGAAAGAGACCAGAGTGAGACCAGAGAGAGACCAGAGAGAGACCAGAGAGACACCAGAGAGACACCAGAGAGAGACCAGAGAGAGACCAGAAAGAGACCAAAGAGAGACCAGAGAGAGACCAGAGAGAGACCAAAGAGAGACCAGAGAGAGACCAGAGAGAGACCAGAGAGACACCAGAGAGAGACCAGAGAGAGACCAGAGAGACCAGAGAAAGATCAGAGAGAGAGACCAGAGAGAGACCAGAGAGAGACCAGAGAGAGACCAAAGAGAGACCAGAGAGAGACCAGAGAGAGACCAGAGAGAGACCAGAGAGAGACCAAAGAGAGACCAGAGAGAGACCAGAGAGAGACCAGAGAGAGACCAGAGAGAGACCAGAGAGAGACCAGAGAGACACCAGAGAGAGACCAGAGAGACACCAGAGAGAGACCAGAGAGACACCAGAGAGAGACCAGAGAGAGACCAGAGAAAGATCAGAGAGAGAGACCAGAGAGACCAGAGAGAGACCAGAGAGAGACCAGAGAGAGAGACCAGAGAGACACCAGAGAGAGACCAGAGAGAGACCAGAGAGACACCAGAGAGAGACCAGAGAGAGACCAAAGAGAGACCAGAGAGAGACCAGAGAGAGACCAGAGAGAGACCAGAGAGACACCAGAGAGAGACCAGAGAGACACCAGAGAAAGATCAGAGAGAGAGACCAGAGAGACCAGAGAGAGACCAGAGAGACACCAGAGAGAGACCAGAGAGAGACTAGAGAGAGACCAGAGAGACCAGAGAAAGATCAGAGAGAGACCAGAGAGAGACCAGAGAAAGATCAGAGAGAGAGACCAGAGAGACACCAGAGAGAGACCAGAAAGACACCAGAGAGACACCAGAGAGAGACCAGAGAGAGAGACCAAAGACAGAGATCTCAGAGTGCCCGGAGGAGAGGCTCTGGGTCTGCTTGCTGAAAGTGAAACCATACCAGAGTTTCATTTTTGTACCTACCTGTGGCGTGACTCCGCCCACCATGGCTGTGATTGGCTGGTTGAGCACCACCTCCACCTTGCAGTCCGGGCCCCTGAGGAGCTGCAGGTGTTTGGGGGTGACGAAGGCAAAGCGGCCCCTGAGAACCTCCAGGGGCCCCACGTGGACGAGGGCCCCACTGTGACAGACAGGCAGACACACACATAGCCACACACACACACGCAGGGCGGCCATCTTGGATCCTACAGACACCGAGGGGTCATGAAGACAAGCTGAGGACAGAGGAACACACTGCACCATTCTGTCCACACCAGAGAGGGAGGGACCAGAGGGAGACCAGGGAGAGACCAGAGAGAGACCAGAGAGAGACTATACAGAGACCAGAGAGAGACCAGAGGGAGAGACCAGAGAGAGAGACCAGAGAAAGACCAAAGGGAGACCAGAGAGAGACCAGAGAGAGACTAGAGAGAGACTAGAGAGAGACCAGAGGGAGACCAGAGAGAGACCAGAGGGAGACCAGAGAGAGACCAGAGAGAGACCAGAGAGAGAGACTAGAGAGAGAGACCAGAGAGTGACCAGAGAGAGAGACCAGAGAGAGAGACCAGAGAGAGACCAGAGAGAGACCAGAGAGAGACCAGAGAGAGAGACTAGAGAGAGAGACCAGAGAGAGAGACCAGAGAGAGACCAGAGAGAGGCCAGAGAGAGACCAGAGAGAGACCAGAAAGAGACCAGAGAGAGACCAGAGAGAGACCAGAGAGAGCCTAGAGAGAGAGACCAGAGAGAGACCAGAGCGAGACCAGAGCTAGAGACCAGAGAGAGAGAGACCAGAGAGTGACCAGAGAGAGAGACCAGAGAGAGAGACCAGAGAGAGACCAGAGAGGCCAGAGAGAGACCAGAGAGAGACCAGAAAGAGACCAGAGAGAGACCAGAGAGAGAGCCTAGAGAGAGAGACCAGAGAGAGACCAGAGAGAGAGCCTAGAGAGAGAGACCAGAGAGAGACCAGAGAGAGACCAGAGCTAGAGACCAAAGAGAGAGACAGAGAGAGACCAGAGAGAGAGACCAGAGAGAGAGACCAGAGAGAGACCAGCAGAGAGAGAGACCAGAGAGAGAGGACCAGAGAGAGACCAGAGAGAGACCAGAGAGAGACCAGAGAGAGACCAGAGAGAGACCAGAGAGAGACCAGAGAGAGACCAGAGAGAGACCAGAGAGAGACCAGAGAGAGACCAGAGAGAGACCAGAGAGAGACCAGAGAGAGACCAGAGAGAGACCAGAGAGAGACCAGAGAGACCAGAGAGAGACCAGAGAGAGAGACCAGAGAGAGACCAGAGAGAGACCAGAGAGAGACCAGAGAGAGACCAGAGAGAGACCAGAGAGAGACCAGAGAGAGACCAGAGAGAGACCAGAGAGAGACCAGAGAGAGACCAGAGAGAGACCAGAGAGAGACCAGAGAGAGACCAAGAGAGAGACCAAGAGAGACCAGAGAGAGACCAGAGAGAGACCAGAGAGAGACCAGAGAGAGACCAGAGAGAGACCAGAGAGAGACCAGAGAGAGACCAGAGAGAGACCAGAGAGAGACCAGAGAGAGACCAGAGAGAGACCAGAGAGAGACCAGAGAACGAGACTCACGAGCGCCTATTCTCGGTCAAGAAAGTGGCGGTTTCTCGGGCCCGTAGAAGGCGAACCACGGGGGCTAGAGACATGGGGTTTGGACCCACGCACTCCTCCGGACCTGGGCTATACATCCTCCGTGAATTTCACTCATGGGAAATGAAAGACAAAAAAGTTACGGCCTGCGTAAAAGGGGCTTGAGCTCCAAAAGCGTGTGTGCCTGGGAATACAGGGAGAGCCTCCGGAAATTCGTTAAAAATCAACGCAGAGGCCCAGAGACTCGCGGTCTGGACCCAGGGACTCCCCTGGTCCAGGGGTACCCGCGGTGTGAATTTGACGCGCGGGGGACAAAGGACCAGAAAGTTATGGCCCTTGGAAACCACCGGGGGACCGCGCGCCTGCCATCCGCCCAAGAGCGCTCCTTCTGGGGGAGGAGAACCTCGGCTTACATGGCTCGTAGAAAACGAACCATGAGGGCTAGAGACACGGGGTCTTCACCCACGCACTCCTCCGGACCTGGGCTACCACCGGGGCGGGCTTTGCTCCCGCTCAGATCCGGGCCTGGGCGCCCATTCCCGGGGGAAGTAAGCCCCGCTTTCCGGGCTCCTCAAAGCCTAAACACTTAGGTTTTTTTCTCAAAACACTTAGTCTGATTTTCAACGTGTGCCTGGTCCTACAGCCTAAACACTTAGGTTTTTTCTCAAAACACTTAGTCTGATTTTCAACGTGTGCCTGGTCCTACAGTCTAGACACTTAGGTTATTTTCTCAAAACACTTAGTCTGATTTTCAACGTGTGCCTGGTCCTACAGCCTAAACACTTAGGTTTTTTCTCAAAACACTTAGTCTGATTTTCAACGTGTGCCTGGTCCTACAGCCTAAACACTTAGGTTTTTTCTCAAAACACTTAGTCTGATTTTCAACGTGTGCCTGGTCCTACAGCCTAAACACTTGGGTTTTTTTCTCAAAACACTTTCTGCACACCCACACATACACGTTTTTGTTACCTGGTGGGTCCCTTTGACAGGGCCGTTCAGAATGGGACCCATAGACATAATCTTTTTTTACCAAGACTTTAAGTAATACAAAACAGTCAATAGAAACCAAACAACTATTTTAAAGGAATTTTATTTTAGATTTTGTTTTCGAATTGCAGTGATTCTATTTTTGACATAGAATTTAATGCCACTCCATGTCCGATGTCTAAGGTCATCTGGTGAGGCATTAATGCAGGCCAGGCAGTGAGACTTCCCAGGGACCTTTCCAGTCTGTATGAAAGGTGTCATGGTCTTCTCCACAGCCTTCACCTCAGATGCAGACCATGGCTTTCTTACACGTTCTAGGGAGAGAAATAAAAATATATTAGCAATATACACTCCCAGGGTGAGGACCAAGCAGCCTGGCTGTAATCCCCCACCTGGTACACTTACCAGAAGGGGCACTGCCACTACCATGGGGTGCATCTGGATGAATGGTTGAAGGTTCTCCGCTTGAAGTTTCTTTTAGCCCGTCCGTTTGTGAGAGGATCTCTACTGCTCTCCCTGTCGCACAGAAAATAAAAATACAAGTGGCCTTTAGGGGAAAAAAATCATACATATTTTAATAATATCAAGAATTACCTTCAGGCTCAATTTGTATCTGGTCGAGGCTCTTTCCTTCGAATTCCGTCACTCTTCCCTGCTCCATGGCCATCAACACTTTGCTGATTTTGGCCAGCTCCAGTGTCCCCTCTGGTAGTCTGTAATATTGCCTGTGGATGCGAATGTCATGGCCGAGGAAGTTGGCAAGTATGTCCATCTCATTCTCTTTCATATTGAGAACTGTAGACATAGTAGCTATGTGCTTTCTAAGTTTGGTTGAGGATAGCATCTCTGGATGCACCGCACCACATTCTTTGGCTACCTGGCGTAGGGAGTCTGATCCCCTGATGTGGGTGTCTGCGCCCGGGCGGGAAAAGAAGTATGGGTTATGGTCAGAGATGGAACAGGCCCTTCTGTTCTCCACCAGCACCTCCATCGAAGCAATCATTTCAGGAGTCAAAAGAACCGGCACTTTCCGACTTCTTTTCCCTTTAATTTCAATGCGTTGAAAATGCTGACACAGCTTTTTCTCAAGTTGGGACAGTCCCAGAGCAATGTCAGAATGGATCCCAGTCTTACTTCTTAAGGTAAAGGCTGTCAGTGGCATCTTTGAAACCTCACCTTCCCTTCTTCGATTGAAAATGATGACCTCACAAAGAGTCAAAACTGCCAGTTTAGACCAATGCTTAGACGTTGGCTCACTTATTAGGGTTTGCACATATTCAGGTCGACATACCTCAATATGTGCATGCATGGCTCTAACGTCCTCAGTCAGAGGGAGCAGGTCCGGAGTGTTCCACTTGGCTTGCCGGAGGGTCTGTAGGGCAGCAGAAGAAACACAGACGTCCCACCTCTTCTCAAAAAGCAGCCGGCTTCGTTGGAGGTTTTTAATAAATAGTTCATCAACACAATGCTCCATTTTTGAGTCACATTCAAGAATATCTGCTAGCTTTCTGAGGCTATGGCCGAGTTTGAGGGCCAAGGATGGAGTCTTGTATTGATTTGTTTCCTCATCATATCCAGCCACAGACCTGACTGCATCAATCACATGGTTAAAGTTGGAAGGAATAAAGAAATCCTTAATTGTTTTCAGTTTCCCTGCGGTTTTTGCTTCGTTAATTAACCTACCGACTTCTCTCATTTTCTGCCTAATGTAATCATGCTTTGTCTTATCATGCCCGTGTTTTAAGTACAGGTGCTCTCCGAGTCTCAGAATCCCCTTTTCTGCTTTGACAACACCCGTGACCTCATCCTGATGCATTGCCGAAATTAAAGACCACAGCTTTTTGCTGATGCCCTCCGGTACAGGCTGGGCTAGGGAGCAGAGGGACTGGACCCTACTTCTACCTGGTTTAGCCTGGGCATCTTTCTGTGAAAGCCGGCACCTGGCCACATGCCTCCACAGCGACTTTCGCTTAAGCAATGCCCCACAGTCTATACAGTGCAAAAACTCACTGGATTTAACTGGGCAATTTGGCTGTTTAGCTGGGACTAAAGTTCCAATGCCGGCCTTTAAAACCTCAAAATTGTGCTCACGGTTTCCACTATTCCTGATCAAATCAAACTGAAGTTTACGTGCTTTAGATTTCACAGGTAGAGCCAATGCTCTGGCTACGTCACTTTCATTTCCATGTTTTCTAGTCAAATGACGGGACATTTTGTGGCAGGACATTGAACAGTAGAGGCAGAAGTGTCTCTTGCTGTATACTCGCCCCCCATTTTTCTTCTTTTGCAGCTGCATGATAACAATCTTATTTGCCTTTGGTTCGTCACTTTCCGAGTCTTGAAGAAAAGTGTTTTTGATTTTTCTTTTTCCATACTTTTTTACAGGTTTCTTCTTGACAGTTAAATCGTCAGAATCTGAGTCGACTTCATCAATTAGGGACTCTTGACTAAGCTGCACAAACAACAAATAATTTGTAATCATTCTATATAACAATTTGAAGTCATGACTTGTAGTCAGCACTTACCAGTGGTTTGTAAGCGTGCGCTTCAGTGTGCTCCTCCATGATTTCTTGCAGCCTAATGAACCACACACTTGCACCTTTTTCTAGCCTGACACCTGATTTCCTCTGTTGTGCTGCTCCATGATTGGCTCCAGCCTGCTGGACTGAAATTGCCCCAGTGTGCCCCTCCTTGATATCCCGCAACCCACCACCAGGGTTCCGACACATAACACACTTTTTTCAGGAAAGTAAACCTCCAGGGGTCCTTTCCATATTTTTACAGAGACTGCATAAGGACCGTTAGAAAAGCATTACCCATTGATTATTAAGCTTGGACCAGTGGGGTCCGGTGTTCGGGCCCCACCACGTAAAACCAGTCCCCATGACGTGAGTGGAATCTCAGGTTATGGAACCCACCAGGAGTTGAAAACAAGTGCACACATGCCATTCCACACTTGCGCACGCTTTCCCCGTTCCCTTCATACGTGACATCCACTCCCATCATCCATACTCTCCTCCGTCTCTCTCCTCCTTTAATAGTCCTCCAAAGTGGCACTTGTGCGGGTTAGAACTACATTGGAGCTTACATATACTGTACACACACATACATATACACACACACATATTTACACACATACATATACACACACACATGCGTATACACACACACATTTACACACATACATATACACACACATACGTATACACACACATATTTACACACACACATACGTATACACACCCATATTTACACACATACGTATACACACCCATATTTACACACATACATATACACACACATATTTACACACATCCCCGTGGCTTCTACTTAACTTTTTAAGTTGTTGCGTCTTTTTACTACCTTTCCTGAAGAAGATCAACGATCAAAGAGAAAACTATCAAGTTCGACATTAGTAAAGAGGATTATTGCTCCCAGCAAGGTGTTTGTTTTTGTTTTGTTTTTTTTCCGCGGACCCACGGAGGCTAAGCTCGCCGCTCGCCAACAGTGAATCCGCGAAGGAGAACCCAAAACACAGACTGACGCCGGAGGGACAAGAGATCTCATTACTAATGCAGCACCATGACTGCCAAAGAGGTAAAGAAGGAGATTGAAGAACTAAAAGCCTCAATGAACATGATGGGTGAGCAATTGAACATTATTGCTGAACAACAAGGGACTATTGTGGGCTTAGTGAAGGAAATTCACGAGCTAAAAAAGCTCAGCCAGGAGCAACAAAACAAAATCAACTTTCTGGAGTCACGAGTGGCAGACTTGGAACAATATACGCGAATGAACGATGTAATTATTACTGGTCTGCCTCTCAAACCACCATCATATGCTCACGCGCTGAAGGGGGCGCAGAAAGAAGAAAACGAGGAGCAAAATGCTTCAATAGAAGCCCAGGTGACTAGATATCTTCAGAATAAGGACATTTATGTAAATAGAGATGGTATTGAAGCATGTCACACTCTGCGGTCTCAAAATCCTAACGTAAAGTCAGTTGTTATTGTAAGATTTGTAAATAGAAAGGACAAAAGGGAATTACTGAGCCAAGGAAGAAATCTAAAAGGAACAAACGTATATATAAATGAACATCTCACAAAAGCAAACGCCGAAATAGCTAAAAAAGCAAGGTTTCTTAAAAAACAAGGTAAAATCATGGCTACATGGACCTCTAACTGTAAAGTCTATATTAAGACAAACGGCACACCAGAGGAGGCCAGTAGCTAAATAGCTAAAAACAAGAGACAAATTATATGTGGAGATTTTAATATCAATTTAGGAAACCCAAGTGAACAAATAGCAAGTGACTTCTTGAACTCAATGAATACCATGTGCCTCTTTCCTTTAATATCAAAACCTACAAGGATAACATCTCAAAGTGCCACAGTAATAGATCATATTTTTACCAATATGAATGAAGATCATATTATGAGTGGAATTTTGACAACAGATATTAGCGATCACCTAGCAATATTTGCAATATTTAAACACAATCAGAACACAAAACCAACCAGTTTTGAATAGACTGCAAGAAGAAACAGGTCGGAAAAAGCCCTAGAGGCACTAAACAGAGATCTTAGACATCAGAAGTGGGATGCGGTCTATGTAAATGATGTCAATATAGCATATAACGCCTTCATAGAAACAATAAGTACATTGTATGATAAAAATTGCAAAATCATATATTTAAAAAACAAAAGGGAAGATCAACCATGGATGACGAAAGGGTTAAAGAATGCTTGTAAAAAGAAAAACTTTCTATACAAATGTTTTATTAAAACTCCATCGAAAGAGACAGAAAACAGGTATAAGAAGTATAAAAACAAATTAATCTGGATCATCAGAAACCGAAAGAAACAATATTACAGTGATAAACTAAATGAGAACAAGAGTAACACACAAGCTACTTGGAGAATATTAAATAATGTAATGAAAAACAACAAAATTAAACATGTGTACCCAAATTATTTTGTAAAGGACAGTCTTGAAATATCCAACGAAATAAACATATCAAATGAATTTTGTAAATACTTTGTAGAGACTCGATAGCAAAACAAATTCCAAAGCCAACCTCTAGCACTGAAAACACAATAGTAGATCATGTGAACAGTATTTTTCTTTCCAATGTAGAACAAGACGAAGTACGAAAAATTGTAAATGAATGTGAAAACAAAAGATCAACCGACTATGATGGTTTAGACATGATGATTGTTAAAATCATTTTTGAATCTGTAATTGAGCCTTTTACACACATTTGCAACTTGTCACTAAAAACAGGAACCTTTCCTGATGGTATGAAAACAGCCAAAATAATACCTCTTTACAAAAATGGGGACAAGCACCACTTTTCAAATTATAGACCAGTGTCCTTGCTGCCACAGTTTTCAAAAATCTTGGAAAAAGTATTTGCAATAAGGCTGGATAGCTTTTTACAAAAAGAAAATATATTAATTAAAAATCAATATGGCTTTAGAAAAAAACACTCAACTGCAATGGCAATAATGGAACTGACGGAGAAAATAGCAAGAGAAATAGATCAAAAAAATTATATAGTAAGTATCTTTTTAGACCTGCAAAAGGCTTTTGATGTAATTAACCACCCCAGATTATTATGGAAACTCCAGAAGTATGGAATCAGAGGCATTGCTCAAAAATGGATCTCCAGTTATCTTGAAAATCGCAAACAGTTTGTCCAAATAAACAGTACGTATTCAGAACCATGCGATATCAGTTGGGGGGTGCCGCAAGGCTCAATACTAGGACCAATTTTGTTTATATTATACATGAATGATTTTCCAAAAGCATCAACTGTATTACAAAGCATCTTATTCGCTGATGACACCACATTATTTTACTCTGGAAATAATATAGGAGAGTTAGAAATAGTAATAAACAAAGAACTTGCAAAAATAAAAAGCTGGCTAGATCAAAATAAATTGGCGCTAAACATTAAAAAAACCAATTACATGATATTCAATGATAAAAAGAAAAATCTTGGAAATAGTATATCCATAACAATAGACGGCCTGGAAATCCAAAGGGTAAAGGAAACAACATTTTTGGGAGTCATCATTGACGAGGACCTAAACTGGAAATCTCACATACACTATACAAAAGGAAAATTAGCCAAATCAATTGGTGTGTTACATAAAGTGAAATACTTTCTTACCCACACAGCATTAATTACCTTATATAATACAATGATTATACCATATCTAACCTATTGTGTCGAAATTTGGGGGACAACTTTTAAAACATATACACAGCCAATATTTATTTTACAAAAAAGAGCCCTAAAAATAGTGAACAACAAAAGATATCGAGACTCATCAAATCCTGTTTTTTTAGAGTGTAAGGTGTTAAAATTTTATGATATAGTGGATTATAATATTTTTCAGATATTGTATAAAGCAAATTGCAAATCATTACCCGCAAACATTCAAGAGAACTTTGAAAAAAGACAAAGTCAGTACAATCTGAAAGGAACTGATATCTTTAAAAAACCTAGATTCAGAACCAAAAGTCATGGAAAGAACAGTCTCAGTGAAAGGAATCAACTTGTGGAACGCACTTAACAAAGACATTAAAGAGTCAAAAAACATAATAGTTTTTAAGAAACAAATCAAAACTACTATATTCAGGACATATGAGAGTGTTACATGAGAATAAAATCTGGATTTAAATTGATGGTTTGTTTTTGAAGAAATGGAAAGTAAGGTGTGATACATAAAGTGTAAGGTAAAGTGTAAGGTAAAGTATTAAGGTATGTATTATGTAATATATGTGTAAATAATGTAATTTGTTTAAACTGTAAAAGGGATGTGTAAAAATCATTTGGAGCAGTTAAATCTTTCAGATGCAATGGACAACTCTTAACCATGAATAGCACATGACCAAGATCTATAGTGCAGGAAAACAAGTTGTCATGTTGTGATTGCCATTACTGTTTAAACAGATGCAAGTAAATCAGAGCAGACGAGATATGGTTGGATTGGCGGGCTCCCTTTTGCCAAGCGGCCTCAACACCTCGTTTTTAACGCACCACACAGCAAGAATATACAACGCAAATTTTCCTACATTTCCATTGGTCAGGGAGGTTGGGAGTGGGGCGGGTTGAGTGGGGGCTATTACCTTCTCTCGACTGGCTCATTCTACCCACTGTTTTTAATGCACTGCACTATGTAGGGTCTACATACATAACCATGTTAACATTAAATAAACAGCTTTGGGTAAAAATGGCAACAAGTGACAAGTGACAACAAGACCTAAGAACATCATTGGTGCGAAATCAGCATTTAAAATTACTATTCATGGAGACGAGTGTAAATTGTATATCTGAGAGAAATATGCCTGTATATCATTTGAACTCCTGTAAAGTGAAAAGTTTGTAACAAGGGGTAGGAAGCATAAGTTTCACTTCTACCTACTCCTTTTCGAATTATGCATATATATGTTTCTTCTTTTTGTTTTGTTTTGTATTGCGCATGTAATTCGAAATAAACACTACTACTACTACTACTACTACATATACACACACATATTTACACACACATACGTATACACACACATATTTACACACATATACATATACACACACATATTTACACATACATATACACACACATATTTACACACATACATATACACACACATATTTACACACACATACATATACACACACATATTTACACACATACATATACACACACATATTTACACACACATACATATACACACACATACATATAGTGGGGCAAAAAAGTATTTAGTCAGCCTCCGATTGTGCAAGTTCTCCCACTTAAAATAAAGACAGCGGTCTGTAATGTTCATCATAGGTTCATTTCAACTGTGAGAGACAGAATGTGGAAGAAAAAAAATCCAGGAATTCACATTGTAGGATTTTTAGAGAATTTATTTGTAAATGATGGTGGAAAATAAGTATTTGGTCACTTCAAACAAGGAAGATCTGTGGCTCTCACAGACCTGTAACTTCTTCTTTAAGAAGCTCTTCTGTCCTCCACTCGTTACCTGTATTAATGGCTCCTGTTTGAACTCATCTGTATAAAAGACACCTGTCCACAGCCTCAAACAGTCAGACTCCAAACTCCACTATGGCCAAGACCAAAGAGCTGTCGAAGGACACCAGGAAAAGAATTGTAGACCTGCACCAGACTGGGAAGAGTGAATCTACAATAGGCAAGCAGCTTGGTGTGAACAAATCAACTGTGGGAGCAATTATCAGAAAATGGAAGACATACAAGACCACTGATAATCTCCCTCGATCTGGGGCTCCACGCAAGATCTCATCCCGTGGGGTCAAAATGATCATGAGAACGGTGATCAAAAATCCCAGAAGCACACGGGGGGACCTGGTGAATGACCTGCAGAGAGCTGGGACCAAAGTAACAAAGGTTACCATCAGTAACACGACGACAGGGAATCAAACCCTGCAGTGCCAGACGTGTCCCCCTGCTGAAGCCAGTGCATGTCCAGGCCCGTCTGAAGTTTGCCAGAGAACACATGGATGATACAGCAGAGGATTGGGAGAATGTCATGTGGTCAGATGAAACCAAAGTACAACTGTTTGGTATAAACTCAACTCGTCGTGTTTGGAGGAAGAATACTGAGTTGGATCCTAAGAACACCATACCTACAGGGAAGCATGGGGGTGGAAACGTCATGCTTTGGGGCTGTTTTTCTGCTAAGGGGACAGGACGACTGATCCGTGTTAAGGAAAGAAGGAATGGGTCCATGTATCGTGAGATTTTGAGCCAAAACCTCCTTCCATTGAGTTGAATTTCTGTTATTGACCAAATACTTATTTTCCACCATCATTTACAAATAAATTCTTTAAAAATCCTACAATGGGAATTCCTGGATTTTTTTTTTTCACATTCTGTCTCTCACAGTTGAAGTGAACCTATGATGACAATTACAGACCTGTCATTATTTTAAGTGGGAGAACTGGCACTATCGGTGGCTGACTAAATACTTTTTTGCCCCACTGTATATATACACACACATACATACAGTTCCTTGTGAAAGTATTCGGCCCCCTTGAACCTTTCAACATTTCGCCACATTTCAGGCTTCAAACATAAAGATATAAAAATTAAATTTTTTGTCAAGAATCAACAACAAGTGGGACACAATCGTGAAGTGGAACAAAATTTATTGGATAATTTAAACTTTTTTAACAAACTGAAAAGTGGGGCGTGCAATATTATTCGGCCCCCTTGCGCTAATACTTTGTAGCGCCACCTTTTGCTGCAATTACAGCTGCAAGTCGCTTGGGGTATGTCTCTATCAGTTTTGCACATGGAGAGACTAGAATTCTTGCCCATTCTTCCTTGCAAAACAGCTGGAGCTCAGTGAGGTTGGATGGAGAGCGTTTGTGAACAGCAGTCTTCAGCTCTTTCCACAGATTCTCGATTGGATTCAGGTCTGGACTTTGACTTGGCCATTCTAACACCTGGATACGTCTATTTGTGAACCATTCCATTGTAGATTTGGCTTTATGTTTTGGATCATTGTGCTGTTGGAAGATAAATCTCTGTCCCAGTCTCAGGTCTTTTGCAGACTCCAACAGGTTTTCTTCCTGTTCTTGTTTGAGATGAAAGTTTGGAGGGACGGCCGGGTCTTGGTAGATTTGCAGTGGTCTGATACTCCTTCCATTTCAATATAATTGCTTGCACAGTGCTCCTTGAGATGTTTAAAGCTTGGGAAATCTTTTTGTATCCAAATCCAGCTTTAAACTTCTCCACAACAGTATCTCGGACCTGCCTGGTGTGTTCCTTTGTCTTCATGGTTCTCTCTGCGCTTTAAACAGAACCCTGAGACTATCAAAGAGCAGGTGCATTTATACGGAGACTTGATTACACACAGGAGCATTCTATTTATCATCATCAGTCATTTAGGACAACATTGGATCATTCAAAGATCCTCACTGAACTTCTGGACTGAGTTTGCTGCACTGAAAGTAAAGGGGCCGAATAATATTGCACGCCCCACTTTTCAGTTTTTTATTTGTTAAAAAAGTTTAAATTATCCAATACATTTTGTTACACACACACACATACATTTACACACACACACACACATACATGTGCACACACACACACACACACACACACACACACACATACATGTGCACACACACACACACACACATACATGTGCACACACACACACACACACACACACACACACACACACACACACACACACACACACACACACACACACACACACACACACACACACACACAGACAGGTCTGTCGCGCTCCTCTGTGTCACGCAGCTCCAGTCAAACCACATGGACCATGTTTGTGCTGCTGGTCCTGAGCATTAGATCCACACACATCACTGGTATTTTAACTTTAGAGGAGACCTGTGAGACACGTCACTCGCTGCTCTGACCATGTGGACGAGCCTGACCATGTGGACGAGCCTGACCATGTGGACGAGCCGTCGTTTGCGGCTGAAAAGCTTTAACCCAGCGGCACAGAACAATGGGAAGATAAAAGTAACAGTTCTCTGTGAGCAAAGCAGCTGAAGCTGTTGCGGGTATCGCTCCGCTCGGCTCTGACCCAGTAGAACATTGTTAGATTATATTCAAAAGGGCTGAAGAACGTGGAATATTTTAAACTACGTGGTTAACCTGTTTCAGCCGGTTAATGAGGCTCGATGGTCACTCATAGTTTCATAGTTTTTTACATCCCTAGCTTGTACGTTAATACTTGCTAGTCTGCTGACCTCTGACTTAAAATGCTTTGAGCACAACTTGGCAAGGATGAGTCTGTCTACCCCATTGCACATGAATCATCTCAAACACATTATAAAGTGTTGACGTATTTGATCCGAACATTTTGATTGGATGATATTGGCGTTGGGGCCACAATAACTCCACGGCTGTCTACTGAGACCAGTTATGGACTTGCGCACTATGATTTAAGTGGCTCACCACTTAAACAAGCGCTCAGGAGCCGGCCCATTTCAGTCCAATTTCTCTAAATTGGGTTATTGTTTTTGGTTTTGGCAAAGCCTATGATTTATGCATACATCTTTATGTAATAATTGATATTAATTTGATAAATTATTTTTGATAAAATATAATTGTTATAGATTATTACTAGATAAAGAAAACCAATTCTATAGACAATTATTTTGAGACTGCATAGTGCTAAACAGCGCCATCTGGTGGCACCAGGCCCCACTGGCCCTAGTGCAAAGACGTCATAATAGCTGTCCCTATGTCTATTTTCTCTGAACACTTGTGCCTCTATTTGCACATAACTTTTGTGGACTCTTCTTTTTTGGGGGGGACCCTGGGTCGCATCCCTCTCCTCCCCCACATTCCTTTCCTTTGCCTGAAAGACACACACTCCCTAACTATAACTCCCTAATCCCTCCTCTACATTACACTGGCTCAAACACATCGTCAAACATCACAGAAAGTAGAAGTGTGTGGACGTGTGCTGTATTTAAACTGCATCAGTCTGACGTGGACACTGATCCTGAACTCTGACAGAACTCCTTTATAAACAATACATTCTTCAACAACACTATTTAGTTCTTTTTTCTCCCTAATCATAAAATGTACACAATCTTTGAAAACATGTGACCTGAGATCTAATGTCTGAAGAAAAACAACCACTGCTACCACTGCTACTACTGCTGCTGCTACTGCTGCTACTACTGCTACTGCTACAACTACTACTACTATTACTGCTACTATTGCTACTACTGCTACTACTACAACAAACACATGGAGGGGCAGAGGCCAAAGTCCATAAAAGTATTCCCTTTAATCCTCAGGCGCTGGACCGTAGCGACTCCTCGGGCCGTAGAGGCGGCTCGCATACTCAGCCCAAATGTCCCGAGTGCGAGCAGGAGTTTGACGGGCGCGAGGAGCTGCACGCGCACATGGCCGAACTGCACGGCGCCGACAAACCCATCAGCTGCCCCGTGTGTGCCCGCAGCTTCACCCGCAACGGCTCGCTGAAGCTGCACATGGCCATGCACATGCGCGAGAAGCCGTTCACCTGCCCTGTGTGCGCGCGCGGCTTCACCCAGAAGGGAAACCTGCGCTCACACATGGCCCAGCACACGGGAGAGAAACCTTTCAGCTGCTCCCAGTGCGACGCCCGCTTCCCCATCAAGGTGAGCTTTAATAACACACACCTGTTATCACTCACACAGATTATCACACAAACACACAGACACACACACAGTTCTCTGATGTGTTGTTGCTCCACAGCGCACCCTGCTGCGCCACATGAAGCTGCACACCGGCGAGCGCCCGTACAGCTGTCCGTACTGCGACAAGAGCTTCACGCGTAAAGAGCACGTGCGGCTGCACATGTCGGTGCACACGGGGGAAGGCACGCCCAAGAAGAAGCGCCGAGTCACGCCCACGCTCACGGACGCCGCCGACGCCTTCAGCTCTGCGCACACATCCAGGAGCGACACGGGTCTAATCAACACAGAACCACAGCAGAAAGACTCAGCCGACGGGTTCCAGCGCAACAACACGGACGTGTTCAACGCCTTCAGGAGCGAGGACACTGACCTGTGACATCACAGACCTGTGACATCACAGACCTGTGACATCACAGACCTGTGACATCACTGACCTGTGACATCACAGACCCAGATAAGTGCAGTTCTGTGTCACACAAAAGCAAATCCAAAACTTTTCAGTGAGACATTTCTAATGCTTTATTATAAACAGAGACATGTTTATTCGTCCTTCACACTTTCAGCCAGAGCAGTTTGTCACGTTTTAAAATTATTTTATGAAAATTCTGGACACACAAGATGGCTGCCACAGACTCTCCTTGTGGACACACAAGATGGCCGCCACAGACCTCCTCATGTCACACTGTAATACCTACAGTACAATGAATGTAATCTTATTGTTGTAAATATTGTAAAAAGTAGTGATTTTGAAGATCCTGATGTAAGGTTAGTCTTCAGTCTGTTTTAACTCCACTTTATTTATTATGTCTAAGATCTCAGACGGTTGTTCCCGCGGGCTGCACGGATTTGGCAAAATATCCAATTGTGATTATTCTGATTAACATTAAAATGTATAATGTTTTAAAAGACATTAAAGACGTTTAAACGATAGAACAACCGGATGTTGCTGTTGTGAAATAGATAAATAAATACAACCAGTTTTTAATGTTTCCAGTTTTTAATGTTTCCAGTTTTAAACATTCCCTGTAAAAATGATAAAATGCTGAAACACAAGAGTGAAGATTATTGTGGTGAATGAGGCTGTGTCAGAGCTCAGAAAGAACCAGGGGACTTTGGCACCTAATAAACTATAGACCAGTGGTGGGTGAACCCCGGCCCGTGGGCCAGATGCGGTCCTGTGTGCTCTTCTCTCAGGCCCTGACTCCTCCTGAAGACGATCCTTCTGCAAGATTTAATATAACATTTAATAAACATATGAGGCCTGAAAAAACATTGGAAGTTGGTCCTGCCCCGACAGCAGCTCGGACCGTTCTATCCCTCAAGCTCAATGAAGCCCAGTGGGGAAGTGCCCAGGGAGAAGTTTGGCTCCATCTCTCTCTGGCTCCTATTGACTTACATGTAAAGTGTGTCTGCATGTGGCCCCATACTTTACATCTCCTTCTGTGTGTCAAAAATAAAAAAGGATTTACAATTTCTTGTCCATCAATTGAATCTCTCTCTGGTCCCTCTCTGGTCTCTCTCTGGTCTCTCTCTGGTCCCTCTGGTCTCTCTCTGGTCCCTCTCTGGTCTCTCTCTCTGTACTTAATTCTCTGTCTGAAAAAGTGGATCCATAGAAGAATCACGTACCCCAGCTTTAACCCTGTGCGGACAGAGGGAGGAGGGGGAGGCTGTCGGGGGAGGTCTCTGGTCTCTCTCTGGTCTTTGGTCTTGGGTTTTGTGGCTTTAAGTGTGAAGTGTGTCAGAACATTCCTGCTCCACTGAGCGCGTGCAGAACGAGACCACAGGACTAGACCAGATCAAAGATCAGAGGCCGACCTGGATCAGATCCAGACCCCAGAGGTACCTAAACTTATACTGCTTTAGTCCAGCTTTAGACCTGCTTTAGTCCAGCTTTAGTCCTGCTTTAGACCTGCTTTAGTCCTGCTTTAGACCTGCTTTAGTCCTGCTTTAGACCTGCTTTTGTCCTGCTTTAGACCTGCTTTAGTCCAGCTTTAGTCCTGCTTTAGACCTCCTTTAGTCCTGCTTTAGACCTGCGCTAGACCTGCTTTAGTCCAACTTTAGTCCTGCTTTAGTCCAGTTTTAGTCCTGCTGTAGTCCTGCATTAGACCTGCTTTAGTCCTGCTTTAGATCTGCTTTAGACCTGCTTTAGACCTGCTTTAGTCCAGCTTAACTCCTGCATTAGACCTGCTTTAGACCTGGTTCAGTCCGGGTTCCTTGAGCAGATGGTTTGTCACTTACATCAGAACATTCCTCTTTCCTCCCGTTGCTCTTCATCTGTTTTTACGACTTTCACAAACTGCAGACACTGAGTTAAAGCTCAGGGACCTAACTTTAGGGTGCTCCTCTCTTTGTCATTTTTCTGTCTGAAAAATCTGATCTAAAAATGTGAGACGGAAGCAACTGTTTTTGAGCCAAATCCAGACACTTGTGATGGTTACAGAGTTCTACTGGTCTGAAAGTTACGTACCTCAGCTTTAAATTGGGTCTCTCTCTGTTAATTGGTCCCTCTCTCTGGTCTCTCTCTGGTCTCTCTCTGCTCTTTCTCTCTGGTCTCTCTCTGGTCTCTCTCTGGTCTCTCTCTCTCTGGTCTCTAGCTCTGGTCTCTCTCTGGTCTCTCTCTGGTCTCTCTCTCTAGGCTCTCTCTCTGGTCTCTCTCTGGTCTCTCTCTCTAGGCTCTCTCTCTGGTCTCTCTCTGGTCTCTTTCTGGTCTCTCTCTGGTCTCTCTCTGGCCTCTCTGGTCTCTCTCTGGTCTCTCTCTCTGGTCTCTCTCTCTGGTCACTCTCTGGTCTCTCTCTCTGGTCTCTAGCTCTGGTCTCGCTCTGGTCTCTCTCTGGTCTCTCTCTCTAGGCTCTCTCTGGTCTCTCTCTGGTCTCTCTCTGGTCTCTTTCTGGTCTCTCTCTGGTCTCTCTCTGGCCTCTCTCTGGTCTCTCTCTGGTCTCTCTCTCTGGTCTCTCTCTAGTCTCTCTCTCTGGTCTCTCTCTGGTCTCTCTCTGGTCTCTCTCTGGTCTCTCTCTCTGGTCTCTCTCTCTGGTCACTCTCTGGTCTCTCTCTCTAGTCTCTCTCTCTGGTCTCTCTCTGGTCTCTCTCTGGTCTCCCTCTGGTCTCTCTCTGGTCTCCCTCTGGTCTCTCTCTAGTCTCTCTCTAGTTTACTTTCTCTCTCTGGTGGTGGTCTCTGGGGCAATTTCAGTCCAGCAGGCTCATGGAGCAGCACAACAGAGGCTGGTCTCCCTTTGGTCTTTCTCTAGGCTGCAGGTCTCTCTCTCTGGTCTCTACAAGTCCTTCAAATTGTTATATAGAATGATAACTGGTGCAGCTTAGTCAAGAGTCCCTAATTGATGAAGTCGACTCAGATTCTGACGATTTAACTGTCAAGAAGAAACCTGTAAAAAAGTATGGAAAAAGAAAAATCAAAAACACTTTTCTTCAAGACTCGGAAAGTGACGAACCAAAGGCAAATAAGATTGTTATCATGCAGCTGCAAAAGAAGAAAAATGGGGGGAGAGTTTACAGCAAGAGACACTTCTGCCTCTACTGTTCAATGTCCTGCCACAAAATGTCCCGTCATTTGACTAGAAAACATGGAAATGAAAGTGACGTAGCCAGAGCATTGGCTCTACCTGTGAAATCTAAAGCACGTAAACTTCAGTTTGATTTGATCAGGAATAGTGGAAACCGTGAGCACAATTTTGAGGTTTTAAAGGCCGGCATTGGAACTTTAGTCCCAGCTAAACAGCCAAATTCCCCAGTTAAATCCAGTCAGTTTTTGCACTGTATAGACTGTGGGGCATTGCTTAAGCGAAAGTCGCTGTGGAGGCATGTGGCCAGGTGCCGGCTTTCACAGAAAGATGCCCAGGCTAAACCAGGCTAAACCAGGTAGAAGTAGGGTCCAGTCCCTCTGCTCCCTAGCCCAGCCTGTACCGGAGGGCATCAGCAAAAAGCTGTGGTCTTTAATTTCGGCAATGCATCAGGATGAGGTCACGGGTGTTGTCAAAGCAGAAAAGGGGATTCTGAGACTCGGAGAGCACCTGTACTTAAAACACGGGCATGATAAGACTAAGCATGATTACATTAGGCAGAAAATGAGAGAAGTCGGTAGGTTAATTAACGAAGCAAAAACCGCAGGGAAACTGAAAACAATTAAGGATTTCTTTATTCCTTCCAACTTTAACCATGTGATTGATGCAGTCAGGTCTGTGGCTGGATATGATGAGGAAACAAATCAATACAAGACTCCATCCTTGGCCCTCAAACTCGGCCATAGCCTCAGAAAGCTAGCAGATATTCTTGAATGTGACTCAAAAATGGAGCATTGTGTTGATGAACTATTTATTAAAAACCTCCAACGAAGCCGGCTGCTTTTTGAGAAGAGGTGGGACGTCTGTGTTTCTTCTGCTGCCCTACAGACCCTCCGGCAAGCCAAGTGGAACACTCCGGACCTGCTCCCTCTGACTGAGGACGTTAGAGCCATGCATGCACATATTGAGGTATGTCGACCTGAATATGTGCAAACCCTAATAAGTGAGCCAACGTCTAAGCATTGGTCTAAACTGGCAGTTTTGACTCTTTGTGAGGTCATCATTTTCAATCGAAGAAGGGAAGGTGAGGTTTCAAAGATGCCAGCCTTTACCTTAAGAAGTAAGACTGGGATCCATTCTGACATTGCTCTGGGACTGTCCCAACTTGAGAAAAATCTGTGTCAGCATTTTCAACGCATTGAAATTAAAGGGAAAAGAAGTCGGAAAGTGCCGGTTCTTTTGACTCCTGAAATGATTGCTTGGATGGAGGTGCTGGTGGAGAACAGAAGGGCCTGTTCCATCTCTGACCATAACCCATACTTCTTTTCCCGCCCGGGCGCAGACACCCACATCAGGGGATCAGACTCCCTACGCCAGGTAGCCAAAGAATGTGGTGCGGTGCATCCAGAGATGCTATCCTCAACCAAACTTAGAAAGCACATAGCTACTATGTCTACAGTTCTCAATATGAAAGAGAATGAGATGGACATACTTGCCAACTTCCTCGGCCATGACATTCGCATCCACAGGCAATATTACAGACTACCAGAGGGGACACTGGAGCTGGCCAAAATCAGCAAAGTGTTGATGGCCATGGAGCAGGGAAGAGTGACGGAATTCGAAGGAAAGAGCCTCGACCAGATACAAATTGAGCCTGAAGGTAATTCTTGATATTATTAAAATATGTATGATTTTTTTCCCCTAAAGGCCACTTATTTTTATTTTCTGTGCGACAGGGAGAGCAGTAGAGATCCTCTCACAAACGGACGGGCTAAAAGAAACTTCAAGCGGAGAACCTTCAACCATTCATCCAGATGCACCCCATGGTAGTGGCAGTGCCCCTTCTGGTAAGTGTACCAGGTGGGGGATTACAGCCAGGCTGCTTGGTCCTAACCCTGGGAGTGTATATTGCTAATATATTTTTATTTCTCTCCCTAGAACGTGTAAGAAAGCCATGGTCTGCATCTGAGGTGAAGGCTGTGGAGAAGACCATGACACCTTTCATACAGACTGGAAAGGTCCCTGGGAAATCTCACTGCCTGGCCTGGCCTGGCCTGGCCTGCATTAATGCCTCACCAGATGACCTTAGACATCGGACATGGAGTGGCATTAAATTCTATGTCAAAAATAGAATCACTGCAATTCGAAAACAAAATCTAAAATAAAATTCCTTTAAAATAGTTGTTTGGTTTCTATTGACTGTTTTGTATTACTTAAAGTCTTGGTAAAAAAAGATTATGTCTATGGGTCCCATTCTGAACGGCCCTGTCAAAGGGACCCACCAGGTAACAAAAACGTGTATGTGTGTGTGTGTGTGTGTGTGTCTGTGTGTGTGTGTGTGTGTGTCTGTGTGTGTGTGTCTGTGTGTGTGTGTCTGTGTGTGTGTATACGTGTGTGTGTGTGTGTGTGTGTGGTCTTCGAGTGAATAACAAGCAGTAATTTGAGGTCTAAATATGTAATCGCGGTTGGCAAAAGTCCAGTTAGATCATGCCTCGGGTCAGAAAGCTCTCTTCATGTTTCAAGACGATTACGGAGGTCTCCCATCCCAGCACTGACCAGGGCCTGCACTGCTGAGCTCCTGCACAAATCCAAACAGGTCTATTGTGACCGCTCATATGAATACACTTATTATATCATTTGTACCAAGAAAAAGAGCCTAACGATATATTTCTGGTATGTTCTCTCTGGTCTCTCTCTGGTCTCTCTCTGGTCTCTCTCTGGTCTCTCTCTGGTCTCTCTCTGGTCTCTCTCTGGTCTCTCTGGTCTCTCTCTGGTCTCTCTCTGGTCTCTCTCTGGTCTCTCTCTGGTCTCTCTCTGGTCTCTCTCTGGTCTCTCTCTGGTCTCTCTGGTCTCTCTGGTCTCTCTCTGGTCTCTCTGGTCTCTCTGGTCTCTCTGGTCTCTCCCTGGTCTCTCTCTGGTCTCTCTGGTCTCTCTCTGGTCTCTCTGGTCTCGCTCTGGTCTCTCTGGTCTCTCCCTGGTCTCTCTCTGGTCTCTCTCTGGTCTCTCTCTGGTCTCTCTCTGGTCTCTCTGGTCTCTCTCTGGTCTCTCTCTGGTCTCTCTCTGGTCTCTCTCTGGTCTCTCTCTGGTCTCTGAGTGTAACTAAAGTTTATAGAAAGAGAGTTTTAAAGAGAAAGAAAATGATTGAGCAAAACACATTAAAGTTGTATGTGTTGGGGGCAGGTCAGGGGCCGAGGGACTGTGTGTGTGTGTGTGTCTGTATGTGTGTGTCTCTGTGTGTGTGTGCGTGTCTGTGTGTGTGTGTCGGTGTGTGTCTGTGTGTGTGTGTGTCGGTGTGTGTCTGTATGTGTGTGTGTGTGTGTCGGTGTGTGTGTGTCTCTGTGTGTGTGTGTGTGTGTGTGTGTGTGTGTCTCTGTGTGTGTGTGTGTGTGTGTGTGTGTGTGTGTGTGTATGTATGTGTGTGTGTGTGTGTCGGTGTGTGTGTGTGTGTGTCTGTGTGTGTATGTGTGTGTGTGTGTGTGTGTGTGTGTGTATGAGTGTGTTTGTGGCCCTTAGAGACCCTTCGGTGCCAGATGTTAATTTCGGCTCAAAACATCACATTTTTAATTGATTTGATCCAAGTCTCTCTCATGCAACAAACAGCAGAGACCGAGGGCCACAGACAGAGACCGGGGGCCACAGACAGAGACCGAGGGCCACAGACAGAGACCGGGGGCCACAGACAGAGACCGGGGGCCACAGACAGACGGGGCCACAGACCGGGGGCCACAGACAGAGACCGGGGGCCACAGACAGAGACCGAGGGCCACAGACAGAGACCGGGGCCACAGACAGAGACCGGAGGCCACAGACAGAGACCGGGGGCCAGAGGACAGAGACCAGACAGAGACCGAGACCACAGACAGAGACCGGGGGCCACAGACAGAGGCCGAAGGCCACAGACAGAGACCGAGGGCCACAGACAGAGACCGGGGGCCACAGACAGAGACCGGGGGCCACAGACAGAGACCGGGGGCCACAGACAGAGACCGGGGCCACAGACAGAGACCGGGGGCCACAGACAGAGACCGGGGGCCACAGACAGAGACCGAGGGCCACAGACAGAGACCGGGGGCCACAGACAGAGACCGAAGGCCACAGACAGAGACCGAGGGCCACAGACAGAGACCGGGGGCCACAGACAGAGACCGGGGGCCACAGACAGAGACCGAGGGCCACAGATAGAGACCGGGGGCCACAGACAGAGACCGAGGGCCACAGACAGAGACCGGGGGCCAGAGACAGAGACCGACGACCACAGACAGAGACCGGGGGCCACAGACAGAGACCGAAGGCCACAGACAGAGACCGAGGGCCACAGACAGAGACCGGGGGCCACAGACAGAGACCGGGGGCCACAGACAGAGACCGGGGGCCACAGACAGAGACCGAGGGCCACAGACAGAGACCGGGGGCCACAGACAGAGACCGGGGGCCACAGACAGAGACCGAGGGCCACAGACAGAGACCGGGGGCCACAGACAGAGACCGAGGGCCACAGACAGAGACCGGGGGCCACAGACAGAGACCGGGGGCCACAGACAGAGACCGAGGGGCCACAGACAGAGACCGAAGGCCACAGACAGAGACCGAGGGCCACAGACAGAGACCGGGGGCCACAGACAGAGACCGGGGGCCACAGACAGAGACCGAGGGCCACAGACAGAGACCGGGGGCCACAGACAGAGACCGAGGGCCACAGACAGAGACCGGGGGCCAGAGACAGAGACCGAGGACCACAGACAGAGACCGGGGGCCACAGACAGAGACCGAAGGCCACAGACAGAGACCGAGGGCCACAGACAGAGACCGGGGGCCACAGACAGAGACCGGGGCCACAGACAGAGACCGGGGGCCACAGACAGAGACCGAGGGCCACAGACAGAGACCGGGGGCCACAGACAGAGACCGGGGGCCACAGACAGAGACCGAGGGCCACAGACAGAGACCGGGGGCCACAGACAGAGACCGAAGGCCACAGACAGAGACCGAGGGCCACAGACAGAGACCGGGGGCCACAGACAGAGACCGGGGGCCACAGACAGAGACCGGGGGCCACAGACAGAGACCGAGGGCCACAGACAGAGACCGGGGGCCACAGACATAGTCTATAGCATAGACCTATTTGTTTAGCGCCATCTCCATAGGTTTCATAACTTTCAAAAACCTCACTGAGACCAGAGGGAGACCAGAGGGAGACCAGAGGGAGACCAGAGGGAGACCAGAGAGAGACCAGAGGGAGACCAGAGGGAGACCAGAGAGAGACCAGAGAGAGACCAGAGAGAGACCAGAGAGAGACCAGAGAGAGACCAGAGAGAGACCAGAGAGAGACCAGAGGGAGACCAGAGGGAGACCAGAGGGAGACCAGAGGGAGACCAGAGAGAGACCAGAGAGAGACCAGAGGGAGACCAGAGGGAGACCAGAGGGAGACCAGAGGGAGACCAGAGAGAGACCAGAGGGAGACCAGAGGGAGACTAGAGAGAGAACAGAGAGAGTCCAGAGAGAGACCAGAGAGAATCCAGAGAGAGACCAGAGAGAATCCAGAGAGAGACTAGAGAGAGAACAGAGAGAGACCAGAGAGAGACCAGAGAGAGACCAGAGAGAGACCAGAGAGAATCCAGAGAGAGACTAGAGAGAGACCAGAGAGAGACCAGAGAGAATCCAGAGAGAGACTAGAGAGAGAACAGAGAGAGTCCAGAGAGAGACCAGAGAGAGACCAGAGAGAGACCAGAGAGAGACCAGAGAGAATCCAGAGAGAGACTAGAGAGAGACCAGAGAGAGACCAGAGGGAGACCAGAGGGAGACTAGAGAGAGAACAGAGAGAGTCCAGAGAGAATCCAGAGAGAGACCAGAGAGAATCCAGAGAGAGACTAGAGAGAGAACAGAGAGAGACCAGAGAGAGACCAGAGAGAATCCAGAGAGAGACTAGAGAGAGACTAGAGAGAGACCAGAGAGAGACCAGAGAGAATCCAGAGAGAGACTAGAGAGACCAGAGAGAGACCAGAGAGAGACCAGAGAGAGACCAGAGAGAATCCAGAGAGAGACTAGAGAGACCAGAGAGAGACCAGAGAGAATCCAGAGAGAGACCAGAGAGAGACCAGAGAGAATCCAGAGAGAATCCAGAGAGAGACCAGAGAGAGACCAGAGAGAGACTAGAGAGAGAACAGAGAGAGACCAGAGAGAATCCAGAGAGAGACTAGAGAGAGAACAGAGAGAGTCCAGAGAGAGACCAGAGAGAGACCAGAGAGAGACCAGAGAGAGACCAGAGAGAATCCAGAGAGAGACTAGAGAGAGACCAGAGAGAGACCAGAGAGAATCCAGAGAGAGACTAGAGAGAGACCAGAGAGAGTCCAGAGAGAGACTAGAGAGAGAACAGAGAGAGTCCAGAGAGAGACCAGAGAGAGACCAGAGAGAGACCAGAGAGAATCCAGAGAGAGACTAGAGAGAGAACAGAGAGAATCCCGAGAGAGACCAGAGAGAGACCAGAGAGAGACCAGAGAGAGACCAGAGAGAGACCAGAGAGAGTCCAGAGAGAGACCAGAGAGAGTCCAGAGAGAGTCCAGAGAGATTCCATGCAGATGCAGGCCGCTCCAGGCTGTTATACATATTTCCTCTTATTTTATGGATTTACCCAAAACTCCTGATGTTTTTCTCCATAATCTGTTGAGCCAGATCCAGAGCACAGATGCTGCCGCCTGCCGCACGTCACGCGGGTGAATATTTAATTACTTTTATTCTTAGTTTTATTTCCATATTCTGTGCTTTTGTCCCAGAGGAGAGTCTAACATGAGCTGGAGGAGCGCTGGAGCCGAGCCGAGCCGAGCTGAGCCACGCGCGGAGGTGACACCGGGGCGCAGAAGCATCCATCCCCCCCAGACGCTTCATCACGTCACGAACACAAAAGCAACGTTTTTATTGTCCTTATTTTTGTGAACGACTAAAATAAAGTGGTGGACAAACTGTGCTTCCATTATTTAAAAATAAAAAGACGGTCTGAACCAGGTCTGAACCAGGTCTAAACCAGGTCTAAACCAGTAAATACACTTCCAAACCGAAAAGTCAGGTCTAACTAAACCTGGTCTAAGCCAGGACTAAACCAGGTTTGAACCAAGAATATAAACCAGGATTAAACCAGGTCTGAAAGAAGACTAACCCAGGACTAATCCAGGTCTGTGCCAGGACTAACCCAGGACTTAAACCAAAACTAACCCAGGACTATCTCAGGTCTAAACCTTGTCTAAACTAGGACTGAACAGGTCTGGACTAAAGGAGATTTAGTAAAGGTCTGAACCATATCTAAAACTCCCAGTTTTATGTTTTCACCACTATTAACAGTATTTCTGTGTTTATCTTTAACACATGCTAAAAATGCTAATGAATGCTAACAGATGCACAGTGTTGCTATGGTAACTGGGACTGCTCTGAAGGTCAGCACATAGATCACGTACGGAATCGGGATGTCACATGTCACACCCAGTTCCTGGCGGCTGAAGCTCAAACTCGTCGTGTCCTCGTTCAGGTTCTTGTTGAAGTCGATGCACAGATTACTCAGACGCTTCTTTATTTTCTTTATCTCCTGAAACCAGAGAAAACAACATGAGACAAAGACACAGCTCTGTGGGAGCACAGGAAGAACATGCAAACTGGCCCCAGTCCTTTCCGGGTTCAGAGCTCCTTCCTCTGAAGGAGCCGAGATTGATAGAGCAGTGATGTGGTCTCTCTCTCTCTGGGCCCCATGTCTCTCTCTCTCTCTGGGCCCCATCTCTCTCTCTCTCTCTGGGCCCCATCTCTCTCTCTCTCTGGTCCCCATGTATCTCTCTCTCTGGTCCCCATGTATCTCTCTCTCTGGTCCCCATCTCTCTCTCTCTCTCTCTGGGCCCCATCTCTCTCTCTCTCTCTCTGGTCCCCATGTCTCTCTCTCTCTGGTCCCCATGTATCTCTCTCTCTGGTCCCCATTTATCTCTCTCTCTGGTCCCCATGTATCTCTCTCTCTGGTCCCCATGTATCTCTCTCTCTGGTCCCCATCTCTCTCTCTCTCTGGTCCCCATCTCTCTCTCTCTCTCTCTGGTCCCCATTTATCTCTCTCTCTGGTCCCCATGTCTCTCTCTCTCTGGTCCCCATGTCTCTCTCTCTCTGGTCCCCATGTCTCTCTCTCTCTGGTCCCCATGTCTCTCTCTCTCTCTGGTCCCCATGTCTCTCTCTCTCTCTGGTCCCCATGTCTCTCTCTCTGGTCCCCATGTCTCTCTCTCTCTGGTCCCCATGTCTCTCTCTCTCTGGTCCCCATGTCTCTCTCTCTCTGGTCCCCATGTCTCTCTCTCTCTCTGGTCCCCATGTCTCTCTCTCTCTCTGGTCCCCATGTCTCTCTCTCTCTGGTCCCCATGTCTCTCTCTCTCTGGTCCCCATGTCTCTCTCTCTCTCTGGTCCCCATGTCTCTCTCTCTCTCTGGTCCCCATGTCTCTCTCTCTCTGGTCCCCATGTCTCTCTCTCTCTCTGGTCCCCATGTCTCTCTCTCTCTCTGGTCCCCATGTCTCTCTCTCTCTCTGGTCCCCATGTCTCTCTCTCTCTCTGGTCCCCATGTCTCTCTCTCTCTCTGGTCCCATGTCTCTCTGGTCTGTTGTAATGAAGAGGGAGCAGTGTCTGCTGTCAGAGCTCTGTAATACTCAGGCCGCTGTCCCACCCTCACCTACAGTCCTGTGGAACCTTCCTAGCTCCTCACCTCCTGCGTCTCCTTGGGGAGGTGCAGGCCGTTCCTCCTCCCCAGTCGGATCAGTCGCTCCATGTATCGTTTGGCCTCTGGGCTCAGAGACTCTGGCTCCAGCTTCTTCTGCAACACACACACAAGTTATAGTCAAGATTAGTCAATGGAACCCTCTCTGGCCTCTCTCCCCCCCCCTCTGGCCTCTCTCTCCCCCCCTCTGGCCTCTCTCTCCCCCCCTCTGGCCTCTCTCTCCCTCTCTCTCCCTCTGGCCTCTCTCTCCCTCTGGCCTCTCTCTCCCTCTGGCCTCTCTCTCCCTCTGGCCTCTCTCTCCCTCTGGCCTCTCTCTCCCTCTGGCCTCTCTCTCCCTCTGGCCTCTCTCTCCCTCTGGCCTCTCTCTCCCTCTGGCCTCTCTCTCCCTCTGGCCTCTCTCTCCCTCTGGCCTCTCTCTCCCTCTGGCCTCTCTCTCCCTCTGGCCTCTCTCTCCCTCTGGCCTCTCTCTCCCTCTGGCCTCTCTCTCCCTCTGGCCTCTCTCTCCCTCTGGCCTCTCTCTCCCTCTGGCCTCTCTCTCCCTCTGGCCTCTCTCCCTCTGGCCTCTCTCCCTCTGGCCTCTCTCCCTCTGGCCTCTCTCCCTCTGGCCTCTCTCCCTCTGGCCTCTCTCCCTCTGGCCTCTCTCCCTCTGGCCTCTCTCCCTCTGGCCTCTCTCCCTCTGGCCTCTCTCCCTCTGGCCTCTCTCCCTCTGGCCTCTCTCCCTCTGGCCTCTCCCTCTGGCCTCTCCCTCTGGTCTCTCTCCCTCTGGCCTCTCTCTCTCTGGCCTCTCTCTCTCTGGCCTCTCTCTCTCTGGCCTCTCTCTCTCTGGCCTCTCTCTCTCTGGCCTCTCTCTCTGACCTCTCTCTCCTCTGGCCTCTCTCTCTCTGGCCTCTCTCTCTCTGGCCTCTCTCTCTCTGGCCTCTCTCTCTCTGGCCTCTCTCTGGCCTCTCTCTCTCTGGCCTCTCTCTCTCTGGCCTCTCTCTCTCTGGCCTCTCTCTCTCTGGCCTCTCTCTCTCTGGCCTCTCTCTCTCTGGCCTCTCTCTCTCTGGCCTCTCTCTCTCTCTGGTCTCTCTCTCTCTGGCCTCTCTCTCTCTGGCCTCTCTCTCTCTGGCCTCTCTCTCTCTGGCCTCTCTCTGGCCTCTCTCTCTCTGGCCTCTCTCTCTCTGGCCTCTTTCTCTCTGGCCTCTTTCTCTCTGGCCTCTCTCTCTCTGGCCTCTCTCTCTCTGGCCTCTCTCTCTCTGGCCTCTCTCTCTCTGGCCTCTCTCTCTCTGGCCTCTCTCTCTCTGGCCTCTCTCTCTGGCCTCTCTCTCTCTGGCCTCTCTCTCTCTGGCCTCTCTCTCTCTGGCCTCTCTCTCTCTGGCCTCTCTCTCTCTGGGCTCTCTCTCTCTGGCCTCTCCCTCTGGTCTCCCTCTGGACTCCCTCTGGTCTCCCTCTGGTCTCCCTCTGGTCTCCCTCTGGTCTCCCTCTGGTCTCCCTCTGGTCTCCCTCTGGTCTCACCTGCAGCTCCACGATGCGCTGGTACACGTCCTCTCTCATACTCATCTCGACATCGAACTCTGACAGGAGTTTGTCTGCGTCGGTGGAGGCGGTGCGCACGTCTTTACAGGAGGAGACGTGCTGCGGGAAGTCCAGCATGTTCCTCTGGACTGAGGAGAGACCGGGGTCAGGGACACACACACACACTTCTACAACTACACACACGTCACAACACTCTGCACGGTGACTAACGAGCCGTGGAGCTGAATAAACAGTGTCATAGAATAACTAATGTATTCACGTGTTTGTGTTTGTGCAGCAGGGATCAGTAAAGCACCGTCCTCGGCTCCTCCCACAGGATCAGACTCAAAGGTTCAGAGTTCAATCATTGTGTACGTGCTTTATATTTGGAATTCTCAACGTGAGTCCAGATACAGACCCAGTCCTGGACCAGACCCAGTCCCAGACCAGGACCAGGACCAGACCCGCACCCAGAGCAAAGGCCCGAGCAGAGTCAGCAGATCAACGTATTCACACAAAGAGAATGGTCCAGGACAACAACACTGCAGCAATACATGGACTCACAGCACCAATACAACATTACACCTGTATAAGACCTCACATTACACCTGTGTTACAGACCTCACATTACACCTGTGTTACAGACCTCACATTACACCCGTGTTACAGACCTCACATTACACCCGTGTTACAGACCTCACATTACACCTGTGTTACAGACCTCACATTACACCTGTGTTACAGACCTCACATTACACCTGTGTTACAGACCTCACATTACACCTGTGTTACAGACCTCACATTACACCTGTGTTACAGACCTCACATTACACCTGTGTTACAGACCTCCACATTACACCTGTGTTACAGACCTCATATTACACCTGTGTTACAGACCTCACATTACACCTGTGTTACAGACCTCACATTACACCCGTGTTACAGACCTCACATTACACCTGTGTTACAGACCTCACATTACACCCGTGTTACAGACCTCACATTACACCTGTGTTACAGACCTCACATTACACCTGTGTTACAGACCTCACATTACACCTGTGTTACAGACCTCACATTACACCTGTGTTACAGACCTCACATTACACCCGTGTTACAGACCTCACATTACACCTGTGTTACAGACCTCACATTACACCTGTGTTACAGACCTCACATTACACCTGTGTTACAGACCTCACATTACACCTGTGTTACAGACCTCACATTACACCTGTGTTACAGACCTCACATTACACCTGTGTTACAGACCTCACATTACACCTGTGTTACAGACCTCACATTACACCTGTGTTACAGACCTCACATTACACCTTGTTACAGACCTCACATTACACCTGTGTTACAGACCTCACATTACACCTGTGTTACAGACCTCATATTACACCTGTGTTACAGACCTCACATTACACCTGTGTTACAGACCTCACATTACACCTGTGTTACAGACCTCACATTACACCTGTGTTATAGACCTCACATTACACCTGTGTTACAGACCTCATATTACACCTGTGTTACAGACCTCACATTACACCTGTGTTACAGACCTCACATTACGCCTGTGTATATAACAGTAGTTGGTTCACCTGTGTATTCGACCTCGACGTCGGCCAGGGCCTTCAGCGTGTTGTCGAAGCTGACGTCCTCCAGGGGGAGCTCTCCCACAACGTCGTACACTTTCTTGGTGTCGCTGATGAGTTTGTGGGACAGGTCCAGGATCTGCTGCGGAGTCAGGTCCCAACGCAGACGGTTCTCAGAGCTCACAGAGGAGCTGGGGGGGGTCAGCTGCACCTCTGCCACACACACAGGGTCCAAAGCACTGAACATTTCTACTACACGTAACCATGGAAACCGGATCCCACCTAGACAAGGCCAGCAGATGCATTTAAAAGTCCTGTCCAAACCATAGACTGTATATAGATGCTAACCCGCTAGCTCAATGAAGCCCAAAAGGGAAAGGCTCACACTCTCTCTGGCTCCTATTGACTTTCATGTGAAACTCCTCTAACTCAGAAACTCACAGTCTCAATTTTGGGCTTGGAAAAAGTGGTTTAGCGTTCTCTGTGATCCTGGTGTTTATATTGTGGTAATGTCTTTGAAATCCAGATATGACTCATAAAAGGACTGACCAATCAGATGCCTTCCTGCGAGGAGGAATCTCCAGTTTGCCTTAGCAACCGTCATAGCAACGTTTTTGTTCCAGCTATCTTACGTTCAAGTCAGCTTTTTCAGCATTAAGGAAGCACTATGGTGATGTCACACCTGTCAGTCCATGTCTATGTTCCAGACGAAGGTGAATCAATGTAAACTTTTTAATTAAAGGTTAGTCCGGACTGAAAAATAATAATTTATTTGTGCTTGTGTTGTCACATCATGTATTTCTGTCTATGTCTCATCTTAGATCAGTCTTTTCAGCCAGAAAAGTGAAAAAGAGCGAACCACCCTCACTCAGCCAATCAGCTCTCAGCCCAAAGAGTCAAATAGTGACTCAGAGGGACTCACACTTAATACAACATGTTTTCTAATGGGATGGCAGCATGTTGTGGTCTGATTTGTTCACAACGTTTTAAATTGTACAGGATTATTTCTGCATGTGTTGTTGGTGAAACTAGGTAGCCCAGCTTTAAATCCGTCTGCTCACATGAGTGTCTTTGTGATCTGTTAATTCCAACAGGATTTAGGGACATTCTCTCTGTACTGTCAACTCAGCGATCAGCAAAGTTCACATCTGCACTATTTAAAAACTACATTATTTCACGGACACGTGACTAAACAAAAGCGTTACTTTATGGTTTTATTTGACACTTGAGTAAACACTGCAGACGCCGGGGCTAGGCTAACGCTAGCGCTAAACCCTTTGAATGAAGCTTTGTGAGATGTTTCTCCACAACACGGGGTTGAAGTTTGATAAAGCAGTATTATAAAAGTAACGGAGTACAGAGGTCCACGCACCTGTCGGTCCCATAGCGGAGTCTCTGTGTCTGTGTCTCTGTGTCTGTGGATGAAGCGGTGTCAGACTCGTGCTGCTGTCAGCGCCGTGCATAAGGACTACAGCATAAGACTACACTTCCGGGTGTTAAGAGGCGGGGCCGGAAACCAGCGACTGCAGACTTCCGGCATAAATATATTATTTTTTACAAACTCATACACAAACTGTTTGACACAACTACTCGCCTCACAATTGTATTTTATGGAACAATGCTTACATCGTGCATCGAAGAAAATCTTTATATTTAGAGAACTGGTTTTACAAGAATATAAAAACTGTGAAACAACGTTTAGATGATAATGGTGATTTTTATGACTATAAGGTTTTTATTGAGAAGTACAAAACTCCAATACCTGAACATGAGTTTGATGTGGTTGTAAAGTCGATACCTCAAAGTATAAGATCATTAGCACAAAATATTAATTTTATTGACTCACATTTCACTGACGTTTCCATTTTAGGTGTAATCTTACAAGATTGGCCAATCCAGTTTGTAAACATAGGTGGGGTTCATTTAGCCGAAAATATTGGAATCGAGTTTTTTAGTTGCCCTACAAATATATAATCACAAACAAAGTGTTTATTTTTAATTAAAATGTTTATTTAAAACTGTACACAGATATTACCCTGTAAAAGACAATATTTGTCGTTTTTTACCTAATGTAAGTAACCAATGTTCCTTTTGTCAATGTGATGGTGAAAGTATTGAACACTTATTTGTTGAATGTCCTAAAATAGTTAGATTTTGGTCCAATGTGCAACATTTTTCAATAAAAATGTTATTATTTCCAAATTTCAAATTTTCCTAATATTTAATGATAAAAAATTCTCCTCTGATGAAATCTATATTGTCGTATAATGATCTTAGGGAAGTACTACATCCATAAAACCTTCCTTTTCCGCTTTTATAGCTTCTGATCTAAAAACCTATCTGGCCTCTGTTGAAAATTTAAAACTTAAGAATAAGAAATTAATAAGAACAATCACATTGATAAAAACATTTAAAGTATTTGTCGATTAGCAGACCCCTGTATGTAATGTATGTATATGTATAATTTATTTGTTCAATATTATTATATTAATGTGCATTTTGTGTCTTTCCACTGTTGAGAAATGTACTTGTCTTTTGCACGCTTTAATTGAAAAAAATAAATAAATACACAAACTGTTTGAAAAGTAACACACATTTTAACATGTTTTGTTAAAATGTGTGTCACATAAATGCTGTTTTATGTCGTCTGTTTCTAGTGTGTTGTGTCTGTAATAAAGCTGTCTAGCATCTACATTTACACATGTAACAAGAAAACAACGGAAAATAATCGTGGATAGAAATTAAAGTTTATAATTATCAGTTCAGACTGTTTCCAGCAGATGGCGCAATGCTCGCACACACACAAAGGGCTGTTAGCCGTTAGCCGCATTAGCTCCGTTAGCTCCATGCTAAAGCTACACCCGCACTCTGCAGAGATGTCGCACCGGGGGCACATGTTCCGGGCTCTGGTGAACGAGCGGCTGGCGGCGGCTGCGGAGGAGATCTTCGCCCTGTTCGAGCGGACCATAGCGGAGTACGAGGAGGAGATGTGTCGCTCCAAAGAGAAGCAGCGGAGGCAGCGGAGCCAGCAGGAGTCTGTGCCCGAGACAGGACAGCGCGACCCCCACACAGGACACACCGACCCCCGCACACATCCAGGTCTGAAGTCACAGAGCTGTGCATTTGCACCGCTGGCTTTGGGAACACATACACGTCATGTCTAAACCATGCATCTGTTATTAATTAACTAATAATAACAGTGATGATGTCTCATTAACAGCCAATTAACACAATGGACCAGCAGCTCTTTCATACATTTGTGTATTGTTTATTTAAGCTCTATATCTTTAAGATCTTCATCCAGGACAGTCCCAGCTCTGTCCCTGTGTCTCATGTCTCTGCAGATGTATTTATTATGTTTGCATTTGACATATAGACATTTGAGTCAGACCTCTCCAGCTGCAGAGGTCTTTCCTCAGTTGGAGGCGTTCAAGTCTCTCAGGTCTCAGTGAGGGAGCAGCGTCTGCAGTCAGAGCTGTATTTGGCTGTTGTGGTGAAGAGAGAGTAGCGTCTCCAGTCAGAGCTCTATGTTCCCAGCCTCTCCTCTGGTCATAAGCTTTAGGTAATGGCTGAAAGAAGGAGATCACAGGTACAATCAGTCCACAAAGATTCCTGCGAGTTCCCTCAGAGATAGATTGAGGAGCTCAGTCACACGGGAAGAGCTCGGAGTAGAGCAGCTGCTCCTCCACATGGACAGGAACCACTAGAGCTGGCTCGGGCATCTGCCTCCTGGACGCCTCCCTGAGGAGGTGTTCTGGACATGTCCCACTGGAGGAGACCAGGGGAAGATCCAAGACACAGAGGGACTGTCTCTCAGCTGACCACCTCAGGATTCCCCCAGATGAGCTGGAGGAAGTGTGTGTTTCTGCTCAGACTGCTGCCCCCACAGCCCGCCAACGGATACAATGGATAAGATGGATTAGTAATAAAGTATTCATATAGTTTATTGGCAAAAATGAATATCTCAGTTTGTCAAAAGTATATTTCTCCAGCTACAATCCTCATGTTTTGTTCTTGGCAGAACATTAGAAAAGATTGGGTGAAGTTACAGACCCCAGCTTTAAACAGAGCATGTTCTCCAGATACTTCAATTAGAAACATTTATAATCATTCCTCACATGTTTCTAAACTGGTCCAAATGACCCGGGGTCAAGTTAGGAAAAACCATCAACATTCAGCTCGGAATTTCATTATTCAGTATATTCTTTAAACACTAGTGAATCAATTTGACCGAGAATAGCATGAAGTAAATGAGGAAAGATGCCGAGCTCTGGGATCGTGTCACGGCAGAAGACATATTTTATTGTGTTGTTTATTTTGTAAAATGCATGTGATTGAAAACATGGAAACCAGGTCCTCCTGCTAGCATTTTTATTTTAGTATAGAGTTATTGTTCTTGTCTTGTGCTGTATGCTCCTCCTTCCTACTGTTGTGTAACTGCTCATGCAACACTGACATTTCCCCGCTGTGGCACAGAAAAAGGCTCTCTTCATCTTCATCTCCATGGTAACGATGTGTGTTCCAGAAAAGAAGGTGAAGTCTCCGGACCCTGACGATGACGAGGATGAAGCCCGGGACCTGGTGTTGCACACTGTGGTCAAAGAGGAGTTCACCATCAAAGAGGAGGACTTCATCAAACAGGAGGAAGAGGAGGAGCAGCTCTTCTACTCAGAGAGGACCGAGGACCAGACCAGGACCGAGGACCAGCCCTGGAGGACCGCGGACCACACCGGGAGGTAGGAGGAGACCAGAGACCAGAGACCAGAGACCAGAGACCAGGGTGAGGTAGACCAGGGTGAGGTAGACCAGGGTGAGGTAGACCAGGGTGAGGTAGACCAGGGTGAGGTAGACCAGGGTGAGGTAGACCAGGGTGAGGTAGACCAGGGTGAGGTAGACCAGGGAGAGGTAGACCAGGGAGAGGTAGACCAGGGAGAGACAAGAGAAAGAGAGGGAGCTGAGAGAGAGACCAGAGTGAGAGACCAGAGTGAGGGACCAGAGTGAGGGACCAGAGTGAGGGACCAGAGTGAGGGACCAGAGTGAGGGACCAGAGTGAGGGACCAGAGTGAGGGACCAGAGTGAGGGACCAGAGTGAGGGACCAGAGTGAGAGACCAGAGTGAGAGACCAGAGTGAGAGACCAGAGTGAGAGAGACCAGAGTGAGAGAGACCAGAGTGAGAGAGTCCAGAGTGAGAGAGTCCAGAGTGAGAGAGTCCAGAGAGTGAGAGAGTCCAGAGTGAGAGAGTCCAGAGTGAGAGAGTCCAGAGTGAGAGAGTCCAGAGTGAGAGAGTCCAGAGTGAGAGAGTCCAGAGTGAGAGAGTCCAGAGTGAGAGAGTCCAGAGTGAGAGAGTCCAGAGTGAGAGAGTCCAGAGTGAGAGAGTCCAGAGTGAGAGAGTCCAGAGTGAGAGAGTCCAGAGTGAGAGAGTCCAGAGTGAGAGAGTCCAGAGTGAGAGAGTCCAGAGTGAGAGAGTCCAGAGTGAGAGAGTCCAGAGTGAGAGAGTCCAGAGTGAGAGAGTCCAGAGTGAGAGAGTCCAGAGTGAGGGAGTCCAGAGAGAGGGAGTCCAGAGAGAGGGAGTCCAGAGAAAGGGAGTCCAGAGAAAGGGAGTCCAGAGAAAGGGAGTCCAGAGAAAGGGAGTCCAGAGAAAGGGAGTCCAGAGAAAGGGAGTCCAGAGAAAGGGAGTCCAGAGAAAGGGAGTCCAGAGAAAGGGAGTCCAGAGAGACACACACAGTACCCTGAGGCCTGTATCAGTGTGATTTCTGGTGCAGCCCGAGTGGGAGGCCCTCGGAGCAGACCTGGAGGAGCGCGGACGACATCGGGAGGACGTCCAACGACACGGACGAGGAGTGGGAGGAGCCAGGCAGCAGCAGCTCGCTCACACGCTCCGAGGCCGAGGCCGATGTGGACTACTTCAGTCAGGTCTACATGCAGGTGGGTGGTCCAGGGGCCGAGGGTCTATCAGTGAGCTCCTATTTCTTCCAGTGGATTTTCACCAGATCCACTTGGTTCGGACCATGAATCCTCTCTGCCTCTGCTCTGGTCTGGACCAGTGTAAAACCATGAATCCTCTCTGCTCTGGTCTGGACCAGTGTAAAACCATGAATCCTCTCTGCTCTGGTCTGGACCAGTGTAAAACCATGAATCCTCTCTGCTCTGGTCTGGACCAGTGTAAAACCATGAATCCTCTCTGTTCTGGTCTGGACCAGTGTAAAACCATGAATCCTCTCTGGTCTGGACCAGTGTAAAACCATGAATCCTCTCTGCTCTGGTCTGGACCAGTGTAAAACCATGAATCCTCTCTGCTCTGGTCTGGACCAGTGTAAAACCATGAATCCTCTCTGCTCTGGACCAGTGTAAAACCATGAATCCTCTCTGCTCTGCTCTGGACCAGTGTAAAACCATGAATCCTCTCTGCTCTGCTCTGGACCAGTGTAAAACCATGAATCCTCTCTGCTCTGGTCTGGACCAGTGTGAAACCATGAATCATCTCTGCTCTGGTCTGGACCAGTGTAAAACCATGCTGCAGCGACATCTCAGGCAGAAAAAAGCAGTAAAAATAAAAATTGTAAAGCACAAAACTACAGCTGGTTCAGAGACAAAAGTTTTAGGCCCAGTTTATACGGAGACGCTGCGGCAGTAAAACACTATAGTTGGTGTCGGTTGCTGCCCCCCGTTCATACGGAGACTGTTCCAGGTGAAAACGTAAGCCTCACAGTGGGACAGCTCAGATACTCAGCAGGGGGCGCTCTTTCACACCTGCGTGAGGGAAAAAGGTGTGAATTCTCTGTTGCTCTGACCCCACCTCCCGCTGCTCCCCGCACGTACATTTGGACATGCGCAGTAGCCGAGAACAAACGTAAACAACAATGGCGGCGGGTTCACTAACTAGCTTCGAGTGCTACACGGAGGAAAATTCTACTCCTTCGTTCGTCCAAACGAGACCACGCAAAGCTCTAGGCTCAGTTTCCATTTTCACAGCTGCTGATAAATGTAGAAATATGTATGTGCATCTTTCACGTCTTCCAGAGGAAGTGAGAATACTGCTGGGAGGGGGGCTGGGGCTCACGTGTGTGTGTTGTAAAGTTCCTCTGCCCCCTACTGTCCAGGCGCTAGAACTGCAGTTTTTGATCCTCGTATGAACGCTGTGAAATTTGCATTAGGAGCCTGGTCGTTTCTGTTCATAGCTTGGCAACGTGGGCCTAATTCTTGAACTTTAAGATAAGATAAGATGGACTTCATTGATCTCACACTGGAGAAATGTACATTTGGCACAGACTGGATCACTGTATCAGCGCCAAAAGACAGAAGTGAGCAACATGTTAAAGCTGCACTAACTGACTTTATTTTTGTATTCATTACAAAAGTGCTATGCATGTCCATGCAGTGCATTGGGATAAACGTCCTTTTGAAGAAAAAGTTGCGCAGGGTTGTGCTGGCGTGAAATTATATTTTAGATGGAGTTTTGATGAAACAAGGAAGAGAATGTGTTTTGGGTCGCAGATTGTGACCAATCAGAGCGGACCGCTGGCCCCCACTTTCAACAACAGTGTGTGTGGGGGGTGATAGCTTCGTGGGTGCGGGGAGGGGAGGAGAAAGAGCGAGGCCAGTGAGTCCGTGGCTTCGAAATCCCAAAGTCAGTTATTGCAGCTTTGAGGTTAAAAAATAGTCTTTGGTCCAGTTCTGAGTCTCGGTCCACATCCTCTTTTCTCAGCAACACCTTCTCATTTCTACAAGACACTTCAAAGAACAGGAAGCTACCGTTCTACTGCCCTCGAGTCGACATCTGCTGCAGAGCCTCAAACAGGAAGCTGCCTGTACTAGGATGTAAATCGGTGACCGTTTAACCAAACAGCGTTAACCGCCACTTTCATGCCGCGTATGAAACCATCGGTTAAACTGTCCATGCACGCGACTTTTTGAGGAAGAGGAGAGATTTAAAGTGTGCTTTACCTGGACGCCTGCGCACAGCTGCACACTGGCGCTCACGTGTTCTGTGACCTCCTCCGTCAGTGACTCCCTCTGCTGCGCCTCCTGCTGGACGCTCCCCCACACGGCGCGCGGCCTGTGCTCCTCCAGCGCCTCCTCCACACGCGCCTTCAGCTGCGACACAAACTGCTCGCACACGCTCTCCAGGTACTGAGCGTGATCTTTGCGCCGCACGTCCAGGCCTCCTCTCCACAGCTCCACACTCTGGAGGTTCTTCTGCACCTCCCCTCCGAGGAGGCGCGACCTGAGGGCAGAGAGCTGAGCCTGCGCCTCAGAGTCCAGCACACCTACAGGAGGAGGAGAGGAGAGGAGGGGGAGGAGAGAGAGGAGAGGGGTGAGGAGAAAAGAGGAGGGAGGGGAGGGGAGAGGAGAAAGAAGAGGGGAGAAGAGAAGGAGAGGAGGAGGGAGAGGAGGCAGAGAGAGGAGGAGGAGGAGATGGGGGAACGACGAGAGGAGGAGGAGAGAGGGGAGAGGACAAGAGAGAGGAGGAGAAGAGAGGAAAAGGAGGGAGGGGGGAGTGAGGAGAAAAGAGGAGGAGGGAGGGGAGGAGAGAGAGGAGGAGGAGAAGAGGGTGAGGGGAGAGGAAAATAGAAAGAGAAGAGGAGAAATAGAGGGGAGGAGCAGAGGTGATGATGAAGATGACATGGTGATGAAGAGGAGGAGGTGATAATGAGGAGGTGAAGAGGAGGCCTCACTCTCTGCTGTCAGGTCTCTGAACCTGGTGAGACGCTTCGGAACCTCCTTCACTTTCTGAGGAACATCTCGAACAAAGACGATGGACGTCTCCTCAGCTCCGAGAGACCACACCCCCAACTCCACCTCCCTCTGGAAGACTGAGCCAATCAGAGGAGAGCACAGAGGAGCCAATCAGAGGAGAGACCACAGAGAGGAGCCAATCAGAGGAGAGCACAGAGGAGCCAATCAGAGGAGAGACCACAGAGAGGAGCCAATCAGAGGAGAGAGAGCACAGAGAGGAGCCAATCAGAGGAGAGCACAGAGGAGCCAATCAGAGGAGAGAGAGCACAGAGAGGCCAATCAGAGGAGACCACAGAGGAGCCAATCAGCAGAGAGAGAGCACAGAGAGGAGCCAATCAGAGGAAAGAGACCACACAAAGGAGCCAATCAGAGGAGACCACAGAGGAGCCAATCAGAGGAAAGAGACCACACAAAGGAGCCAATCAGAGGAGAGAGAGCACACCCCCAACTCCAATTACCTGAGGTGCAGTACCCCTCCTCTCCTCTGGGGGTGTTACCTGAGGTGCAGTTCTCCTCCTCTCCTCTGGGGGCGTTACCTGAGGTGCAGTACTCCTCCTCTCCTCTGGGGGTGTTACCTGAGGTGCAGTACTCCTCCTCTCCTCTGGGGGTGTTACCTGAGGTGCAGTACCCCTCCTCTCCTCTGGGGGTGTTACCTGAGGTGCAGTAGCTCTGGCTCTCCTCTGGGGGCGTTACCTGAGGTGCAGTACTCCTCCTCTCCTCTGGGGGCGTTACCTGAGGTGCAGTAGCTCTGGCTCTCCTCTGGGGGCGTTACCTGAGGTGCAGTAGCTCTGGCTCTCCTCTGGGGGCGTTACCTGAGGTGCAGTAGCTCTGGCTCTCCTCTGGGGGCGTTACCTGAGGTGCAGTAGCTCTGGCTCTCCTCTGGGGGCGTTACCTGAGGTGCAGTAGCTCTGGCTCTCCTCTGGAGGCGTTACCTGAGGTGCAGTAGCTCTGGCTCTCCTCTGGGGGCGTTACCTGAGGTGCAGTAGCTCTGGCTCTCCTCTGGGGGCGTTACCTGAGGTGCAGTAGCTCTGGCTCTCCTCTGGGGGGAGCCCTGCAGACCTGGCGCCCGTACGCAGCAGTTGTAACAGTTTGCGTTCGGTCGACTTCCAGCGCGCGGAGTCACTTTCTCTCTTTGTCTTGTTTTCGGGAGAGACGTCCTCGCTGTGATCCAGGTGCGCTGTGATTGGCTGCAGGACGTAGGTGGGCGGGACCGTATTGTCGTCTCTGCAATACCATTGGTTGAGCAGTTTGAGGCCGTCTGTGTTTTTGGAAAGTTTGGACAAAAACATCTGAAAGTGTTTTTGTGGAATGAGGTGCGGGAGAGAGCACTGACCGTACCGCTGTCCGAGCAGCACCTGCAGGGACCAGAGATCAGAGAGAGAGAGACCAGAGAGAGAGACCAAAGAGAGAGACCAGAGAGAGAGACCAGAGAGAGAGACCAGAGAGAGAGACCAGAGAGAGAGACCAGAGAGAGACCAGAGAGAGAGACCAGAGAGAGAGACCAGAGAGAGAGACCAAAGAGAGACCAGAGAGAGAGACCAGAGAGAGAGACCAGAGAGAGAGACCAGAGAGAGAGACCAGAGAGAGAGACCAGAGAGAGACCAGAGAGAGAGACCAGAGAGAGAGACCAAAGAGAGACCAGAGAGAGAGACCAGAGAGATACCAGAGAGAGATCAGAGAGAGAGAGACCAGAGAGAGAACCAGAGAGATACCAGAGAGAGATCAGAGAGAGAGAGACCAGAGAGAGACCAGAGAGAGAGACCAGAGAGAGAGACCAGAGAGAGAGACCAGAGAGAGACCAGAGAGAGAGACCAGAGAGAGAGACCAGAGAGAGACCAGAGAGAGACCAGAGAGAGACCAGAGAGAGAGACCAGAGAGAGAGACCAGAGAGAGACCAGAGAGAGAGACCAGAGAGAGACCAGAGAGAGAAGGAGAGAGACCAGAGAGAGAGACCAGAGAGAGATCAGAGAGAGAGAGACCAGAGAGAGACCAGAGAGAGAGACCAGAGAGAGAGACCAGAGAGAGAGACCAGAGAGAGACCAGAGAGAGAGACCAGAGAGAGAGACCAGAGAGAGACCAGAGAGAGACCAGAGAGAGAGACCAGAGAGAGACCAGAGAGAGACCAGAGAGAGAGACCAGAGAGAGAGACCAGAGAGAGACCAGAGAGAGAGACCAGAGAGAGACCAGAGAGAGAGACCAGAGAGAGAGACCAGAGAGAGAGACCAGAGAGAGAGACCAGAGAGAGACCAGAGAGAGACCAGAGAGAGAGACCAGAGAGAGAGACCAGAGAGAGACCAGAGAGAGAGACCAGAGAGAGAGACCAAAGAGAGAGACCAGAGAGAGACCAGAGAGAGACCAGAGAGAGAGACCAGAGAGAGACCAGAGAGAGAGACCAGAGAAAGACCAGAGAGAGAGACCAGAGAAAGACCAGAGAGAGAGACCAGAGAGAGAGACCAGAGAGAGACCAGAGAGAGACCAGAGAGAGAGACCAGAGAGAGAGACCAGAGAGAGAGACCAGAGAGAGACCAGAGAGAGAGACCAGAGAGAGACCAGAGAGAGACCAGAGAGAGACCAGAGAGAGACCAGAGAGAGACCAGAGAGAGAGACCAGAGAGAGACCAGAGACTTGAAAAGACTCACGACGAAGACGGGGACGAAGGACACGAGTCTGGACTTGTGGATCTCATGGAGGAAGACCTCACAGGCCTCGAGACGGACCGAGTCTGGGACCGACCTGAGACCCCAGCACAGGTCCACCACCTGAGGACACAGGGACCAGACCAGACCTGAGACCAGACCTGAGACCTGAAACCAGACCTGAGGCCAGACCTGAGATCTGAGGCCAGACCTGAGACCAGACCTGAGATCTGAGACCTGAACTTAAGACCATAGGTCTCTCGGTCCTACAACCTTTGATGTCTTTAACCAGATCTACACCAGGACTGGACCAGGACTGGATCAGGACTGGACCAGGACTGGACCAGGACTGACCTCAAAGACGAGTCCGTGGCTGCGGCAGAAGGTCTGTAGTTCTGGATGGGCCTTCTCCATCAGAGCCTTCCTCTCACTGCTCATGTCTGAGGACCAGAAAGAGAACAGTCGGAGGACCAGAAAGAGAACCTCTTACAGTCTGGTACGGTCTGGTACAGTCTGGTACGGTCTGGTACGGTCTGGTACAGTCTGGTACGGTCTGGTACGGTCTGGTATAGTCTGGTATAGTCTGGTCTGGTACAGTCTGGTACAGTCTGGTATGGTCTGGTACAGTCTGGTATAGTCTGGTTTGATACAGTCTGGTACAGTCTGGTATGGTCTGGTACAGTCTGGTATAGTCTGGTTTGATACAGTCTGGTACAGTCTGGTATAGTCTGGTTTGATACAGTCTGGTACAGTCTGGTATGGTCTGGTACAGTCTGGTATAGTCTGGTTTGATACAGTCTGGTACAGTCTGGTACCGCTGAACGTGGAGCAGAGAAACACGCGGACCATGTTTGAGACGCGTCGAGGGGCGGGGCCAAGCTTCCCTCTGAGGAGGTCCTGAAAGCATCCTGCTCCTGCTGCTCCTTCTGCTCCTCCTTCTCCTGCTCCTTCTGCTCCTCCTCCTCCTGCTGCTGCTCCTCCTCCTCCTCCTGCTGCTCCTCCTGCTGCTGCTGCTCCTACTGACTGAGTTCCTCCTTCTGTTGTATGTGTTCCTCCTCCTCCTGCTGCTCCTCCTGCTCCTCCTGCTCCTCCTGCTGCTGCTGCTCCTACTGACTGAGTTCCTCCTTCTGTTGTATGTGTTCCTCCTCCACCTGCTCCTCCTGCTGCTGACTGTGCTCCTCCTGCTGCTCCTGCTGCCTGAGCTGATTCCATCTGATTCACTCTGCACAACGCTTTGATCTCCTCTCAGTGTGTGCGTCTCTGTGTGTGTCTCAGTGTGTGTGTCTCTGTGTCTCCTCTGTGTGTGTCTCCTCTCAGTGTGTGTGTCTCTGTGTCTCCTCTATGTGTGTGTCTGTGTCTCCTCTGTGTGTGTGTCTGTGTCTCCTCTCAGTGTGTCTGTGTCTCCTCTCAGTGTGTGTCTGTGTCTCCTCTCAGTGTGTGTGTGTCTGTGTCTCCTCTCAGTGTGTGTGTCTCTGTGTCTCCTCTATGTGTGTGTCTGTGTCTCCTCTGTGTGTGTGTCTGTGTCTCCTCTCAGTGTGTGTCTGTGTCTCCTCTGTGTGTGTGTCTGTGTCTCCTCTCAGTGTGTCTGTCTGTGTCTCCTCTCAGTGTGTGTCTGTGTCTCCTCTCAGTGTGTGTGTCTCTGTGTCTCCTCTCAGTGTGTGTGTCTCTGTGTCTCCTCTCAGTGTGTGTGTCTCTGTGTCTCCTCTGTGTGTATCTGTGTTTTCTTTCTTCTCTTATATATTTTCGAGTCTGTTTCCTCTGGGGCTGGTTGCCGTGGCGACTCTGGCTCAAAGGCACAAAGGCAGACTCTGTCGCTCACACTTTACTGTTTACAAAGAATCAGTGAAACTAAAACTATGATCCACGTGTTGGAACAATGTTCACTTTGGCTTTTCATCTTCCAGAATGTGACATCAATGATTCAAAAGGACAAATATGGAATAAGAGACGATCAGAATGAGCAACAGGAGCCACAGCTGCACCTGCAACGTCCTCAGAGACCCAGAAACAGCTGCAAAACAAAAGCAGGTCTAAACCAGGACTAAAACAGGTCTAAAGGAGGACTAAACCACGACTAAAGCAGGTCTAAAGCAGGACTGAAGCAGGACTAAAGCAGGTCTAAAGGAGGACTAAACCAGGACTAAAGCAGGTCTAAAGCCGGTCTAAAGCAGGTCTAAAGCCGGTCTAAAGCAGGTCTAAAGCAGGTCTAAAGCAGGACTAAACCAGGATTAAATCAGGTCTAAAGCAGGACTAAAGCGGGTCTAAAGCAGGTCTAAAGCAGGACTAAAGCAGGTCTAAAGCGGGTCTAAAGCGGGACTAAAGCAGGTCTAAAGCAGGACTAAAGCAGGACTAAAGCAGGACTAAAGCAGGTCTAAAGCAGGACTAAACCAGGACTAAATCAGGTCTAAAGCAGGTCTAAAGGAGGACTAAACCAGGACTAAAGCAGGTCTAAAGCAGGTCTAAAGCAGGACTAAAGAATCAGAATCAGAATCAGAATTGCCACGTAAGTAACAGGAGGTCACAGACTTGGAAATTGCTTTGGCTCAGTGCAACAGTCAAGAAGAGATAATAAAAATAAGAATAAAAAAACACTTCTAAAGAATAAATTTAAATTTAAAATAGAGTTACAGTTACTATTTACAATATACAAGTGCACATGGTGCACACAATTTAAGGTGACAGCAGTACAGTGAAGTAAAGTGACGTATGATGGGCAGTAAAGTGACTTTATAAAGGGCGGGGGGACAGGTTAAGAAGTGTTCAAGAGTCCAACAGCAGAGGGGAACAAACTGTTCTTGTGGCGGGAGGTTCTAGTCCTGATGGACCGCAGCCTCCTGCCTGAGGGGAGTGGTTGGAATAGTCCATGTGCAGGTGAGAGGGGAGTGGTTGGAATAGTCCATGTGCAGGGTGAGAGGGGTCGGCTGTGATACGACCAGCCCGGCCTCGAGCTCGGGCGACGTACAGGTCCTGCAGCGATGGAAGGCTGCGGCCGATCACTTCCTCTGCAGAGCGCACAATGCACTGTAGTCTCTGTTTGTCCCTGACTGTGGCTCCAGCGAACCACACGGTGATGGGAGGAGGTGATGGAGGAGGTGAGGATGGACTCGATGATGGCCGTGTAGAACTGCACCAACATCTGTGCAGGCAGCTTGGCTTTCCTGAGCTGCCGCAGGAAGTACATCCTCTGCTGGGCCTTCTTGATGAGGGAGCTGATGGTCGGCTCCCACTTGAGGTCCTGGGTGATGGTGGTGCCCAGGAAACGGAAGGACTCCACAGAGGTGATGGGGGAGTCCATCACGGAGGGTGGGGGTGGGGGGACAGTGCTCTTCCTGAAGTCCACAATCATCTCCACTGTCTTCTGGGCGTTCAGCTCCAGGTTGTTACCACTGCACCAGGACACCAGCCGGTCCACCTCCCTCCTGTAGGCGGACTCATCGTTGTTGGAGATGAGTCCAATGAGGGTGGTGTCGTCCGCGAACTTGATCAGCTTCACGGAGTCGTGGCTGGAGGTGCAGTGGTTGGTGTACAGGGAGAAGAGCAGGGGAGAAAGAACACAGCCCTGTGGGGCTCCTGTATTTATAATCCGAGAGTCCGAGACATTCTTCCCCAGACGCACTCGCTGCTTCCTGTCCGTCAGGAAGTCAGTGATCCACCTGCAGGTGGAATCGGGCACGTTGAGCTGGGAGAGCTTGTCCTGGAGCAGGGATGGCAGGATTGTGTTGAAGGCAGAGCTGAAGTCCACGAACAGGACCCTGGCGTAGGTCCCCGGGGAGTCCAGGTGCTGTAGGATGTGGTGGAGGGCCAGGTTAATGGCGTCGTCTACAGATCCTGTTAAAGCAGGACTAAAGCAGGTCTAAAACAGGTCTACAAAAGGTCTACAGCTGGACTAAAGCAGGGCTAAAGCGGGTCTAAAGCGGGACTAAAGCAGGTCTAAAGCAGGTCTAAAGCAGGACTAAAGCAGGTCTAAAGTGGGTCTAAAGCGGGACTAAAGCAGGACTAAAGCAGGACTGTTTTTGAGACTAAAGTTCAATCAATCAATCAACGTTTATTTATAGAGCGCCTTTCCTACACAAGGCAACGCAAAGCGCCTCACAACCCATATAACATCATGCATAAATCATCAAACATTAGAATTTAAGTAAACATAAAAAGACAGATTAAGAGCACAAGATATATAAAATCACACAAGTAGTTAAAAACCGTAAAAAATTAAAAGTTATGTGAATATTTGAGCATCAGCTTCTCGTTTCAGCGGGGACCCTCTGACGGTGAGGCCAGTGCTTCACCCACTGCTTTCACAAAGAGACACAAACCAGACTTCAAACTTTTATTATTTTCTCTCAGTTAAACAAAAACAAGATCACTTTAAAAAAAACTCAGTCCAATGGAGGAGGATGTGGGCGTGGCCTCAGCAGCCAGTGGGCGTGGTCTGTGCAGGTGGTGGGCGTGGCCTCGGGATGCGATAGGCGTGTGATGGGCAGGTGGTGGGCGTGGCCTCAGCAAGCAGTGGGCGTGGCCTCCGGCACAGTCAGGCCTTTACTCAGGAGGAAAGCCTCTTGTTTTGGTTCTCGGCCCAAAAACCTCCTCAGCATCTCAGAGGCGTCCAGAGAGCCTCCAGGGGACAGGATGAAGCGGCGGTAATCCAGCCCCACCTGAGGGAGGAAGGGAGAGAAGGAGGGGGAGTGAGGGTTATAGGGAGATGGAGGAGCAGGGTAGAGGGGGGAGGAGGAGAGGGAGAGGGATAAAGTGAGAGGGGAGCGGGGTGAGGGAGGAGTGGGAGAAGAGAAAGTGTGTAATTCATACAGAAACAGCACACACTCTAAACCAGACGTGTCCAAACCGGTCCAGAAAGGGCCGCTGCAGGTTTTCTTTCAGACCCAGCAGGAGCAGAGCAGACTCCGCCCATTTCCTCAGTGAGATCAGTCTTAGCCCCGTCCCAATTCTCACCCTTGCCCTTAGGTGTGAGTGCCCTCACCAGTAAAGTGCCTTCCCAGTGGGGAGTGCACTCACAACATTCTCCCTAAGAATTGGGACACCCCTGGCTCTAGGGGACAATATGCAAATGAGGCAGCAGACGTGTTCCACGTCACACACATGATCAAAGTGTGTGATTTCACCACAGATAAGATCTGACACAGATATGACTTTATGAAACACAGGATTCATTCAAATGAGACGTTTTTTATTCTATTTCATATGAAAATTGTCTATAATTAGGTACAGAACTGCTGCACATCACGCACTCATAGACAGACGCACACACGCACACACAAACACACATGTACACACACAGAGGCAGACACACACGCACGCACACACATGTACACACAGAGGCAGACACACATGTACATACACACAGAAACATGTACATACACATACGCACACAGAGGCAGACGGGTACAGCCGCGGATCACAAAGCAAAGTGTGTCAGAGCGATGTTCTGAACTACATCATAGATCTATAATAATAACATGGATCTATAATAATAACACGGATCTATGATAATAACATGGATCTATGATAATAACATGGATCTATAATAATAACATGGATCTATAATAATAACACGGATCTATGATAATAACACGGATCTATGATAATAACATGGATCTATGATAATAACATGGATCTATGATAATAACATGGATCTATAATAATAACATGGATCTATAATAATAACACGGATCTATAATATTAACACGGATCTATGATAATAACATGGATCTATAATAATAACATGGATCTATAATAATAACACGGATCTATGATAATAACACGGATCTATGATAATAACACGGATCTATGATAATAACATGGATCTATGATAATAACATGGATCTATGATAATAACATGGATCTATAATAATAACATGGATCTATGATAATAACATGGATCTATAATAATAACATGGATCTGTGATAATAACATGGATCTGTGATAATAACATGGATCTATGATAATAACATGGATCTATGATAATAACACGGATCTATGATAATAACATGGATCTATGATAATAACATGGATCTATGATAATAACATGGATCTATAATAATAACATGGATCTATAATAATAACATGGATCTGTGATAATAACATGGATCTATAATAATAACACGGATCTATAATAATAACACGGATCTATGATAATAACATGGATCTATGATAATAACATGGATCTATAATAATAACATGGATCTATAATAATAACACGGATCTATGATAATAACATGGATCTATGATAATAACATGGATCTATGATAATAACATGGATCTATAATAATAACATGGATCTATAATAATAACACGGATCTATAATAATAACATGGATCTATGATAATAACATGGATCTATGATAATAACATGGATCTATAATAATAACATGGATCTATAATAATAACACGGATCTATAATAATAACATGGATCTATGATAATAACATGGATCTATAATAATAACATGGATCTATAATAATAACACGGATCTATGATAATAACACGGATCTATGATAATAACATGGATCTATGATAATAACATGGATCTATAATAATAACATGGATCTATGATAATAACATGGATCTATAATAATAACATGGATCTGTGATAATAACATGGATCTATGATAATAACATGGATCTATGATAATAACACGGATCTATGATAATAACATGGATCTATGATAATAACATGGATCTATGATAATAACATGGATCTATAATAATAACATGGATCTATAATAATAACATGGATCTGTGATAATAACACGGATCTATAATAATAACACGGATCTATAATAATAACACGGATCTATGATAATAACATGGATCTATGATAATAACATGGATCTATAATAATAACATGGATCTATAATAATAACACGGATCTATGATAATAACATGGATCTATGATAATAACATGGATCTATGATAATAACATGGATCTATAATAATAACATGGATCTATAATAATAACACGGATCTATAATAATAACACGGATCTATGATAATAACATGGATCTATAATAATAACACGGATCTATAATAATAACACGGATCTATGATAATAACATGGATCTATGATAATAACATGGATCTATGATAATAACACGGATCTATGATAATAACATGGATCTATGATAATAACATGGATCTATAATAATAACATGGATCTATAATAATAACATGGATCTATAATAATAACATGGATCTATGATAATAACATGGATCTATAATAATAACATGGATCTATGATAATAACATGGATCTATGATAATAACATGGATCTATGATAATAACATGGATCTATGATAATAACATGGATCTATAATAATAACATGGATCTATAATAATAACATGGATCTATGATAATAACATGGATCTATGATAATAACATGGATCTATGATAATAACATGGATCTATGATAATAACATGGATCTATGATAATAACATGGATCTATGATAATAACATGGATCTATGATAATAACATGGATCTATGATAATAACATGGATCTATGATAATAACATGGATCTATGATAATAACATGGATCTATGATAATAACATGGATCTATGATAATAACATGGATCTATGATAATAACATGGATCTATGATAATAACATGGATCTATGATAATAACATGGATCTATGATAATAACATGGATCTATAATAATAACATGGATCTATAATAATAACATGGATCTATAATAATAACATGGATCTATGATAATAACATGGATCTATAATAATAACATGGATCTATGATAATAACATGGATCTATGATAATAACATGGATCTATGATAATAACATGGATCTATGATAATAACATGGATCTATAATAATAACATGGATCTATGATAATAACATGGATCTATGATTATAACATGGATCTATAATAATAACATGGATCTATAATAATAACATGCACCACGTTGCCAAAGCTTCAGTGAACGCCACTCGCTGCAGTCGCTTCGGGAGTGAACGTCACCGCACACGGCACCAACACACGCAGTAAAAACTAACTCGCACACGCTTTGGAGCGTCCTCATGTTCACCACAAACTTGTGCGCGGGTGTTTCACATTGTTTTCTTTCATTGTGGCGCGGCTTTCCCCGACTGCTGCTTTACCAACAGCTATCCTAATGCATCATGGGATCACCCTCGCTCGCAGGTGAGCTCCGGACCTGACTTGCGGGTTGGTTTTTAGGGCTGTGAAGGCCCTCGCCTCTTCTCCCTAAGTATTGGGACACCCTTCCACGCCCGCGGGCACGCGCAAACTCTAGGGCAAGTGTGCTTTTTAAGGGCAAGGGTGAGAATTGGGGCCTTAACCTCAAGATTTGAGGAAGTGGGCGGAGTCTGCTCTGCTCCTGCTGGGTCTGATAGAAAACCTGCAGCGGCTCTTTCTGGACCGGTTTGGACAACTCTGCTCTAAACAATACATCTTCCTCTATGTCTGCCTGGTAGCCGAGAGTTTGTGAGGTTAGTTGGTGATTAGAAAAGCCTGGTACCTGTGGGTTCATGATGCCCTCCTTCTTGAAGCGGGCGTAGAACATGTCCATAGAAAACACCTCGCTCCACAGATATCCATAATACTGAGCGTCGTATCCTCCGGCCAGGTGTCCGAAGGTCGCGGGCATGTTGGTACCTGCGGGTATACGTGACAACAGTCCCCATGACAACAGTCCCCGTGACAACCGTCCCCGTCACAACAGTCCCCGTGACAACAGTCCCCGTGACAACAGTCCCCGTGACAACAGTCCCCGTGACAACAGTCCCCGTGACAACAGTCCCCGTGACAACAGTCCCCGTGACAACAGTCCCCGTGACAACAGTCCCCGTGACAACAGTCCCCGTGACAACAGTCCCCGTGACAACAGTCCCCGTGACAACAGTCCCCGTGACAACAGTCCCCATGACAACAGTCTCCATGACAACAGTCTCCATGTTTTCACCTGGAGAGGAGGGGATCCCCAGCACCTCCACACACAGCCGCTCGTACTCCTCCGCTGGGTCCAGGCCGCTCCTCGTGTGCAGAGCCTGGTCTACTTTGGCCAGGACGATCTGACGCAGGTTAAAGAGGCCTGAACAGAGCACAAGTGGGCCAAAGCAGGTTAAACACAGACTGTGAACACAATGCTAACACACTACCAACAACATTGCCATGAACGGAACACAGACCTCAACAACATCTCAACATAAACAGTCCCATTCTACCCAGTGATGGGCAGTAGCGTCGCTACAAGTAGCGTCGCTACTAGCTTAACTACATTTTTCAGTAGCTTGACAGTAGCGTCACTATTTACAAAACCTAGTAACTTTTCTGTAGCTAAGCTATATTATTGCTCAAGTAGCGCGGTAGCGTCCGCCAAAGCTATTTTATCACGGACATCTCTGATGTTCACATATTACAGCATTTTCCCGCAGCATAAAACAAACATATAGAAAGACAGAATGCTGATGCGCATGCGCAGGGCTTGGTAACGACACACACACACGAGCGTACGCGCACACACACACGCACACACATGCGCGCGCGCTACTGGGGGAAGCAAAAGCAACGGCAGAGAGCCCAGGAGCCGCCGCGGTGGAGGAGGACCATGATAAGGACTCTCAAAGTGTTGTACCGTGGCCATACCTCCTTGTTCAATAAATATCTACAAAATGTTAACCTTTATCTGACTGACAGTTTATCTCAAATAAGAAGATAAGCTTTATTAATCTCACACAGGAGAAATTTACATGTCACATTTGGCATGGATAAAACACTCAAGAATTGTGCAAAAAATAAGAAATGAGCAAACATGTTAATGCAGGAAAATATAAAATTGCATGAACTGCAGTTTGTTTAATTGAAAATAGCTTCTATATAGCAAGCTACTTTTGACAGAATTTTATAACTTAGCTTGCTACATTTGTATGGGTGGTAGCTTCTGTGTAGTGAAGCTGAATTTATTGTAGAGTAGCTTGTAGCTTAGCTCACTACACAAATCAAGTAGCTTGCCCATCACTGATTCTACCTTAAATCTAAAAAAACATTGGCAATGTGCTTCTCTATAAACAAAGGTCTCTAAATAGTTCATTTGAGGTCAGTCTTAACGATGACGTCATTAAGGAGGAATACCTGGGTGTTATATTGGATAAACATCTGAAGTATCAAAGTCACGTTAAACATGTTTGTAAGAAGGTCAAATTCAATCTTTACTGTTTTCATTTTATCAGTTACCCCATCATGCAGCTGTGTTATACATGCAGCTGTGTTATATATGCAGCTGTGTTATACATGCTGCTGTGTTATACATGCAGCTGTGTTATATATGCATCTGTGTTATACATGCTGCTGTGTTATACATGCAGCTGTGTTATACATGCTGCTGTGTTATATATGCAGCTGTGTTATACATGCAGCTGTGTTATACAGTACATGCATCTGTGTTATATATGCAGCTGTGTTATACATGCAGCTGTGTTATATATGCAGCTGTGTTATACATGCAGCTGTGTTATACATGCAGCTGTGTTATATATGCAGCTGTGTTATACATGCATCTGTGTTATACATGCTGCTGTGTTATATATGCAGCTGTGTTATATATGCAGCTGTGTTATATATGCAGCTGTGTTATACATGCAGCTGTGTTATACATGCAGCTGTGTTATACATGCTGCTGTGTTATATATGCAGCTGTGTTATATATGCAGCTGTGTTATATATGCAGCTGTGTTATACATGCAGCTGTTTTATACATGCTGCTGTGTTATACATGCTGCTGTGTTATATATGCAGCTGTGTTATACATGCTGCTGTGTTATACATGCTGCTGTGTTATATATGCAGCTGTGTTATACATGCTGCTGTGTTATATATGCAGCTGTGTTATACATGCAGCTGTGTTATACATGCAGCTGTGTTATACATGCAGCTGTGTTATACATGCTGCTGTGTTATACATGCAGCTGTGTTATATATGCATCTGTGTTATACATGCTGCTGTGTTATACATGCAGCTGTGTTATACATGCTGCTGTGTTATATATGCAGCTGTGTTATACATGCAGCTGTGTTATACAGTACATGCATCTGTGTTATATATGCAGCTGTGTTATACATGCAGCTGTGTTATATATGCAGCTGTGTTATACATGCAGCTGTGTTATACATGCAGCTGTGTTATATATGCAGCTGTGTTATACATGCATCTGTGTTATACATGCTGCTGTGTTATATATGCAGCTGTGTTATATATGCAGCTGTGTTATATATGCAGCTGTGTTATACATGCAGCTGTGTTATACATGCTGCTGTGTTATATATGCAGCTGTGTTATATATGCAGCTGTGTTATATATGCAGCTGTGTTATACATGCTGCTGTGTTATATATGCAGCTGTGTTATACATGCAGCTGTGTTATACATGCAGCTGTGTTATACATGCAGCTGTGTTATACATGCAGCTGTGTTATATATGCAGCTGTGTTATATATGCACACAATGGTCTCAAACCAGTGACCTCTGTATAAACAGACAATTAAGATCATGACAACAAACCAATGAGATGACATCACTGTGACATCATACAGAAGCACAAACTTTTTACTTTCCATGACTTTGTAAATTTCTCTTTTTTAAAATTGGCTTTAAAATGTGTGAACAACTGTGTGTCTCTGCTCTCTGGGCTCCTGCTGAAACATCAGTCTGCTCTCAGAGCCTCCACCAGAGCCTCCACCAGAGCCTCCACCAGAGCCTCCACCAGAGCCTCCACCAGAGCCTCCGTCAGTGGGGTCTGTGAGCTCCCAAAGCTCAGAACATCTTTTGGACAATCCAGCTTCTCCTTTAGGGTTAAACTGTGGAACTCTCTCCCACCAGTCTAACTACAGACCAACAGGACCATCTTCAGCAGAGCTCAGACAGTGCTTCAGATCCAGACAGACTTGTTCTCACGTGTAAACTTTATTGTAATTCTTTTAAATGTCTTTTATCTTCTGTAGTTTAAAAGCCCCTGTGGACTGGTGTTGAAAATTAGCACCTGTGCTTTAACACTTACAGCAAAGCATCTGGTTCGTCCAATGTTATTGTTATGTCCATATTAAATACATAAATAAATAATAATAATAATATGCTCCAAATTCCTGCTCAAATAGTCAGTCCGTCCAGACCAGAGAGAGAGACCAGAGAGAGAGAGCAGAGAGAGACCAGAGAGAGAGACCAGAGAGAGACCAGAGAGAGAGGCCAGAGAGACCAGAGAGAGAGAGCAGAGAGAGACCAGAGAGACCAGTAAGAGAGAGCAGAGAGAGACCAGAGAGAGAGACCAGAGAGACCAGTAAGAGAGAGCAGAGAGAGACCAGAGAGAGAGACCAGAGAGAGAGACCAGTAAGAGAGAGCAGAGAGAGGGCAGAGAGAGCAGGATATAGCAGGTGCGTCTCTGACCGGTGTTGGCCAGTCTGGACTTGATGAGCTTGTCCAGCAGGTCCTCGGGGATGGCGGCGCCGCTCCTGTAGTGCTGCGACATCCTCTGCAGCGGCTCCTTCTCCCAAACCCAGTTCTCCAACATCTGAGACGGAGCCTCCACAAAGTCTCGCTCTACATGAGTCCCACTGAACATGGCATAGTCCGCCTGAGGAGAGACCACAGCATGAGAGAGACCAGAGAGAGAGAGACCAGAGAGAGATCAGAGAGAGACCAGAGAGAGACCAGAGAGAGACCAGAGAGAGGCAAGAGAGAAACCAGAGAGATCAGAGAGAGACCAGAGAGAGGCAAGAGAGAAACCAGAGAGATCAGAGAGAGACCAGAGAGAGACCAGAGAGAGGCCAGAGAGAGACCAGAGAGAGGCCAGAGAGAGGCCAGAGAGAGGCCAGAGAGAGGCCAGAGAGAGGCCAGAGAGAGGCCAGAGAGAGGCCAGAGAGAGGCCAGAGAGAGACCAGAGAGAGACCAGAGAGAGACCAGAGAGAGACCAGAGAGAGACCAGAGAGAGGCCAGAGAGAGACCAGAGAGAGACCAGAGAGAGACCAGAGAGAGACCAGAGAGAGGCCAGAGAGAGGCCAGAGAGAGAGACCAGAGAGAGACAGACCAGAGAGAGAGAGAGACCAGAGAGGGACCAGAGAGAGAGAGAGACCAGAGAGAGAGAGACCAGAGAGAGAGAGACCAGAGAGAGGCCAGAGAGAGAGAGAGACCAGAGAGAGAGAGACCAGGGAGAGGCCAGAGAGAGAGAGACCAGAGAGAGGCCAGAGAGAGACCAGAGAGAGAGAGAGACCAGAGAGAGGCCAGAGAGAGACCAGAGAGAGGCAAGAGAGAGACCAGAGAGAGAGAGAGACCAGAGAGAGAGAGAGGCCAGAGAGAGAGAGACCAGAGAGAGAGACCAGAGAGAGAGAGACCAGATAGGGACCAGAGAGGGACCAGAGAGAGAGAGAGACCAGAGAGAGACAGACCAGAGAGAGACCAGAGAGAGACCAGAGAGAGACCAGAGAGAGACCAAAGAGAGACCAGAGAGAGACCAAAGAGAGACCAGAGAGAGAGAGACCAGAGAGAGACAGACCAGAGAGAGACCAGAGAGAGACCAGAGAGAGACCAGAGAGAGACCAAAGAGAGACCAGAGAGAGAGAGACCAGAGAGAGACAGACCAGAGAGAGACAGACCAGAGAGAGACCAGAGAGAGAGAGACCAGAGAGAGACCAAAGAGAGACCAGAGAGAAACCAGAGAGAGACCAGAGAGAGACAGACCAGAGAGAGACCAGAGAGAGACCAGAGAGAGACCAGAGAGAGACCAAAGAGAGACCAGAGAGAGAGAGACCAGAGAGAGACAGACCAGAGAGAGACAGACCAGAGAGAGACCAGAGAGAGAGAGACCAGAGAGAGACCAAAGAGAGACCAGAGAGAAACCAGAGAGAGACCAGAGAGAAACCAGAGAGAGAGAGACCAGAGAGAGACCAGAGAGAGAGAGACCAGAGAGAGACCAGAGAGAGACCTCTGCTCTCACCTGCGCACACAGCTGGTGCATGACGTGTCCAAACTCGTGGAAGTAGGTCTCCACCTCGTCGTGCTGCAGCAGAGCAGGAGCGTCTGCCGTGGCTTTGCTGAAGTTCGCCACCATCGCCGCCACCGACATCTGACGAGATCCATCAGGCAACAGACACCCGGGCTGCAGGCCGAAGCAGGCCGCGTGCCCGTACTTTCCCTCTCTGCACACACACACAGAGAGAGACACACACACACACACACACACACACAGAGAGAGACACACAGACACACACAGAGAGAGAGACACACACACACACAGAGAGAGAGACACACAGACATACACACACAGAGAGAGAGAGAGACACACACACAGACATAGAGAGACATACACACACATAGACACACAGACACAGAGAGACACACACACAGCACAGAGAGACACATAGACACAGACACACACACACAGAGAGACACACACACGTAAACATTAGAGGTGGGAATTGGCAAAAATATAACAATACAATAGTGTTGCAATATTTCAGAAGCATTTCGCTCAAAATATCATAATACTGAACTAAATCCTTTTTTTACTACAGCACTAGTAGGCCCCTGGTGGGCTCCTGGGGGTCTGTAGTTTGTGTGTGTGTAGTAGGTCCCCTGGTGGGCTCCTGGGGGTCTGTAGTTTGTGTGTGTGTAGTAGGTCCCCTGGTGGGCTCCTGGGGGTCTGTAGTTTGTGTGTGTGTAGTAGGTCCCCTGGTGGGCTCCTGGGGGTCTGTAGTTTGTGTGTGTGTAGTAGGTCCCCTGGTGGGCTCCTAGGGGTCTGTAGTTTGTGTGTGTGTAGTAGGTCCCCTGGTGGGCTCCTAGGGGTCTGTAGTTTGTGTGTGTGTAGTAGGTCCCCTGGTGGGCTCTTGGGGGTTTGTAGTTTTGTGTGTGTGTAGTAGGTCCCCTGGTGGGCTCTTGGGGGTCTGTAGTTTGTGTGTGTGTAGTAGGTCCCCTGGTGGGCTCCTGGGGGTCTGTAGTTTGTGTGTGTTGTAGGTCCCCTGGTGGGCTCCTGGGGGTCTGTAGTTTGTGTGTGTGTAGTAGGTCCCCTGGTGGGCTCCTGGGGGTCTGTAGTTTGTGTGTGTGTAGTAGGTCCCCTGGTGGGCTCCTGGGGGTCTGTAGTTTGTGTGTGTGTAGTAGGTCCCCTGGTGGGCTCCTAGGGGTCTGTAGTTTGTGTGTGTGTAGTAGGTCCCCTGGTGGGCTCCTAGGGGTCTGTAGTTTGTGTGTGTGTAGTAGGTCCCCTGGTGGGCTCCTGGGGGTCTGTAGTTTGTGTGTGTGTAGTGGGTCCCCTGGTGGGCTCCTGGGGGTCTGTAGTTTGTGTGTGTGTAGTAGGTCCCCTGGTGGGCTCCTGGGGGTCTGTAGTTTTTGTGTGTGTGTAGTAGGTCCCCTGGTGGGCTCCTGGGGGTCTGTAGTTTGTGTGTGTGTCGTGGGTCCCCTGGTGGGCTCCTAGGGGTCTGTAGTTTGTGTGTGTGTGGTAGGTCCCCTGGTGGGCTCTTGGGGGTCTGTAGTTTGTGTGTGTGTAGTAGGTCCCCTGGTGGGCTCTTGGGGGTCTGTAGTTTGTGTGTGTGTAGTAGGTCCCCTGGTGGGCTCCTGGGGGTCTGTAGTTTGTGTGTGTTGTAGGTCCCCTGGTGGGCTCCTGGGGGTCTGTAGTTTGTGTGTGTGTAGTGGGTCCCCTGGTGGGCTCCTGGGGGTCTGTAGTTTGTGTGTGTGTAGTAGGTCCCCTGGTGGGCTCCTGGGGGTCTGTAGTTTGTGTGTGTGTAGTAGGTCCCCTGGTGGGCTCCTGGGGGTCTGTAGTTTGTGTGTGTAGTGGGTCCCCTGGTGGGCTCCTGGGGGTCTGTAGTAGGTCCCCTGGTGGGCTCTTGGGGGTCTGTAGTAGGTCCCCTGGTGGGCTCTTGGGGGTCTGTAGTTTGTGTGTGTGTCGTGGGTCCCCTGGTGGGCTCCTGGGGGTCTGTAGTTTGTGTGTGTAGTGGGTCCCCTGGTGGGCTCCTGGGGGTCTGTAGTAGGTCCCCTGGTGGGCTCTTGGGGGTCTGTAGTTTGTGTGTGTGTCGTGGGTCCCCTGGTGGGCTCCTGGGGGTCTGTAGTAGGTTCCCTGGTGGGCTCTTGGGGGTCTGTAGTTTGTGTGTGTGTAGTAGGTCCCCTGGTGGGCTCTTGGGGGTCTGTAGTTTGTGTGTGTGTAGTAGGTCCCCTGGTGGGCTCCTGGGGGTCTGTAGTTTGTGTGTGTTGTAGGTCCCCTGGTGGGCTCCTGGGGGTCTGTAGTTTGTGTGTGTGTAGTGGGTCCCCTGGTGGGCTCCTGGGGGTCTGTAGTTTGTGTGTGTGTAGTAGGTCCCCTGGTGGGCTCCTGGGGGTCTGTAGTTTGTGTGTGTGTAGTAGGTCCCCTGGTGGGCTCCTGGGGGTCTGTAGTTTGTGTGTGTGTCGTGGGTCCCCTGGTGGGCTCCTGGGGGTCTGTAGTTTGTGTGTGTAGTGGGTCCCCTGGTGGGCTCCTGGGGGTCTGTAGTAGGTCCCCTGGTGGGCTCTTGGGGGTCTGTAGTTTGTGTGTGTGTCGTGGGTCCCCTGGTGGGCTCCTGGGGGTCTGTAGTAGGTTCCCTGGTGGGCTCTTGGGGGTCTGTAGTTTGTGTGTGTGTCGTGGGTCCCCTGGTGGGCTCCTGGGGGTCTGTAGTAGGTTCCCTGGTGGGCTCCTGGGGGACTGACCGTGGGTGCAGGTCCAGGTAGAACTGTCCCACGGTGGCGCCGCTGCTGCGCTCCTTCACCGTGAACAGGCTGACGTCCGGGTGCCAGACCGCAGGTTTGGACACGCTCTCGAACGTCAGCCCCAGAAGCTCCTGGTAAATGTCCAGCAGCCCGCGGGTCACCACCTCCACCGGGAAGAACTCCTTCAGCTGGTTCTGGTCCACCGCAAACTGGGTCTCCTCCACCTGCAGAGGGCGCAGTCGAACACATTCCAGAGAGGGGGAGGGTCAGAGAGTGTTGGGGCCTGTAGGACTGAGCACGGTGCAGATACGTGAGAAACCGTTTCTCACCATCACCATTTTGGGCTTAGTGCTCTCTGTGGTCCTGGTGTTTATGTTGTAATATTGTCTGTGTAAATCCAAATAAAACCCATATAATGATTGACCAATCAGAAGGCTTCATTTGGGTGGGAAACTCCAGCTTTCCTTAGCAACCGTCTTAGCAACACATCTGCTCCTGTTTTCCTAGCTAGCATATGTTCTAAGCAGCTTCTTGGCATGGAGGCTAACACTATGGTGACGTCACACTTGGTCAGTCCACTCCTTACATAAATTCTAGGGTTAGCATTGAGCTAGCGGGTTAGCATTGTGCAGTCTAGGTCCCAGACTGACCTGGGTCATGAAGTAGCGCGTGTCCCAAGCGTGGAGCTTTCCGTCAAACGGCAGCCCCCTCTTCTCACACTCCGTCTGCTTCAGTCTGAGCAGAACAGCGCGCTCCTCCTCCCCCAGGGGGCGCAGCCGAGCAGCCAGTTCCTCTGGAAGAAGGGAACAGCTGTAAGGTCTGCGTTCAAGGCCTCACATTACACCTGTGTTACAGACCTCACATTAAATTAGGTCTGTAACACAGGTGTGGAGTATTTTTCTTTAGCTAGTCATCTGAAGCGGGTCCTTTTGACCATATAAAAGTGGTCTCACCGAGGAAGCAGGAGACGGTGCGCGCGCTCTTGGCCATGTTCATCTCCAGCACAAAGTCTGCGTGAGTCTTGAAGCCGAGCAGCGAACACTTCTGTGTGCGCAGCGTCACCAGCTCCTTCAGGATCTCAGAGTTCTCCTGGAAACACTGGCTGTAAGTCCAACATTCTCTCTCTCTGGTGTCTCTCCCTTTCTCTGGTGTCTCTCCCTCTCTCTGGTGTCTCTCCCTCTCTCTGGTGTCTCTCCCTCTCTCTGGTCTCTCCCTCTCTCTGGTCTCTCCCTCCGGTCTCTCCCTCCGGTCTCCCCCTCCGGTCTCCCTCTGGTCTCCCTCCGGTCTCACCTGTTTGCAGCGGGAGTTGAAGGCCTCCTCCAGACTCTTGCGTGTCTCTGGGACGTGACACTTCTTCATTGTGGGAAAATAATGTGGATATTTGAGCGTCACTTTAAGTTTGTCTCCGTCTGCGTCCAGCGCCGTCAGGAAGTCCTCCGGCAGACCGCCTGCAGGGGGCAGCAGAGAGAACGTACTAGATGAGGTCTTAAGCAGGACTAAATCAGGTCTAAATCATGTGTGATGTCACACCCAGTTCCTGGCGGCTGAAGCTCAAACTCGTCGTGTCCTCGTTCAGGTTCTTGTTGAAGTCGATGCACAGATTACTCAGACGCTTCTTTATTTTCTTTATCTCCTGAAACCAGAGAAAACAACATGAGACAAAGACACAGCTCTGTGGGAGCACAGGAAGAACATGCAAACTGGCCCCAGTCCTTTCCGGGTTCAGAGCTCCTTCCTCTGAAGGAGCCGAGATTGATAGAGCAGTGATGTGGTCTCTCTCTCTCTGGGCCCCATGTCTCTCTCTCTCTCTGGGCCCCATCTCTCTCTCTCTCTCTGGGCCCCATCTCTCTCTCTCTCTCTGGTCCCCATGTATCTCTCTCTCTGGTCCCCATGTATCTCTCTCTCTGGTCCCCATCTCTCTCTCTCTCTCTCTGGGCCCCATCTCTCTCTCTCTCTCTCTGGTCCCCATGTCTCTCTCTCTCTGGTCCCCATGTATCTCTCTCTCTGGTCCCCATTTATCTCTCTCTCTGGTCCCCATGTATCTCTCTCTCTGGTCCCCATGTATCTCTCTCTCTGGTCCCCATCTCTCTCTCTCTCTGGTCCCCATCTCTCTCTCTCTCTCTCTGGTCCCCATTTATCTCTCTCTCTGGTCCCCATGTCTCTCTCTCTCTGGTCCCCATGTCTCTCTCTCTCTGGTCCCCATGTCTCTCTCTCTCTGGTCCCCATGTCTCTCTCTCTCTCTGGTCCCCATGTCTCTCTCTCTCTCTGGTCCCCATTCTCTGTTCTCTCTCTCTGGTCCCCATGTCTCTCTCTCTCTGGTCCCCATGTCTCTCTCTCTCTGGTCCCCATGTCTCTCTCTCTCTGGTCCCCATGTCTCTCTCTCTCTCTGGTCCCCATGTCTCTCTCTCTCTCTGGTCCCCATGTCTCTCTCTCTCTCTGGTCCCCATGTCTCTCTCTCTCTGGTCCCCATGTCTCTCTCTCTCTCTGGTCCCCATGTCTCTCTCTCTCTCTGGTCCCCATGTCTCTCTCTCTCTGGTCCCCATGTCTCTCTCTCTCTCTGGTCCCCATGTCTCTCTCTCTCTCTGGTCCCCATGTCTCTCTCTCTCTCTGGTCCCCATGTCTCTCTCTCTCTCTGGTCCCCATGTCTCTCTCTCTCTCTGGTCCCCATGTCTCTCTCTCTCTCTGGTCCCATGTCTCTCTGGTCTGTTGTAATGAAGAGGGAGCAGTGTCTGCTGTCAGAGCTCTGTAATACTCAGGCCGCTGTCCCACCCTCACCTACAGTCCTGTGGAACCTTCCTAGCTCCTCACCTCCTGCGTCTCCTTGGGGAGGTGCAGGCCGTTCCTCCTCCCCAGTCGGATCAGTCGCTCCATGTATCGTTTGGCCTCTGGGCTCAGAGACTCTGGCTCCAGCTTCTTCTGCAACACACACACAAGTTATAGTCAAGATTAGTCAATGGAACCCTCTCTGGCCTCTCTCCCCCCCCCTCTGGCCTCTCTCTCCCCCCCTCTGGCCTCCTCTCTCTCCCCCCCTCTGGCCTCTCTCTCCTCTGGCCTCTCTCTCCCTCTGGCCTCTCTCTCCCTCTGGCCTCTCTCTCCCTCTGGCCTCTCTCTCCCTCTGGCCTCTCTCTCCCTCTGGCCTCTCTCTCCCTCTGGCCTCTCTCTCCCTCTGGCCTCTCTCTCCCTCTGGCCTCTCTCTCCCTCTGGCCTCTCTCTCCCTCTGGCCTCTCTCTCCCTCTGGCCTCTCTCTCCCTCTGGCCTCTCTCTCCCTCTGGCCTCTCTCTCCCTCTGGCCTCTCTCTCCCTCTGGCCTCTCTCTCCCTCTGGCCTCTCTCTCCCTCTGGCCTCTCTCTCCCTCTGGCCTCTCTCCCTCTGGCCTCTCTCCCTCTGGCCTCTCTCCCTCTGGCCTCTCTCCCTCTGGCCTCTCTCCCTCTGGCCTCTCTCCCTCTGGCCTCTCTCCCTCTGGCCTCTCTCCCTCTGGCCTCTCTCCCTCTGGCCTCTCTCCCTCTGGCCTCTCTCCCTCTGGCCTCTCTCCCTCTGGCCTCTCCCTCTGGCCTCTCCCTCTGGTCTCTCTCCCTCTGGTCTCTCTCTCTCTGGCCTCTCTCTCTCTGGCCTCTCTCTCTCTGGCCTCTCTCTCTCTGGCCTCTCTCTCTCTGGCCTCTCTCTCTGACCTCTCTCTCTCTGGCCTCTCTCTCTCTGGCCTCTCTCTCTCTGGCCTCTCTCTCTCTCTGGCCTCTCTCTCTCTGGCCTCTCTCTCTCTGGCCTCTCTCTCTCTGGCCTCTCTCTCTCTGGCCTCTCTCTCTCTGGCCTCTCTCTCTCTGGCCTCTCTCTCTCTGGCCTCTCTCTCTCTGGCCTCTCTCTCTCTGGCCTCTCTCTCTCTGGCCTCTCTCTCTCTGGCCTCTCTCTCTCTGGCCTCTCTCTCTCTGGCCTCTCTCTCTCTGGCCTCTCTCTCTCTGGCCTCTTCTCTCTGGCCTCTCTCTCTCTGGCCTCTCTCTCTCTGGCCTCTCTCTCTCTGGCCTCTCTCTCTCTGGCCTCTCTCTCTCTGGCCTCTCTCTCTCTGGCCTCTCTCTCTCTGGCCTCTCTCTCTCTGGCCTCTCTCTCTCTGGCCTCTCTCTCTCTGGCCTCTCTCTCTCTGGCCTCTCTCTCTCTGGCCTCTCTCTCTCTGGCCTCTCTCTCTCTGGCCTCTCTCTCTCTGGCCTCTCTCTCTCTCCTCTCTCTCCTCTGGCTCTCTCTCTCTCTCTCTCTCTGGTCTCCCTCTCTCTCCTCTCTCTCTCTGGTCCCCCTCTCTCTCCCTCTCTCTTCACACTCTCTCTCTCTCTCTCTCTCTCTGGTCACTCTCTCTCTCTCTCTCTCTCACACTCTCTCTAACCCTCAACCATAGATGGAGCTAAAAACAACATCAGGTCCATTTTTGACGAGGGAACAAATACTCAAATACTTCTTTACAATGGTTGTTCTAACAAGATGTAACTGTAAACACAGCACTAATGATTGACGTAAATGTCAGTAAAACACAATCATATGGGTAAACCTGCATATGTTTTGGGTGATTATCTATCAAACAATACTAGGAAAAGAGCAAGGCAATTCCTTTCAATAAATATAAAGTCATAAATATACAATTCTGTTCACAAAATACAATTAGTGCAATAATGTAGTTTTCTATTTCACATAATCCAACGATGTCAATGTCACGAAAAGCAAATTAAGTAAGCAACCGTTGTCCTTAAACGCCAGTGCACTATATAATACACACTAAAACCCTGCTCATAGTAAGATTATTATTTTATTTTTTACCAATAAAAGGACCATTTGGTGTTTTGAGCATTCAACAGGTGGTATTTGTCAAGGTTATGGCTCCAGGCTTTTCATTTTCAAAACGTAACAGCAGGTCTCTCTTTTGAAACATTTATGAGGTTGATATGAAGCCCGGATCCGCTCACGGTCAGGTGCAGAATGGTCAGCGGAGGAGTGGGCTTTTTGATGTGGAAGCACCGAGCGCCACAGACGTCGTAGCGCTAAGGTTACTATGTAGGACAAGCAAGTTAAATGTAATGTTAGACTTGTGCGGGATCAAGGCAAAAATATAGCCTGGTCTTATCCATCCGTACTCTCCGCTCAGTCATCATTTCACTGCATGTAACGTCTGGGTCTGGTTAGTAGTGATTACAATCGGTTGAATTTCGACCGACCAATCAGAGAGCGCGGAAGGCGGTGTTGTAGTTAGTTGTGGGTGACGTCAAGAGTTTGCGTCGAACGGGAAGGTTGCAGTTTGGCAATAGCGACTGAACTGAATTGAAGCCGGAGCAAGAGGAATCTTTAGCAAATGTAATCGCTAGAAAAAATTGTGGCTCCGTTAGCGGCAAAGGAGATGACGAAAGCTAGGCTAAATGCTAAATGCTAACGACTCACTCAGGCACATTACATACGTCACGGTAAACTCAGATCCAATCGTTTCAATCTGCAAAAGCAGTTAACCCCTCCCACCTGTTCACGGAGTCAATGGAGAAAATCCAGACCTTAGTACCAAATGTAATCTGTACTATGGTGGTTAGCTACCAGGTTAGCAAAAATACCACTCAAATAACATTTACTGGATAGCAAAAAATATAATCTTTTTTATGCAATCAGCCAACAGCAGACTCTGATGATGCTCATGAATAGGCCTCTCAGATTACAGTAACTGCTTCATGGAGCAAGAGCAATAGCAGATAATCCATATTGGCGGAACGGTGGCTGAGTGGTTAGCACTCTCGCTTCTCAGCCAGAAGGTCCTGGGTTCAAATCCCGGTCGGAACAGGGCCTTTCTGAGTGGAGTTTGCATGTTCTCCCTGTGTCTGCGTAGGTTTCCTCCGGGTGCTCCGGTTTCCCCTACCACTAAAAACATGTACAATAGGTCTGAATGTAAATGAGAGAGTGAATGGATGGTGTTGGGTCAGAGGATTTGATGGACCAGTGTGTTCTGGACTCGCTTCTGTCATCACCGTGTGTGGAAGGATTAGAACAATATCTGACTCTGAACATTGGAAAGTGCTTTGGGTCTGTACCTTGGTCTGTAACATGCGCTATATAAAAAAAAAAAAAACGTACTACTACTATGGCATATTTATATAATCTATCCATTTAATAAAAAAAAAATCGTGCAAAATCAAACATCATTAAATATGTCATGTTGAAAGTTCTATCTTAAACGTTGCTTTTTTGCAAAGGAAGGAATAATTAGATTGCTAGTTTAAAATAAAAGGTACAGCAGATGAATATTGTGGCCCAGATTATACTTTCAGAGGGAACTGTTGTATTTTGTATTTCTTTTCAAACCGCTTTTTCTGCAACCTTGAAAAAGAGGTTTTTAACTTCAATGGCATTTCAAAGCTTAAAGTCATTATCGTTTGATTTTTTTCCTCACATCACGGCTGCTCACACCCCATTCTACAAACTAACTTTACCAATAAATACATCTGACACATGATAATTCAACGTTTTAAAATGTAAATGCCTCTTAAAAGTTACCCCACAATGACAGGAGGCAATAATATGTCTTTAGGTGAAATGGAATTAGTTCTTGATCCTTAAAAACAGCGACCATTTTATGTTCTTATGACAATTTTTATACTGGATACACACACATTTTCATATCCTTAGATCTAAATCCTTTTAAGAGTGAAGCTTAATTAAAATAAAATGTATAGGCTGCAGGTGTTGTTTGCTCTCTTCGGCTCCTTCTGCTCCAATTACATGGAAACCACGGACAAAAAGTACATTTATTGTTGAGAATTGTGTTCAGTGAAGACAGACGACACCAAAGCAGTGTCTGGTTGAGGCCGAGGCGTCATCTGTGGCTTTGGGTAAATCTGTGGCTTTATTCTAATGAGGAACCACTGTGGGCAAAGGACACTAAAAAACTAAAATGCATTTAATCCTGATCCGTAATTGTGCCAAATAGAATGTTTTATTAATTACCAACATGCTGTTCGGTTCTGTCATAAAATCATAGCAAAAATTATGGATTTTAAAAGAAAAAAAGGGTTCAGGACGACAAGGGACACTAAAAATTCCCACAAAATCTGAACTTTGTGAAAGCTGTAGGTTCTCTGTCAGGTTCTCTGTCAGGTTCTCTGTCAGGTTCTCTGTCAGGTTCTCTGTCAGGTTCTTTGTCAGGTTCTCTGTAGGTTCTCTGTAGGTTCTCTGTAGGTTCTCTGTCAGGTTCTCTGTCAGGTTCTCGGTCAGGTTCTCTGTAGGTTCTCTGTCAGGTTCTCTGTCAGGTTCTCTGTCAGGTTCTCGGTCAGGTTCTCTGTAGGTTCTCTGTCAGGTTCTCTGTAGGTTCTTTGTCAGGTTCTCTGTCAAGTTCTCTGTGGGTTCTTTGTCAGGTTCTCTGTCAGGTTCTCTGTCGGTTCTCTGTAGGTTCTCTGTAGGTTCTCTGTCAGGTTCTCTGTCAAGTTCTCTGTCAAGTTCTCTGTCAGGTTCTCTGTCAAGTTCTGTCAGCTGAGGGCGACTTGTTTTAGTTTAAATTGAGTTCTATGGGGAAAATTTCTGGGTAGCCTGCGTGAATTTAGTCTGGTTTAGTCTGGTTTAGTCTGGTTTAGTCTAGTTTAGTCTAGTTTAGTCTGCAGAACCGTGAGAATCCCCCGAGCCCGTGAGTCCTTTTGCTATAAGCTGAAGTAATAACTTATCCAGATATTATCATAGATCCACGGGCGGCCCTCATGATAAAACTGTTTGGTTGTTTTACCATTAGGTTGTATAGATCAAAGGTGAGTTGAAAACTTGGTCCAAATGCCGCAGAGTGGTCAGTGTGAAAAGAAAGGGCTCAGGTTGTTTGGTCGGTGTGAAAAGAAAGGGCTCAGGTTGTTTGGTCGGTGTGAAAAGAAAGGGCTCAGGCTGTTTGGTCGGTGTGAAAAGAAAGGGCTCAGGTTGTTTGGT